TGAAAAGTGTATTTACTCAGAGTTCTGTTACTTTGAGAACTTTTTGCACTCTGCGCAATGTTAGGTAAATAAAACGTGCAATGCAATTTGAAAGTCCAATTTCAACACCATTTTTAACGAGAATTAAAGGCTAATTAAAATATGGACATTCATTTTTATTTAACTTTAATTTTTATCTTCTGAGCTGGTGAATATTTAAAATTATCTGTAATTAAAAAGTGGGTTTTTAGTATAATTGCTTTTAAATTTATTCGTGCATCTACAGCAGCCCATAAAGCTATTAACAGAATTAGCATTAGTCGAAGCTGAGTAGACTTCAAGTTCGTCTTAACTGAAATATATTAACTTTAACACCGCCATAAACTCGAACAAATATAAGATTAATAACTTTTTTAATCAGTTAATTAGCAATAAAATTTCAGTGCAAATTCTTGATCATCTTCGTTATAAACAAACATAAAACAAGTTTAATATTCTAAGCCCTCCTACCAGGCCCTCAACTTCAAAAGTTTTTCTTTTATTACTGTCGGATGTAGGTACTCGTTAATTTTCAAGCATACTCATGTTCATTAAAAATTAGTTTATTACTCAAAGTTGAACACAAACCTTATATAATTAAACGCTTGTTTCTGATTCAATCGCAAAAAAAAACATTGTTTGATTTTACAGATCTTATGTATAAATAAATCTCTCTCAACCCAAGAAAAAACTACTACAAGATAACTTAATTATTAAATACGCGTACGGAATTTGATACGAACTAATTTTAAGGTCTTCCAAATCGAAAGCCTAAAGCCCATTCACATTCCTTCTTTGTCCTCATCGCTTCTTCAGAATTCGAAAGCCAAATTAAACCATGAACCAATTACTCCTCCTACAAACTTGCTGCTTTATTTTCTAAATGCATTAATTGAAAACATTCTCCGCAAATTATTAGGATGAAATGACAGATTTGTTGATAGTAATGAAATTTCTTGTTTGGAATCCATTTAGAGATTGTAGTAGGTTTTATGCTACAACTTCCAACATTCCTCTATTTAACAATTTAATTATTTATCATAATTATAGTGCTTGTTTGTAACTTTGTAGTAATTTGAAAACTTATAATATGCCAAAGTTTCCTCTATCCACTGTTTATGTGGCATTCCTAAGGCATTAAACTTTACAAATTTCTATATTATATTACACCATAAATTTTTTTCACCAACATTACCTACGTGATTTTCCACATAATTACACCAAACACACTCAGCTCTCAGCAGCGGCTTTTAGGGCACCATCAAAAAACACTAGCGAAATTCTCAATTTTTTGTAGTCAAGTTGCAAAAAAATAAAATTCATGTAACTCTAACCCTTTAATGACTCTATTTGCAACCAATTATACACCTTGGTCATTAATAGGTATGCAGTATCCCAAAAGCAAACCGCCAGATAGAAAATATCATTCTGAGAAAAACAGTTTAAGTATTTTTTTTTTTGATCTTCATTCGTTAAAGAGAATAACAATAAATTTTGTACAAGTCGGAAAATTTTTCAAAAAAATTTATTTTAAACGAATTTTAAACCTTTTCAGTGCTTTATCCCAAAGTTTACGGTAATGTATCTTCAACAAGAAAAATGGTTTTCACCGTTTTATGATTTTTTTATATGAAGACACTTTTTTCTGTGGTTGGTGAAGTTAAAGGATGTGCCCCAATTAAAATTTTATTCGACTTTGTATCTCAAAAATTATAAACACTCTGATAAGGAAAAGGAGTTATTTTAACTTCTTTTGAGCTGTTAAAATATTTGCACATACTTACTTTAAAAAATCACTCTGTATAAATAAAATATAAATACTATAGTTGAAAGAATTCATCAATAAAATTCAGTAAGTATCAAAAATCGCTAACTTTTTTTAAGAATTTTAATTAAATCTGGATTTATGAAAACCTTATTGGCAACACCTCAATTAATAATTCAGTGACAAACATTCCCATTTTAGCAAACCTGAATTTGACTGACACAAATCTTTAAATTATCAAAGCGTTAAGACGACACTTTGCACCATAAAAAATTAATAGAGGCATTTAGAGAGAAATCTCTTAGATTTTCTAGGAGAACATTTATCAAATGCTAATGTAACACTTTTGCGGGGTTGGTAAAAAACGCTAAGAACACCTTAACGGAAGCAGAAGATATATTTCGTCAACGTCTTTCAAGATGAAGGAAATAAATTTTTATAATTCGTGATGTTCGTGTTGACAAATGTTCAATAACTAGACGCTGTAAAAACTAATCTCAGATCTCTAAGTTTAGTCTGAAATCCTAACGAAGGAATAATAGGTTGTCTTAGCTGTCTGCCGCAATATGCCAGTCTCTGTCCTTTATTCCTGAAGCTTAGCCTCGATCTTTTTCTCCGGCGACGATTGCACTTAGAATAACGATGCAGATAGACAATGTGTGGTCGCAGATTCGTAATAAACGGTCGACAACCATTATACAAGATACTGTAATATCTTGTACAACTTTGCAAAGTTTCTTTTCTCCCGAGCCGAGTTCCATTATTAGTTTTGAAGGACGTGCACAGGACGGCATAGCATCCCGATATGTGGAGAAAGAAACCGAGACTCAACTGCTTCAGACAACGCGGATATTGTTTCATCTAAAAGTTCGCTCGTCTAATCCATAAGCGATTTCGACTGTCTAACTTGATAACTAATATTCAATGACTGCCCTTCGAACTTGTTGAGAAAAGTTTTTACGGTTCCAAAGTCATTCAATAAAACCCTGATTATATGTTTTTGACACTGAACGCCGATCGCCACACTTGAACTTAACAAATTAATAGAAAGTTATACACGTATTTAATAAATTATTATTAGTGCTCTAAGATTACTTTACAAAAACTATATGAATCTTGTTCTGCAAATAGTGCGAAGGTATCTCAGATATTCAAAATTGTTAACTTTTTTATAATACAGAGTTCCCTTATTAGTTTACCCAGAATATTAAGAAACGATTCAAGTTAATGAAAAAAAAAATGTTTGTTAATCAATAAAAATCTTTCTAGCTCGGATAGTGTCATTAAACCAACTCCTGCCTTTAATTAGACCAAAATTATACATCTTTTGGTCGATCCTCAACATTCAAGCATTTAATATAATGTTAATTGACATTATTAAAAAAATTAAATACTATAAGAATCTATGAGAATTTACGATTTATAACAAAAAACGTTCATTAATTTGTAAATTATGGTGAATGCGCCGGGAAAATCCTTGTACAAATTTAAAATTATTAAACTTCTTGCAACAAATAGATAATAGAAATAACCTGTATCTATTAATAATTCTTGGAGGCAAAGAATAAATTCTAAAATAAGCAAAACTTTCACTTTAAGGTATCATACATTTTTCACACAGATTTGTTTCAATTAATTCCTCATTTAATGTATTTGAAAATTGTAGAGTATAATATTGATTAAAGTATAACAATTTAATGAATGAAACGCGATGCTTCGGTGGCTTTAGTGCGTCTGTAAGCAACGAAATGGGCATCTGAACGTGCTTGGGCAGTCACCGCGTAGGTGTTGACTTTAAAACTCCCCAAAGGTACTCACATTTTCAAATAAAACTGTAATTGTATGGGCAAACGACTGGTCTCTGGATAATATCCCTCTTTTCCAAAATTAACCCATAACCCGAACACTACGGAAACGTAAGGTGCGAATATGACGCGTATATTTTTTCTCATAAGCACATACATATAAAACCAGAACACATTTATAAATTACATAAATTTCGATGAACAGGTTTAAATAAACAATCATATTAAATTTTATTAAAAGTATATCCGTCGAATAATAGCCGATGTAAATACCGACTAAAACGATTAAAGCGGTTAAAAATGAAACTCACTCAAATGATTTTCGGCTTAATGTCAATTTTATTACATAGCCGTAAACAGAAACGTACAAATGTCGAAAAGGTTGCATCGTAAATTGCGTAAAATCTGAATATATTTCCGATTTCGTAAATGTTTGTTTCTCATAAACTTGATTCAAAAATTTGTATTGTTAAACATTGCATATGTCTCGACACACCTCAGTGCTACAGTCAACCGGGTTGAGCATCATCTACGCACAGGATCTCCATATAAACGACATCATTATCCTACGATAGTCCTGTCCGCCTTATCCTTTACAGCGGCAAAATCATAAAACTTAACCTTAATTTACTATATTTCTTTTAGGAAATCGTTCCCTCCTACTTATGGAAATTTAATGACCAATTTCCCCAATTTTCTCAAATAATTGCCACTTCTTTCGCCATTAAATACAACGCTTCGTGTACTTATAATAATAATAAGGTTTCCATCATTATGATAATTAAACTCAAACTCAATTATAATGTATCGTTAGGGAAACAAAACGAGTTTTTCGCATAATTCTCGATGGCTCATCGACTTTATGCTAATTTATCCAGACGTTGCGGGAAGTTATGCAAAGATCAGATATTCCAAATGGTTGGGACGACAATAATCCATAAGTAAAATCTACGATAGAATCGTGAACAATGAGATAGTAAAGATTTCTTATTTCTGCTGACACTGCACTTAGATATTCAGAGAGTACCACAAAGGTATTAATATTACGTGCTCTCGCCTCTTACAATATCTGATCAAAGCGATAAATTTTAAATAAAATCATTATTTTCGAATAATACGCTCCGCCGGTGAATAGAAAGCAGGGTCAACTTCACACCGACAAACTATTGTGTGATTCCCTGTGTATCTTGTTATGTGATCTCTAGCGATAATTTACATGTAAGGGTCACATTGGGTGTAAACTATCTGACCACATCGATTTACGAGCCTATTTACACGACGCCGCTGTTCCGATAATATTATGGAGAACTGTTAATGCCCTCACCAAAACCGCGACATAGACAACTGCTACTTTATTGTCACTCAACTGACTGCACTAAATCACTAACTCCAAATAAAGTAAAAACGGAACGTCATAAACAATCATTTATTACATAACAAAATAAAAGAAAATTATCCTCCGTGTAAAGTAGAAATAAACAATATCCTATCATTTTCCCGAATGACGTAATTAATAGTATCCTAAAATATAAATATAGATAAAAATTGTTATTCTTGATCTGTAATTTTACCATCAATTCCCAATCTGCGTCATTGATTAAGACGAGTATTCCAGGTCGCCTACAAAAAACAGCATCAAATGTGATCGCACTTTTAAGCGCCAGAACAAAACAAGCTATACAAGAGCAACTAATCAACGCGGCGTGAGTAAATAGAAGCTGAATCAATTACCTATGCGGATCATATTGCATACATGCATCGAAACAAGGCTGGTATTACAAAAATAGACCAGATTTTTTAATTTCGTGGAAAAAAAAATAGAAATTAAAACTCGAAACAAATTCATTTATTGTTGAATCACTAATACATCTAACAAAATAAAATGCAGTACTGTACTAAACATTTAATTACATAATCAACTCTAAAATTAAATTTTTACTTTCTAAATCATTTCTGGTGTCTACTTCAAGTAATCATTATGATTTTTTCTTAATTTTTTTAGAGACTATTTAACCACAAAATGAACTCCAAGATCTCAACAGTGATGATGTTGAATATGTCCAGATAAAGTTTAAACAAAATAACTTTAGTTTCCTTTGATAATTTAGTTATACAAAGTGAACATTAAATTGTTAGTTTATACCTTTTAAAAATTTTCTAATAAATAATAACTAATAACTTTATCGACATCTTGCCAAAACGAGTTTCATTTAATTTTGTAACTAAAAAAAAAAAAAAACATACTTACACAGAATTATCTTGTAAAAACAATTCTGGTCGCTCTTTCAATAAATTATCTTTAATCCAAATAAGTAAATCCTTGATTATCCCTGAAAAATATATTATAGATTATTATTCATCATTTAGAATAATAAAAAAAAGTATAAAAGGTAGCCCTTACACAATCAAAATACCAATTCTGTTCAAATCCCAAATATTAAAAAAATATACCAACTTGTATAAACAAGCAAGTAATAAAGGGTAAGCAACCCTTTATTAAAATCGACTCCCAATAGAATATAAAAACAATAACTTAACATGGTATACATCCAAACTGTTTTTTATGCATAAATAAATAGTTTTTTGATTTAAATGCTTTTTTTATAAATTAATGATTGCTTACTTAATAATAATTAAAAAGATCGTCAAATCAATAAAGCAGATACTATCTAGTAAAAAATTAAATAACTAAAAAACAGAAACTATTTACAATAAATGCGTTGTTTAAAATAAAGTAAGAAAGTGAAGAACCCTTACACTCCTTTTCTTTATCTGGTAATGTTACATCGTGAACCTTTTTGTTATCAAAAAGTAATTCAGCACCACCCCTAAAATATTAAAATTGCACTGCATTTATAACACAAAATTTAATCATCTCACCCAAATTCCACCGTTATGTGCATTTCTGTTTTATTAAAATTAATTATAAAAAGAATTTATTTAAACAAGTTTCACATAACCTTTAAATTCATCAAATGATCATCACATGTCAACCGTTTTCATGTTAGCCAACCCAGCTTACAAAAGTCCCAACAAAAACTTTTCTTATTTATTACAATTCATTACTTATTAGTGTGTAAGTCAAACATAAAATATTTTTGGACACACAAACTTGTTCTAGATTTAATAAAATATTTTGAGTTAGGAAAACAAACAATGTGCTTTATAATTTCAAATCTTTGTGGGGTCAGAATCGACAACATGCACTTCACAAAATAACTAGTATTCAGTCAAATTTTGTAGGTTATGTTATGTTTACAAGAGGAACGCAGCTCGTTTTATTATTATAATAATTTACAACTGCACCAGTTACTCGTAATTAAATCACAATGGAAGAAGAATATGACGAGAGAAATTGGGACACTGTTGATCGATTAGATAATGACGTGAGTAATTTATTAAACTCTTTAACAATCTTAACAATAACGCTTTCGCCTGTTTTTTCTTATTCTGCATTCAACAATTTTTATATCTTTTAGTCAGATGCGGGTGAAGAAAGTGAAAATCCTGAGCAGGTTCTTAAGGAATGTGCTGAGAAATTTTCGACCTCAGACTACATAATGGAACCAGGAATTTTCTCCCAGCTGAAAAGGTACTTTCAATCAGGAGGAAATCCGTTACAAGTAATTGAAGAATTGTCACAAAATTACACTGCTGTAGCCCAGATGGCAAATTTGATAGCAGAATGGTTAATCACAGGCGGAGTCAATGTAACAACAGTTCAAGCAATGGTGGAAAATCACCTGAAAGAGATGATTTTGAAAACATTTGATCCTAAAAAAGCAGACACGATTTTCACAGAAGAAGGTGAAACACCTGCTTGGCTGACACAGCTAATTGAACATCCCACTTGGCGTTCACTGATTTATAGATTAGCGGAGGAGTATCCCGACTGTTTAATGCTAAATTTTACAATTAAGGTTGGTTAAACTGCTTAAATTTAATAGGATAAAATAGGTAATTGCAGCTTATTTCTGATGCCGGTTTCCAAGCTGAAATCACAAGTATTTCAACTGCAGCTCAACAATTGGAAGTCTTTTCCAGAGTTCTAAAAACTTCAATTGCCAGTTTTTTAACCAATCCAGAAGACTGGCAAAATACCAGCAAGGAATGTGCTGTAAGTTGCGAGTTTATGTGCGATTATACTTTTAACAAGTGCTAATTTTTCAGAAAATGGTGTGTCATGGTCAGCACACATACGTTTACAGCCAAGTAATTATCCATGTGTTAGCTCGAGAATCCAAAGGTGGTAGCAGCATGAAAAGACTGTCTCAAGAAATTACAAAATGCGCCCAAAAAAAGTATATTTGTTTATTCTAATCACAAAAAATTATTGGTCGATTTCAGTGGTCATGACGTAACTCCAATCACAATGGCGTTAAACGGCGCCTCTGCATACCCTTTGGCCTGCCAGGCCTTAACATCAATGCTTTCAAAAAATACACTTAATCCAGCTGACATTACAGTGCTTTATAGAAATTATAATGCACCAGACCCTCCACCCATTGATTTAATCAGAACTCCTCAATTTCTAGGTTTGTATATTAATAATTTTTATTGTGTGACAATTTTTAATTTTAGAATTACTGGTTGATGCTTTATTTAAACCTGGAGTAAAACTCAATCCTGATCACAAACCCAAATACATCCATTTACTAGCATATGCAGCAAGTGTTTATGAAATGCAAGCCAAAAAAGGCCAAAAGAGAGTAGTGAATAAAGATGAACTTCAAGCCACCATTCATTCAATTGAAACGGTCCATAATATTTGTAATACCAATAAAGGGAGTTCAGAACTCATGGCGGAACTTGCAACGCTGTATCAGTGTCTTAGGTGAGTTTTCCATAGCTGGTATTTTCAGAAAATATCAGTTTTTCTACCTCGTGTGTGAATTTTTCCCTCGGCAACGGCCACACTACGTTGAAAGCACCAGTTCTCTTCTGATCACTGAAGTTAAGCAACGTCGGGCGCGGTCAGTACTTGGATGGGTGACCGCTTGGGAACACCGCGTGCCGTTGCTAAAACCTTTTTGCACCACGATTAAACTTTATTTTTAAAATTTAACATATCAAAGCAAGTTTCAATTCCACAAAGTATTAATTCTATTTATCCACACTTCGCTTTTGCATGTCTAATAACAATTCTTTATGAACATAATTCATTGTAATTAGTTTAGAAAAACATATAATTTTTTTTCTTACATAAAATGAAAAATTTTAGGTATCCAGTCGTATCTGTGGGAATTATCCGATGGGTTGAATGCACTGTAACCGAAGCCAGTTACTTTAAATTGTCAACAGAACATACTCCAATCCATTTAGCGCTCTTAGATGAAGTAGTTACTTGCCATCCCCTTCTTCATAATCAAGTACTCGACTTACTCATTAGGTTGTTTGAATCCAAGCAAGACGAACTGGAGATTTTAGTCCAAGTAAGTTGAGGACAACACATTTTCACAATATTTATTATGTATCTTTTTGTAGCTTGAAATGCGGAAAATGGTCCTTGACAGAATGGTTAATTTGCTTTGTGCTGGATGTGTGGTACCCGTTGTGAAATATATAAAACAGTGTTGGCAAAAAGGCGACACGGATATATCCCTAATTCGTTACTTTGTAACGGAAGTAAGTTAACTAACACTTTATTATAAATGCCTTAAAAAAATCGCGAAATTCCATAGGTTTTGGAGACCATAGGGCCCCCATATAGTTCCGAATTTGTCCACTTGTTTATGCCAATGGTCGAAAATGATGAAATAACGGGAACAATGAGAGGAGATGGAGAAAATGATCCAGTATCTGAATTTATTGGTAAGTGGAAAAACTTGGTAATTAAGTCAATCATTTATTGTTTTTTAGTCTACTGCAAAGCAAATTACACTGCTGTTGTGTAACAGCAACTTAATTATAAGAATATCTATTGTAAAAAATAAAAAAAATCCTAGTAAATCCACTTTACTTCCCTTAAATTACTCATCTTCCTTGGAAATGCTCTTTTTCTTCTTCTTTTTCTTTTTTTCACTTGTTGGCTCTTCAACGACTTCTTCAGGTTGAACTTCACTCTCTGACTGCTTCTTCTTCTTCTTCTTTTTCTTCCCGGGAGTCACTTCAGGTTCGGCCGTATCTTCCGCTTCCACTTCTTCCTTCACCTCCTGTTTCACCTTCTTCTTTTTCTTCTTCTGTCCTTCACTGCTTTCTTCATCTTCTTCCTTTATACTGACATTTGTCTCTTCTGCCTTGGCCTTCTTCTTTTTCTGCTTAGGAGTCTCCTGAGTGGTATCCAATTCCTCTTTCACTTGTACTTGTTCCGACTCTGATCTCTTCCTCTTTGAAGTCGATGGTAACGTCGAGTCAGCAGCAGCAGGATATTGCTGAACTTCCGAAACTCCATGATATTTCTCAAACTTCGCCTTGGCTTTAGCCGTCCCGCTAATTCTCCTCACATTACCCTCTTCTAGTATCCTAAGTCGCGCCTCTAACTTGGCTTTATGCTCCGCCCCTAACGTGAAATTGCCGTCTTCTCCTAAAGCATCAACACGCGTCGCTAGGGATGCTTTCGCAGCCAACATTCGTGACATTTTCCCCTTGTTTTTCGTGCTGCTTTGCCCCACCAACTGGGCGTGATAGATCAAACCGTACTTGGGGGTGTCTTTCTTGGTTTTAAGGGCTCTAAACAAGGCCTTCTCGGCACCCAAAATCTGCACCGTTGAGGCCGGATGTTTAGCGAGATTTATCAAAGACCCGGCATGTGAAATCAAACGAGCACCCACTAAATCCCCAACTAAAGTAGTCAAATTTGGGGCCATCGCCATCATTCGCGCTTTCAAATAGTCATACAACTGGGCACGATAATTGGAAATTTCTACAACTTGGTCGCACAAATTCTGAATATTTAAAATATCGTCTTCAGATATTTCAGTACCCATGGATATTTCTGCCGCTTCCTTTACTTTTTCCTCAATTTCTTCAGGAAGAATGTCAGAGAGGTCTGAATTCGCAGTGTTATCACGCGTTCCTATGATTTTAACAGTTTTAACAAACGCAACATTATCAGTTATTATTTTTCCAAGTTCGGGAAAATGCCACCCGTACCATTCGCGGCACCTCATTATATAATTATTGAGTTCTTTGTCAAGATCATCGAGTAAAGAAACCGCTTGAACTATCATTGTATCAATTTTATCGGGCGAAAATTTTAGTTTGTACCGTGATAAAGAATGAGCTAAACCTAATGCCATCGCGGTCATTTCTCTCTTAGGTAATCCCGTTATTAAACTGTCCAACTGCGACCGAATACATCGCATCAGCTCCTGGACCGCTGTATTTGACACGCATTGCAAATTAAACTTCTCTTTAATTGCAGACCCTAACTTGGCGTCAGCCACAAGAAGTTTGTCCTGTAATTCCTGATCGATGTGTTTCTTCAGTACCTTTTTTAAACTTTTTGACACTTTTCCCTCGACGGCTGCAGTTGTAGCAGCCAAGGCTTCCGTAGTATCATTAAACTTCTCAAAATGTTTCAACTTCACACTAAAACAATTATCTTAAATTTAAAGTTTTACAATTGAGACAATTAATACATTTTTCCTGCCGATTCTGGTGAATCAAATTCATGGTACAAATTATTAACTTCTTTTAATTTACTTTCGTCCAAAAGCTAAAAGCATGGAAAATTTGAGGTTATGTTTGGCTACAAATTTGTTACAGAAATACCTTGAATAACGCGTAGCCTGCCGCTGTCTCAAATAAGACCAACATTTTTCCAACTAAGATTACAACAATTTATACTTAAACCTCCCAATTTTTAACAATAATGATTAAAAAACCGGTAAAAATTAGAAACTGTCACGCTTCCATCATGTGTGGCGGAAACGGAAACTCAAAACTGAGGCGACATCTGCAGAATGCTTACAGCACCATTATATACAGCGAGTTCAAAAAATGAACAAGGGAGAAATATTCTTGAATCCCAGGACTAAAAAACAAGTCTTTTTTTCGATAAAATAATCATTTCTGCCTATTTAGTAAATTTGGCAACATTTTAAATTTAAAAATCGGCCAGGGTTCAAGCGACGATCCAAGATAATAAAACTTTTTGCCAATGTGGTGATAGAAATGGCACAAGGTTTACATTTTGCATATATTATTTTGTTTGCACAAAATTCGCAACCAATATTCTAATTTGGTTACTAAATTTAGTTATTCAATTCAAAATCTTAATGTGATAGTATAAAATAATTCTTATCTAAAGTCGCGGTCAATTCGTTGTGAAGAGGCTGCCAACTTTGCAATAAATTAAAGAGCCACTATAAATTGACCGCGACATTACGTTAAAAAAATAACATCACTTGTAGGTATTTAATTAAATTAATTTATTAATACATTTAATAAATACGTTTAAAACGGGTTAAAATCTTTAATTTCGGCCGTCCATAATAACAAAATCGTGACAGTCGTCAGTTGCTTTCAAATACAAATTATGGTCATTACAAAGATGCAACAAAGATAGAATACCCAAATGTGGACTCAAATCTTTGCACAACTCTGGAGCTAATCGTGGTATCTGTTCATATACATTGGAAAATTTTGTTGGCTGAACAGTTCCCTGAAAACGACAAAAATTAAGTCAAACAAAAAACCCTTTAAATTTGGCTACCTGTCCCCCAGTCAAGTGTTTCCAAATAACTGTTTTCAGCTTTTTCATATCGACTTTCTTCGCATGCATTGCATACGTTATTTGATTGACTGTAACAATTTCGGGTGCATCAACCAGATTTCCATCTAAAAATTGTTGTTGTTCCACTGGTGGCATATCTTCTCCAAAAGAATGTCCTGGTTCGTCATTTGCATCATCGATCTGTTACACAACCACTTAATGTTTTTTTTTTTTGTAAGATGTAAGATACGTACGTTTTGTTGAGAGCAATAAAGCGAATCATTCGGATTTTCGTAGTTGTAGGCCTGAACTTCTTCATAATCGTGGTTCTTCTCTACCGTGTTTAATTTTGGTAACGGCGTATTAGGTTTCAAACAAAAGTAGTTTGTCTTTTTCAAAAATTTGTCGATCCACAAATCAGGCATAGGCAATGTAATTCTGTGATAAAAAAAAGTATTAGCAAAAAAATAGTCAACTTCATTATTTACAACACATATTTACAAAAATTTGTACAAAACTTCAAGGTTCTGAGGTCATTATCAGTATGTTAGTAAATTTTATGTTGATATGCGAACACAAAATCTTTTAAGAATACTAATGCTTGAATTTAATAAAATATAGGTAAAATAAAATATCACCATGTTTTAGAAAAAACAGTTCGTCTTTCCGGAATCATCGAAATGGTAAATTCATAAGAAAATACGTAGGCATCCTCAAAATTGGAGGAATTCCTAAAAAATTGCCAACTTTTTAAAATTGGAGAATCTTGAAACCTAACAAAAATAGATCTTCGCATTTCCGGCAATAGCAACTACACTTTTAAGTTGTCATTAAATTAATTAATTTAATTAAAATGTTAATGATATAGTGACCGTTAAAAATAAGGGCCGTGGCTGTTTTCACCCACATATCGATTGAGCACAGAGTTCTGATAATTTTGATTTAATTTAATAAATCTATTTATAATCAATTTTACATTGTAATTTTATCTACATTGGTTTCTGAAATATTGGAAAAAATCCATAAAAAGATGCACCCCGTTCAGGGGATGTAGCTCCCTTATATAAAATTTTTCGGTACATGTTTATGGGAAACTTTTGTCTTAAAATTGAATATTCTATCACCTGTTTAAATTTGTAACAACAAAAACGGAATACCCTGTATAAAAGACGGACTTATATGTTTAACATGTAAGTAAGTTCTAGTTTTCTCTTTCAATACAAAAATATTTATTCCTACCCCTACTTACTTTTCAGGAAGAGTTGTACAAGGCATCCTTTTGACGACAAATTTTTTCATTGTTTTAGTTACATCTAAAAATGGTTCAGAAAAATCAATGGGTTGGGGTTCGTTCCTCTTCTTTACATGTTTAACCACTTGTTGAACAGTACTGCCTGAATATCGTGCTGTTGACCGCTTATTAAATTTAACTTTCCAGTGACTGGGTCCTGCCCATATTTTATCAATATATTTTCCTGACTGGTTTCTTATAAGAGTGTTATAACCATAATCAGTTTCAATGCGATTTTCTTCAGGTATTGCATCAACGATGGGATCGATTCCACCATGTAATTGTATCTGAAACATTTCTTGTTCTTCATTATCGCTGACTGCATCTTCCATAGGAATATCATTATTTTCAAAAATATCATGAATTGAACCATCAAGTTCTGGAATAGGAACGCCATTCTCGTCTAGGACTGGCGGCGGCACCAAGTGACCTCCTTCTTCCGCTCTGAAGAATAAACAAATAAAACTGTTATTACGCCAAGAAAAGTGACAAAACTAAATATTTTTTCTCTAATTTGCATTACAAAACTTGTATTAATTGTAAAAATACTAAATACCAAATCAAAGCATACTAGTCCTTTTTTTAATGATAGTAGAAATTTATGTCATGTCAACTCACAACTTCTCCTCATCTTCAAGACTCCATGTCCCAATTTCAAAATGTTTAAAAGGTACACATATATCAAAAAAAGATACTTCTGGTAGGTCAATATCTAAAATTTGGTCAGTGTATTTTAAAAGTTCATCGGGCTTTGTAGTCCAATACTTTTCGTTGCTCCTAAAACAAATTCAAATTACAAATCTCCCAAACGAGTTCCCATAATTAACATACAATAACATGAACCTGTGACCAGCTGGGTCCACAGGAAGCCTACAAGTGAGTAAATTATCAATTGCGCCTACATCAATATTCTCTTTAGTTGCAAAGACAACTGATTCTACTTGTTTAATTGGTGCAAACAAGGATTTGCCTTCTTTATCAATAACATTTCTTTTGTCAGCGGCCATTTTTCGGACCTTTTTTCTCGGTTGCCGTTTTCTTTCACTTGGATTTACTGTAACGTTGCTGTCTTCTTCATTTTCCGCTTGAGCACGTGTTCCGTCTTTTTTGCCAACAGTGCTAGCAAGCTGTATGCCTTTATTGTGGGCGTCGTCAATGCGTAAACTGTAAATTTTGGATCCAACATCAAGTGAAGATCCGGCAACTAACATAAGGTTCGTCTGGTTACGTGTGGCTATTTTTTTTATTGCCTCTATGACATGGAGCTCCCAAGCATTTTTTGAAGAGATTCTCTAAACATAATATACATATTAGGTAATAAAATAAAAAACAGGTATCAAAATTCAAATTTGAAATGTCAAAATTCTCACATTTTCGGTGTACAGTTTCGTGCATATACGCAAATGATCTTGAATTTCATGTTCTTTCAACAAATGCCCTGTATCAACAGCTGGAGATGGAATGCTACTAAGCCTCCTTAACATGACCACCATACTACGTCTCCCAGATCTTTCTTGTTCTTCATCATGGGGCGCCTTAAAATTTATGTAAAATAGTCACAGAAATACGTTTATATCGTAGGTATCAATTACCATTTGAGGGGTACCACTCGTAGGCATACTTGTTCGAAGGGGTGTTGAAATGCTTAGCACCGACCGTCTTAAAAGGTCCCTACGTGGAGGAGTTGACATCTTCATCGCCATTCTCTAAATATTACAGCAATATTAATCAAAATGATACTTAAAAAATACTCATAATTGGTTATGTTCACTTCAGTTAAAATATATTAGAACTTACTTTAAACCAGCTGCACAAACTTATTCAAAAACCGTATAAAACGCTTTTGCCACTGATTTTTCTAGACAAGATCGAAGCAAAAACACAAAAAAAATAACAACAGAGAATAAAATAACAAGTTAAGTACAAACAAAAGTTTTGAAAAACCGTTTGAATAATTTCAAACAACGAAATAACCGTCAAGCGTCACTGTCATTTGTCATTTCATTGTTTTAAAAAGCACCATCAGAGGGTGAGAGGAAAAGTAAGCAAGAGGAAAAACAAATTTGAATTTTCATAAATATTTTTTGATTCTACTATTTACGTAAAAAAAAAACATTAAAAAAATGAAAATAATTTATAAAATTCCATCCGAATTTTGTATAAATATGGTTGGCAACTCTGGGTGTAACACGTGACCAAGCTAAGATGGCGTTTTGTTGTTTTTGTCAGCTGATGTCGCTGATATGATGATAGAAAAAAATTGAAATTATAAATTATTAAAAAGTTTTTTACTAAATAAAATGTCAGACAAACGAAAAGTTCTCGTAGCGAAACGGAAAAATGAAAGGAATCCGAAGAATTTTGCAGAAAGCTGCAGGATTGTTGTTCAAAATGATAATAATTTTAAACGTGGTACAAAACGTCCCATTATTGTTAATACCCCGAAAAAAAACTTAGCTAATGACAGGCTAAAAAGGCTAAGGACTACATTAAATGAAGAAGTTAAAAATTCATCTCAACCTTTATCAAATTCTAAAGACAAGAATTGTGTGAGGAAACGGCCAACTTGTTCAGTGGAACATGAAGTGTCTACAAAATGGTTGAAAGAAAATGACTCGGGTGCAGGGGAATGCTCAAAAACTGCACCTCCATTCATTTTTAAAGAAGAATTTCTAACACAGAAGAGTGTGTTTACAGCTGTATCTCCAAATCCCTTTGCTGTGTTGGACCTCCAACAGCAATCTGAAAATAAAGCAGAGAATATGGAGTGGTCTCCTGTATTACTCATATCAATTTATTTAGTTCAACAATTACTTTATTGTGTTTTTAGACTGATGATGAGTCGTCTATTAGTGCAAGTGATAGCACTTTCAATACACAAGTTACAAGTTCCTCTGGTGGGTTTTATATTGTGGTTGACACAAATATATTTTTATCACACCTGAAAATAATAGCTGACATTATTACAATGACTGTTAAAGGTAAAGGATTGTGTAACAATGGAAAAATATTCATTATATTATAGGACCTAGGGAGCCAATTATTTTCGTTCCCTGGATCGTCACAGAAGAGTTGGACTTTATAAAGGGAGACTCAAATAAACGTAATCTTAGACAAAAAGCTCAAGATGCCATCAAGTTCATAGAAAAGACTATGAGTAGTAAACATCAAAGATTGAAAGGTATTGTACTGCAGTTTTAAGTAGAGTTTTCATATTTTTTAATCACAAGAAAATATAAAAATAATAGAGTTACTGCAATTATTATTTCAGGGCAAACATTAATGGAAGCTAACGAACAAAAAAGTGTAGGTATTAATCAAGATAATAAAATAATTGCTTGCTGTATGCAAGTGCTAGAAAAATATGAAAATATGGTAAGACAAATTAAGTGGTTTTGGGTGTTTTAAAGATTTTTTTAGATTCTTCTCACAAATGACATTAATTTAAAAAATAAAGCTCATTTTAACAATATTCCCGTATGCTCATCTCAAGAAATAATCCTCAAAATACTACAAGCGCAAAATAATTCAAAGGCAGAGAATATTTTGAATATAATGACAAGTTTATGTAATACTGTAATTTATGAGTGCGCTAAAAATGCCTATGGAGAAGCTTGTAAGAAAATGCCAATATGTCAGCCTTTACCAAAGACTTTAAATGAGTGTATTGCCATATTTACAAAATATTGGTTCCCTGTCTTTCAAGAAGTATTAATGAAGCAGTTTAAAAACGCTATTGAGCATCTCTCGGTCTTTTTATCAAAACACATAAGTACGCTACTTTTTAAACCAAATTTCCTAATAATAATTATATATTTTAGCTATAAATGACAAATCAAAGGAATTAAATAATCTCGTAAGACTGTGTGTAAGGACTTGTTTATTCTTGAAGGATGTAGAGTGCTGTAAAAATATCATCGAAAATACAATACGGGATTTGAACAATCTTAAAGAGTCTTAGCGCTTACTGCAAAATCAATTTCAATTAACATTGGGTGAAAATTATTAAATTGTTTTTAGGATGTATAAATTCATTGTAAAATAAATATATTTTGGTTATGAAAACAATTATTTATTTGAAAACTTTATTTGGACAAACATAAAAATAATTCTAGTTTTTTTTTATTTGGTAGCGAAACCTTTGGATCAATAACTTTTAAGTATCCCTCGTATAGAGAGCTCAACTTTTGGTAATTTATTTCCGTAATGTTTACATACTTGTCTGTCAATAATTTTTTTAATTTTTTGACATCTGTCAAATAAAAGCAGTGACTCACATTCTCAAGTGTTATTGATTAGAAGTACAAATATAATAATAATTATTAGTTTCTGATTAATAATACGATATTTTGTTTAATGTTTTAGGTAAGACACATAAGAGCGTTTTATATTTTCTTTACCTTAGTCCTAGCAAACAGGTCATAATAATAAAAATGTTTGTTTGATTTTACAGAAGAGATTAATAAACAATAAAATATGGATAGTTTTTCGTATCAAAACGGGGGACAGAACAGGGAGCAAGATTTTCAAAAATTGGCTCAAACAATTGGCACTAGTATACAGAAAATCTCACAGAATGGTATAGAACATTAATTAGTTTATGTGTTTGCAATATTAAGTGGTTTTTCCAGTTTCATCTATGCAACGCATGGTAAACCAGATAGGGACGCATCAAGATTCGCCTGATTTAAGAAAACAACTGTATGTATTAAGCCATTGGTTAATGTTAAACTTACTGAAATTATTTCAGTCATTCCATTCAACACTACACTCAACAGCTTGTGAAGGATACAAATGGTTACATTAAAGATCTTAATACCATATCCCCATCTCAATCGCAGTCAGAGCAGAGACAGCGTAAAATGCAAAGAGAACGTCTTCAGGATGAGTTTACCTCAACCCTGAACATGTTCCAAGCTGCTCAGAGAAGTACAGCGCAGAAGGAAAAAGAACAAGTTAATAAAGCCAAGGCCCAAGTATATGGGGAACCATTCCTCAGTAAGTTAGAATTCTTGAAAATTAACTGTGGTACATTGTAACACTTTAGGTAGCTACAAAAAAGACGAACAATTGATTGAGTTACAAGACAGTAATGCAGGAAGACAACAGATGCAACTTCAAGAAGAATCAGAGTTAAGAGCCCTACAAGAACAGGAACAGTCCATTAGACAGTTAGAAGTATGTCTCTTCCTTCCTAAAAAAACACATAACTGTACATTTTTATTCTAGAGTGATATTAACGATGTCAATCAAATTTTCAAAGAGTTGGGCGCTCTTGTCCACGAACAAGGCGAAGTTATCGACAGTATTGAAGCAAATGTGGAGAGAACTACCGACTTTGTAAGAGAAGGTGCCCAGCAGTTACATCAAGCTAGTACATACAAAAACAGAATTAGGAGAAAGAAGATGATTCTAGGCATTATTGGTGCAGTAATCTTAACAATTATTATTATAATTATTATATGGAAAACAAGTTAATTGCAAGTAGTATATGGAGTTATTATAAAATGTATATTATATGTATATCTTTATGTACTAAATCCAGCTGTATGAAATTTATTTTTGCGGTACATTTTTACCACAGTTTAAATTCAGTGCCAAGGTCATTTTATTTAAACTGTTACGATATTAACAAATGTATTTATTATTTAGATTGTAATGAACTCTTAATCTCCACAGTTGTAATTTATACACATTTATATTGTTTGTTTTTAGTTTTGTTATACTGTAGTTTCATATATTAGATAACTATTGTATTTGAAGAAGGCTTTTAATCGTTTTATTGTTTTTGATTAAATCTACATGCATCTGGTGCTTTACACTTTTAATGTAGACAAACATTAATAGAAATTATGTATTATTCTACCAAACTTGTATTAAATAAAAATTGTTACTAAAATTTTTTTTTTCCAAAATTCTGGTACTTCAAAGCAAAAATTGTTTTTTGAATTGCCTTGTAAATTATTGATTTGATAAAAATTGCACTTATAATAATTTTTGGAAACTAAAAGCTCAATACAGCTTTTGCAAATAGATAAAATAATAGTTATTTATTCGACGAGTGGTTGTTCTGTTCCCTAGTTTCTAGTTCCCTTGCGTAGTATTCAGTGCTAACTAATCTGTAGTCCGGGTTAGTTTGCGTTTGACCCGCTAGAATTTACCTCAAAAAAGAGAAGTGTCAAAAAAGATTTGTAGGTTAGGTACAAGTCGTGTGTCAAATCTATCAAAACAAAATTCTCTAGATATCCATTGATTTCCTCTGAAAAGGAATATCAAAATAAATTGTAGAAAAAGGAATAAAACAGACAAGTCACCACAAAGTTTCTGTTGTTGTAATGTCTTCTCGTGTATTGAGAAAATTACAAGGAGATAAAGATATTGTGGATGAAATATCTGATACAGAAACCGACATTCCTGTTAGTGGGGGTGCTCGAAGAAAACAGCTTAATATTAATCGCTACGATCTGGTAAACACCCTGAATCTAACCTGAAATTTACGTTAATTATTTATTTCCAGCTGAACCAGCAGTCCCACTCAGAAAGCGAAGTCAAGGAAGACGACAATGAAACAGAAGCTGCCAAATCATGTGAAGGAGACCCAAATCATGAGGCCGTCAAACGAAAGAAAAAGAAAAAGAAGAAAAAGTCGGGAAAACATGTGAATCCGCAACGAAGTAGCGAAGACAATGCTGATGTAAGGTTTCAAGTCTCAAAGTAAACACATATTTGATGCTTTTTTTAGATTGATGAAGTTGAGAGGTCAGTTCGTGAAGTAAACAGACTGTTGGGTGAGAGTCACTTACCTAAACCTACAGGGGCTCCTCAAGTGAACACCAAACATGATAAAAATGTCCACAATAAGAACATATTGTCTGTGCAGCATAAACATTTAAATCCAAACAATGAATTAAAAAAAATATTTGGCTCAAAAATTATCCAAGCTGAACAGTAGGTAAAGGTCATTTAAAATCCCTTCTATATAACTGACTTGTAGCAAAAGAAAAAACAGGGGGAGGGGCCATACAAAGGCGACGTGGTTAGTAAGTGGTAAAGATACATGGCCCCAAGTGGGTAAATCAGGTCTTTCCATGAATCTGCTTGAAAATAAACAGGGAATACAATATTTTACTTATGAACACAGCCAGAGTTACCGCCAGATACAGAATAGGTTTCTTGAGTCAGTTGAAAGTTTGAATCCTGATAATATTTTTGCAATTATTAATGAGCATCCTTGTCACATTGATGCTTTGATACAGTTGTCAGATTTGTGTAAATTTAGCGAAGATTTGGCGTTGGCAGCTGAATATATTGAAAGGACGCTCTATTGCTTGGAGTGCGCTTTTCATCCACTTTTCAACGTAGCACAAGGAAATTGCCGACTGGACTACAGGAGGCAGGAAAACAGGTGTGTTAAAACCTTAAAATCAAAATCAGATAATTAACAGAAAATAAGAATGTTCTTTCTTAATAAACAACCTAGTCAAGTATTGTCAAAAATGAGATAATTAAGCGTTTTAAAAATTTGTTATATAAAAAAAGCTTGCAAACGGAAAAACAAAATCTTTATTGAAAGAGAATCGATAATACTTTAAAGTAGTGACTTACGAGCATTACCAACTGAAAGATTTAACATTACAGTGTCTTTTGAACCACATAAATCATTTTGAGGAAAATTGTTACTTTCACAATGATACATGATTGGCTTCTGAACCCTTTTTATGTAAAACTGAAATAATTTTCGTTCAGGAGTATCAAAAAATGTAATTATAGACAACACTGCTGATTCTAACAAAATAATAATAATAATAAATAAGAAAATAAAAAAATAATAATAAACACTAGTAGTGTTCAGAGTATGCTATAAGTTGAGAATCGGTTCAGTTGTTTTCAAATATTTTTAAAATTTCTCTAAATACCTAATTACTATAATTTATATAAAAAAGATTTCCTCAAAATTACTAATTTTATCTTTTAAAACGTTAACCATGTCATATTTCTTTTGACATTTTCTTGAAAAGACGTATTTTTGCTGGAAATTAAAACTTGATTCACTCTGTGATATAATAATTTTTCTAATTTGAGCAAGTGGTCCAGCTCAAAATTTGTTTTAGTTTTCTTTTATTGTTAGTTTTTTATAGCACATGACATGAAAATTAAATCCTTTCAGGGCTTTATACATAACAATCTTTAAGCACCTGACTTTCGTTGGAGGCCGTGCTTGCTGTCGAACAGCCCTCGAATTCTGCAAACTCCTCCTTTCGTTGGACCCCGAGGGTGACCCCCTTGCCATTAAACTAGCAATCGACTTTTATGCCTTACGTGCCCGAGAGTACAATTGGCTGATTGACTTTGCTGACGAATGGGAGACCGCAAAGAATTTATCGCAACTTCCGAACTTTGCGTTTTCAACGGCAGTGGCTCATTTCCACACATCGAACGGAGAGACGACAAAAGCCGACAGTTTGCTTCAGAACGCGTTGTTGATGTTTCCCGGCGTACTCATGCCTTTACTTGAAAAATGCTCAGTGCAAATAGACAACAGGGTAATGACACACAAATTTTTCTCAGTTAACGAAAACAAGTAATTGTTTGGAAATAGTGATAAGTAGATGAGTATATTTAGTGGGTTTTAGACAATCGTCTGCTTTGACACAGCTGATTCAATTGTATGTGAGTAGGTGTTACCATGTGTGGAAAGACAGCGATTTGATGCACTGGCTTGAACGAAATGTTCACTCTGTATTGGATAGAGTGGATAAGAATGACCCTATCGTAAAGGATTATGAGACTAAACGAGCCAAAAGGTACCAAGGCCCTCTTCCACGGAGTATAGCGCGACATATTCTGCTCTCAGACATCAAGGATTTAACACCCATTACAGATGTAAACATTTTCAACTTGTATACACATAAAATTAATTATTATTGCAGGATTTCAGCGGACCTGTATTAGGATTCGACCCTTTGCCTCCTAAAGACTCAATCAATATTTACACAAAACCAAAACGGCCGACAGTCTCAAATAATAGTTCCATTCCTTTAGGTGTTTTCTTCAGGTCTATTTTACCCAATTTCAATCCCAATCAAATTCCACCAAATCTCTTGGACCCGTAAGTAGATTTGCTAATTGTGGAAGTGAAGTGGAGCAAAGTTTTTTTTCTTGTAGACCTAGAGAGGAAGATGGCGCTGCAGCTCTTCCAGTTTATGAAAACGCCAATAATGAAGGTGGAGATTTGAGACAAAGTGTTGCATCGTTGGTTGGGGCCATGAGAGACTTGTTGAACAATATTAGACCGCCAGAAATGGAAGTTCCAAACGACGCCGATGTTGACGAAGATTACGACGACCTCACCTAATTAGTATCATTATCTAGTGATGAGTACACTAAACATTTTATTTCTTTATTGTTGCTATATTCTAAAAATGTTTATTATAACAATTATGATATAACCAAATAAAATTGATAATCTGTCAGTTTTGTCTTGTAGTTCCCGACACAAATCCCTCATTTTAAAATAAATATCTGTTATTAAATTATTATTTCCAGTAGATATTAGTAATTAATTAAGTAAAGTCCAATAACAGTGGCATATTTTCAATAATTTACAAACGTTTGTGTAATTTAATTGATAAAAAGTAGAGTCTTATCTGCCACATCCTCCACCTCCACATGGACTTTTCCTGGGTGGGCGATAATTCGATGAACTTCCGGCGCCCATCAGTGGGTTATATCCTACAGTAACGAATCAATATAATCAATCAATGATGAGTCAGCAATTGTTATACCTGGACGTAGATTACTTGTGTCATCTTTTCTACCCAAAACATGACCTCCAGAAGGCTCATACTTCCTCTGAAGTTCTTCTCGCTTTTTCTCTTCTTTTTCTTTCATTTTTCTTTGATACTCTTCAGATTCTTTGTTATATTTTTCTTGGAGTTTTTGGGCCCATTGTTGTTGGGCATTGACATGTGCAGCAAAAACATCAGGATCTAAGTTTAAAACAGTGTAAAACATTGTAAATTTTATATTTTAACTTACTTTTATGATATTTAGCCGCATAGTCTCTCTCAAACTTATATTCCCTGAATTTTTGTATGTAAGATTTTAGAGTTTTCTGGTAAATAACTATTAGAGCTATACAAGCAATTAGCAGATACCAGCCATAAGTTTCAAGGATGTAAATGACTAAAAGTATGAATATTAATCGCCAAAACTTTTCCTTTTTATATTAGAGCTACCTGAATTTAGAGGATTCCAGAAACTTTTTTCTTGTTCAAAAACTTCAAACTCGTCCATTGCTCCCAGTTCTTTCAATATAAATACTCCAAATTATTATTAGTGTTAATACTCAATTGTAATTTTTGGTAAATAAGGAATTAAACAGAATAATAACAGATTGAAAAATTTTCACATTTGTCAATAACATATGTCAATGTCACGTGATGTGTCACGTGTCAACGCTAATGCGCAAGCGCACTTGTGCAAATTTAAATGACATTTATTAAAAATTATAATTATCATTGTAACATTTTTTCAATAGTAGTAAATCATTTTTAATTAACTTTGCAAAGTGCAATACAAAATCTTGTGTTTGTGTTTACATAATAATTCCGACGTATCTAAAATACAAATTTGCGCTTCTTAAATTCAAATGTCAAATGTCAAATTTGACATATGATTCCGTTTTTCTAGCGACTTTCTAGAATTCGATGATTTCAAAAAGTAGTTATTAAAGTTGTTATAATTGTGTTAATTAATATAATATAAACAGTTAAAAATTTAAAAGAGGTGAGCGTTAGCAGTAGAAGCAAATAAAATGCCTCAACGCAAAAAGCCGTTTAGTGGCAAAGCCAAAAAAGAGCAGCTAAAATCCAAAAAACAGTCCAAACAAGGTGCCCCTCAAGGTACGTCTCACATCTTTTATCTTAAATTCAACTGATTATATAAATTTAGATGGTTTTGGCTTTCGTAACCGGCGGCCTTTGTTGAAGACTAATGCCGGTGATAATGAAGATCAACCTCAAATTCAGAAATTCAATTACTGCCCCCCTAAGGACGGGAGAGATCGCAATCGTTATGCTTTGCAGTTTTACCGCGAGACTCCCGCCGAACTCAAAGCACGTAAAGAAGAGGCTTGTAAAAGCATAGAACCGGTTTCTGAGAAAGAGTTGGAAATTGATTCAAATGACTATTTTCCCAAAGAACTGGGCTTTCCTAGAAGGCCCCAATGGTCATACGAACTAACACCTGAACAACTGGAAGCTCGTGAAACCAAATATTTTAATGTAAGATAATTTATTGTTTTTAATATTGTTTCACCAGATGGATAATTTCAGGAATATGTTAATGGAATATTGGAAAAGTATAATTGGAAAGAGTTAAGTTTCTTTGAACTGAATTTAGAGACTTGGCGGCAGTTGTGGAGAGTATTAGAAATGTCAGACATTGTATTACATATTGTTGATATTAGATTTCCGGTAAGTCTCTTTTCCATTTTGATTAATTAAGTAATTACTTTTTTATAGGCTTACATGTTTCCTCCATCGCTGTACGAATATGTGACTGAGACACTAAAAAAAGACTTTATTTTAGTATTGAATAAAATTGATTTGGCCCCAGCGCCGTTAGTTGTTGCATGGAAAAAATATTTTGAAGATAATTACCCCAATTTGCACATTTGCATGTTTACCACACTTCCTGGTTATAATCTAGTTGGTACTCAAGTAAACAGAGCAGGTCTGTGCTGATTAATTGTTAATTAATTAATTACACGATTTTAAATGTGAATTTTAGGACTCCAAGTACGTAAACGAAAAGGCAAATTTAGATTAGCTGCTGAAGGAAGTCAACAACTGTTTGAAGTTTGTAAAACCATAGTTGGGGACAATATAGACATCAGTTCGTGGCAAACCAAAATAAAGGAAGAAATGAATTTGGAATACGAAGACGACGAAGATGAAAAAGTTGAAATTGGGGAAACAGTTCAAATGAAGTCAGTTGACACAAGTTACTTCCAACATGAGAAATACAAAAATGGTATTCTCACAATTGGTTGTTTGGGGCAACCCAACGTTGGCAAATCATCACTTATTAACGCAATCATGGGTAAAAAAGTTGTTAGTGTTTCCAGAACACCAGGCCATACCAAACATTTCCAAACAATCTTTTTAACATCCAATGTACGTTTATGTGATTGTCCTGGTTTAGTCTTTCCGTCAAAAACACCAAAAGTTATACAAGTTTTAATGGGGAGTTTCCCAATCGCGCAACTTCGAGAACCATTTACAACGATAAAGTATTTAGGTAATGTTTTTGATTTATGTTTTGATGTATTGTAATGGCTTTGTTTAGCGGAACGTTTGGATTTACCAAATATGCTCAGGATAGAACACCCTGAAAATGACGATACTTGGTGTGCCATGGATATTTGCGATGGCTGGGCCAAAAAACGAGGTTTTATAACTGCCAAAGCCGCCAGATTGGATAGCTACAGAGCTGCCAATGATTTGTTGAGAATGACTCTGGATGGGAAAATTTGCTTGTGTCTCAGGCCACCAAAGTATTCTAACAAAAAAGGTAATTTGAGTGTTGAAGCGTTCCAAATATGTCTTTGTTCAATCTTGCAAAAAAAACAAGAATTTTCAATTCAGTTCTTTTAGAAGTTGTGACAATTTATTTCTATGGCGAACAATTTTTTTTTGTTATTTAACCCCTTGAAGCACGAATTTTAATTTTATTTCCGATTTTAATGGCATTTGGTGTAGGCCGTCTTTATGTGTAGAAAAATGATGGAATTCTTTTTTGCAAAAAATTGTTTTTTTGTTTTTCCATCATAAAGAAGAAAAAAATTGAAGTTTAGTACACACACACTGGTTTGGCCGCAAAACCATATCCGGTTGACAATAAACTATGTAAAACAACTATACTTACATCTTAGTTAGTTAGTGCTTGAGTAACACATTCGTTCAAAAAAAAAACAAAGTATTTATTTCACTTTTTAAAAATGCAGATACAAATCGAAATCATTCACAGAAAGTAGTTTTTGTGATAATTCCGAACATGCAGTTTTCGCCAGTTGCGAATTTGCAACTTCGCTGTGAAACCACTCTTCGTATAGAAAAAAAAATTCAAGTAAGTGGTTTCTGTGTGAAACCACTATGCTTCAAAGGGGTAACCATCCTTATAATTTTACAATTTTCAGTGGATATTTTATTTTTTCCTAGATTGTATCAGTCAGTGTAGGAAAAAAATTGTTTTGCTTGAGTTAAAAATATTTTTCGCTTTTGTTTAATGCGCCTGTGTTAAGAATTTTTCTCAAGTGGAAATTGTTGGAATTGCAATTCTTTTTTTTTAGATTATTGGGCATCACATCCTGAAATAGAGAAAGTGAAGTGGATTCAAGCAAAGTCTGATGATTCCAATCAGCCAACAGACGACAAGGACTACGTTTCTGATATTTCGGATGAAGAAAATATCCCGGGTTCATCTGGTGACCACAAAGAAAGAAGCAGTGAAGAAAGCGACGATGAAGAGGAGAATGAAGAAAGTGATTCAGATGAGGAACCCACCAATTACGCCCACAATAAATTTGCAGCTTTAGCAGATGACGATTAGAAAAATTGTTAATATTAAGTATTTTTTATTGATAATTTATCATTAAATCCCTTCATTTTTTTTGCTTCTGCATTTTCTTCCATTTGTTAAAAGGAACGACGATTAATGGAACTAAGTCTTCATTTTTTGTATTCGCTGCCACGATTTCTTGGCTCTGCTTCTTGATATCCTCCCTTGTCAATTGCTCACTGGCTTCAACGTATATACCTTCCAACAGGGCTACAAAAAAATATTAAATTCCACGAATAGATAACTTATTTTTTATAAAATTACAAGCTTCACTTAGAGGTTCTTCAGATTGCTCTGCTGGTATCATTCGCTCCTGCATCATTGATTCAATATTCCTGAAAGCCTCATCGGGTTTTGTCTCGTGTTTGAGCGCAAAATAATGTGACATCAAAGGAGTAAACTTGCTAACCAAAATTGGTATAATTTTCGACCCTGAAACACCGATTTGGTTATAGTTTCGACAAAATAATCCCTACCGTCGATTTCATCTTCGACAGTTTCTTCTGGTTTTTCTTTTTTCTCGACTAGTAAGCCGAAAGGGTGTGAACTTGGAGCAGATTTCTTTCTAGTGTCATCTGAAATATCGTAGGAGAGTTGTAAAAGTTGCCGCAAAGCTATGCGAATATTCGCAGCTATTGTTCGCTTGCTTTGCAGGAGTTTTTCATATCTACGCTTTTCATCTCTTAATGTTTCCATTTCTTCCTTCAATTCTTTCTTCCTTGCTTTATATCTACAATTTTAAGTTTACCGTAAATTCATATTTATCGTATAAAGTTAACTCGACAGTAGTTTCATTCATCGAAGTCTTCAAAACCGAATTCATTAAATTAGCGTGATTGGTTTTGTTCAACATAATGTCTCTGTCGCGTTCACATTTTCTTGTTAGTCGCTTCAAGCGCCGTTTTTGCTTGAGTTGTTCTTCCAGACTTGAATATTGGTAATTAGTAATGTGAACAGTTCAAGACTGCTTTCTTACCAGGGATATATTGCATCATAAGACCGTGCCAGCGTTGTATTTTTAAGAAAAGCCAGAGTTTTTTCAACTTGGTCCACATCTCTGCGCAGATTTTCCATGCTAGGGGAATCCTTCAAACTTCTAGCACATGTTGTAATATCACTCTACAAAATTTAAATGGACATAGTGTTTTCTCGTATCAAATAAATTACATCTTTTCGTAGCAACATTTTAATGCTGGCAGTCGCATGTTCAACGTGTTCTTGCAAAACGCGAATGTCAGTTTTGCGAGTAGTCATATCTTTGATTATAATTTTTTCAAGTGTGTCATATTCTTGTCTTCTATCGTCTAGATATTCCGTCGCAAGTTGTCCGAGTTTAGTCGCACCTAAGAAACATTTGCTTTGGCTAAATCCATCGTTTCTCACTGTTGCTATAATCGCATCAAAGTATAAAGCGTCCTAAGGCAAGAATTTGAAATAAGTCAAGTTCCAACAGTTGAAAATTACTTTTTTCATAATGTCGATTATTTCACGGTAAATGTGATAGATAGCTGAGGCACCTTCCTTTCGCAAAATCGCGTCTTGTAATTTGCCGGTTATAATTTGTGCTTCTTTTTCCTGTTTGATTTGCCCCAGAAATGCGTATTTCAAACGGTCTTCCAGTAATGCTTGCTCCAACTATGGTTAAACTTTAATTACAAAAATGTTCAATGAACTGTTTTAGGTACCTTTAAATCTATTAATTTTTGCGACCTCATTTTTTTCTCATATTTCAACCTGTCCAAAACTTTCCGTTTATTAAAATTACGCTGTTTAATTTCTTCAATCACTTTCTAGAATAGACATTGGAAGAAATGAAAACAATTTTTAATAAAACCTTCGGTTGCGAATTTTGGAAGGCCAACTGAAGCTCCCTATGCTCGGCTAAAGTATTACGCAGTTTCTGTTTATCACCCCTAATTTCGTTGTCCAACTCCCTTCGATCATTATAAACCGCCTTTTGCAAATCTTTTATAAGCCTAGAGAGTTTTCTCCGAGTCACATTTGTATCGAGTTCAATAATTTTCCGATCTCTTGCTAAAAACACAATACAGAAACTGAATCTCAAGAAAAAAATTTAATTACTATAAAGACTGATAAGTCCTTTGTACTGATTTATTTTATCTTTTGTTGTCCATTTTTCTGATTTCATCCCATGGAGCTTCACTTTTTTGGCCGAAAACATATTAATAACGTTCCAATTCATTTTGAATACTCGAAAAAAACCCACGGAAAAATCAAACCACGCGCATCTTTCAACGTAACTTACAAAACTTCACATAATCGTTGCTACTTGATACATTTATTTTATTAAAATTATTTACAAATGTAATTTTCCACAAATGTATCAATATCAAAAAGAATATTTAAAGTATCACTGAGTATTTGAGTTTTGTTGGGAAGTGAAGACAACCAAACGTTTAACTGGTTATTCGATTTCTCCTGGTCCAGAAGTCTTCGCAAATTTTCGTCCCTCAATGCCAGACTGCAACAAAATCATATAGAGGAGCACTAAAACATTATTGTTATTACCCACATTTTTAATAAAATAATAGCAACGTAGGTCCAAACTGCAGGCTTGAAAACAATATTGTCAGCTTTCAATTTAAAAGTCCTAACCAAGGATTGCAAATCTAATAAAACTAAACTTGGACTTATCCTCAATGTCTGGAATAAAGTTTGTACCCTACAAAAAATTATTTCGTAATTAGTTATAATTCATTTAGAACATTACGTTTTATTGAGTGAATTTAGGAAGATTTTTCTTCTTAATGCATTTTGGGAATTGATATCAACTAAGGGTAGTACGGCGGGTTGTTCCTCTTCTTCATTGGTCGTTTCTTCTTTTTTTGTGGGGAAGTTTTTATTTTCTTGGATATGTATTTCGCCGCTGTAGAAACATTTTACTTTTAAATCAAGTTCACGACTTTCTTCTTTCAATTGTTGATAATCAGGGATGGGCTTTAATGTCTTATCTCCAACAACGGCTTTATCAAATTTTTCTTCAGCCAATTCTCTCAGATGCAACTTTCTACAAATGTCAAAGTACCTTTTCTGTTGCTCCACTTGCAATTGTGATATTTTCAAGGAGTCAAAATAGTGACTTAATTTCTGACTGTCTAACTTTTCTTTGACTTTTTCTTCACCATGAATGAACATAAGCGTTTCTAAAGTTAACCATTCTTTAATACATTTGTAGATATGTGATTCCACATCACTGTTATTTATTTGTTTATTTTGAGCCGACGGGTTTTCTTTTATTTTCACCGTATTTTTATTTTCTTTATTTAATACAGATTCTTTCAATTCGTCAATTTTTTCAGTGGTGGAATCTTGTGTCACTTCAGATTCAATTTGCTCTTCTTCCTCATTTTCATTAATAGTTTTCATTGCATTTCTTTGGTACTTTTTGGGTTTCTTTTTTTGTTTACTTGTTTCTTCCTCCTGGGAGTTTAATTCTAATTCTTCTGCTTCATCCAATGACATTTGAGTGAAACTTGATACTGATGTAAAAAACGGCTCCATAACTGGTTTTGTTATACCCTGGTCAACCACTTCTCCTGGCAAACCCCTAAAACATTTTTTTTATACATGTACTTACACACGAATTCTTTACTTTTCTGATTTGTTGAGAAGTGTGTAATGGATCTTTTCGTGCTTTCTGAGCCATAATGGACTAGTATCTATCTGGCCTTTGATATGAAGACTGGCGCGATAACAAAAATTGCTACAATAATTCTACAAAAAATATAACATAAGCAGTTTCATAACAGATTCATTTCATACCTTGCGATCTGTTATATCGTAAACCTTGTTATTTTTAGTGGAAATGTAAAACTGTTTCTTTGGCATATCTGGAATTCTTTTGGAGCAAAGTGGATATCCACACAGCTTACTCAGGGCCCTTTCTTCAACAATGTCTTGATAATGAGATTGATTAATGTAGGGTAACTTTACAAATAGAATTATTAATTTTGTATTACACCATATTACTATACTTACACATTTGAACAAAGCATCTGACCTCATTTTCCCTTCTATTGCGAACTGAAGTATTTGCATTGCTTTCGCATCACATTCCTTTTTTATTTGAGCAGTAATTAGAACTTCTTTCCTAGAAATAATTAAGTAAATGGGCCAAGTTTAACAATTATTTTTTATTATGAAAACTTACTTAACCGGGGTTGGTCCCTCTTTGCAGTTGCGCGAAATTCGAATATAATCTTCAAGCGAATCTTGCATACTTTTAATCACAGAAATTAAATTTGTGCATTAAAAATTTCAAAACAATTGTAAAACAAATTAGAGAACAACGCATAACCTTTCACACTTGTCAAAAATGACAGATTTTTAATGCCACGTGACCGCACTCTTCTCGCTGATAGGTGAGATTTGATGTCACAAATGTCACATGATTAAATCGGTGCCTTTTATCGATTTTCGGATAAATGTTGGTAATTGTTTTGGTTTTGGTAGTGGTTGGCGATCCTGTGTGTGATTGACGTGAATTTGGCAACAAAGGGGAAGGGGAATGTCAACACGTCGAAGAAATTTATTGAAGAATAATTAATTTTTATTCAATGCACATTTTTAGGTGCTCGAATTGTTGAAATATTGTTAAAAATGGCAGGCTCAGCTTTAAGACGCCTAATGGCCGAGTACAAACGTAACTTTTAAATCTAACCTCAAACTGTTTTCATTTATTTGTTATTTGTAGAACTAACTCTGAACCCCCCAGAAGGTATTATTGCGGGCCCAATAAACGAAGAAAATTTTTTTGAGTGGGAAGCGTTGATAACGTAAGTACGTCACTATAGAGAAACCGTTTTGTAACGGGTTTTTAGGGGCCCTGAGGGAACATGTTTTGAGGGTGGTGTTTTCCCGGCTAAACTGATTTTCCCTCCCGACTACCCCCTAAGTCCCCCAAAAATGCAGTTTACTTGTGAAATGTTCCATCCCAATAGTAAGTACATTAGTGGGTGTTGTAACAGAAAATGAATCAGCAGATTTTAGTTTATGCTGATGGGCGAGTATGCATTTCTATTTTGCATGCCCCAGGAGATGACCCTATGGGGTATGAATCGAGTGCTGAGAGGTGGTCTCCTGTACAAAGCGTTGAAAAAATACTTCTCTCAGTTGTCAGTATGCTTGCAGGTATGTTTTTCAAAAACAAAATATTTAAAAAATCACCACGATTTTTTAGAACCTAATGATGAAAGTGGAGCTAATGTTGATGCTGCAAAAATGTGGAGGGAAAATAGGGAAGAATTTAACAGAATAGCGGAGAGGATTGTAAGGCGAACTCTTGGGATTCCCACGTGAATTTTTTAACCGATTTTAATTGAGAGTTAATGTCTGTTTATGTTAAATTTTTAGTAATTTATGGGGAATTAAAGTTTAGTTTCAAAGTTTAGGTGCAATTTTATGTTTTTTTTTGTGCTAAGGGATGGTTTGTTATGCATTTGAGCTTCCTAAAATGTTACTATTTAGTGAGAAAAAAATTTATTTCAATATATTACTTCTGAATAACAGTTAAACCATAAACTTAATCTGTTAGGAACCTAAGCTATAGATGAAATAAATACAGTAGCGTCCATTCACATTAGGGGTTTGTTTAGTCTTGTCTAGCGCGCCAAACCCCTTATTGTGACTAACATGTTCACAACCTAATAAGAAATACGTTATTTTCTGACTTAACTACTATCATGTGCGTTTGCTTCCTTATAAATAAGTTATTGGCTTAAAAACTACGGCTGACTTCCAAGCATAACAATACTAAAATCACATTAAAACTTTGGTCTGAAAATTAATTGCACAAATTTAACAAAACAAAATAATAAATAACTATAAATATGAAAGAAAGTGAAAACCTCAGGATTGTCGAGGATTAGTGTTATTTAAAACAACATAATTATTTAGAGGTACGTTGGAAACGATAGGTGCTTGGACTTCTTCTTCCTGATAATCGCGTCGTATCGCTGGAGTGGGAATTCTAGGAGGGACTTGTTCATTACTTGTATCTTCTACATCTATCAGATGCTCTGAATAATAATGTGGAGTGTTCAAATAATCAATCATTCTTCTCGGTAATGGAAGACTGGGAATCAGATCCCGGCGAACCACTTTGTGGATTGCAAATCTATCAAGTAAAATATTTAATGCAGGATTGAAAATAATAACAAATCGGTTACCTACCTGCAAATGTGCTGTAGGCTCTGTACTTGCTTAAATCTCGATACCGGATGTAACAACTGCACTCTAACTGGACCAATCACCGGCCTTCGATGCAAAAAGAACAAATACCTACCACTACGAGAATGTTCAACCGCATTTTCTATAAATTCTACGATTGTTTGCGACTTGAACTTTGTACAACTACCGAAACTAAAATTACCTGAAATGTTTTCAATTAGTTGAATATTTGATGTTTTCATTTTGTATACCCTGATCGTGATCAATTCTGACATGTCTAACACAATTATTCAGTTTAAAAGTTAGTGAAAAAATATAATGATCGTCGCTACTATCACGTACAATAAAGGATCCGTCTGGTTCGTTGGACAGTATTTTTTCGGCAACCTCGCTCGGCAATGGACCCCAATACCAACCATACTGAAACCGACACATAAAACACTACAAATAAAAATGTGTTCTAATTACGTCTTTAACTCTTTGGATACTAGTGGCGAAATCTAAAATCTGTTCATCTGCTTTCTCCTCTTCTTTGAAAGGCAAAGGCGGCAATGCCCTACAAGATATGTTATTGTGTGTTTCCTCCGCCAAACTGGCGTTGCTAATATAATTCGATTTTTCTTGTACGTCGCTAACATCACATTTAACGTGTTCGGGCGATAAAAACCTTTTAAACCTAAACATATTGCATAAAGTCTGCTTAAACGAGAACAACTTCGCTGGTGTCTTTTTGCGCTTATCTGGTTTACTCGTTTGCGAAATATTTATTTGTTTGCCGACATTATCACAGGAGTCTTTAACTTTTTTATTCTTAATGTTAATAAGGAATGTGCTCTTTTTTGTTCTTCCGTTCGTGTTCGCGGCACAAATCGTTTCTCTCTTCACCGGCGAATTGTTTTGTTCCGTTGTGTATTTGTTTTCGGTTATTATCAATGGATGTTTCGGTCTGCAACTGCGCTCTTTGTGATCGGATGAATCAGATGAACTTGAATACAACGTTTGGAGATAATGCCTCACTTCTTGCAAAGTCATGTGGATCGGTTCCCCTTCGATCGGTGCGGACGTACCAGCAACACTGTGACGTTTGTTTTCTTTATGTAAACACCAATGATACTGAAAAAATTTCATGTTTCATACGCGCCAGATCTAATAATAAGTCATTAACATTGCGGTAAATGATATCATATGTGCTAAAATGATAAGTGAATGCGATTAAGCCACAAGTATGTATTTTCGCGTCTTAAATGACATGTAGAAAATATTATTACTGATGTGGTGACGACTCACAACAAGGTTATTTGCGTTTTCTTATTAAAATTTCTATTTTTATCTAAATTAAAATTTTCATATCTCCATTTATTATTCAATAAAAAATAAAGTCTGACGTTCACATTGATGTTAATATCTGTTCCGAATTATGGCGGGTCGTTAAAATAAACGAAAAAGAAGACTTTAACATCACTTATCTACAACATTTTAAACAAGATATTATGTCTACGCCACTTTTGTGCCTTCCTTTCTAACAATCATAATTTTACCCCATAATTTCCGTTAATATAAAATAAAAACATACATTTGTTGTTGGAAAATTAGCACAGCAACACGTATGTCCATTTCAATTAAAAATCAGTTAGGACTTGAAATTATTGATCAAATAACAAACTATGGTAACGGATCTATAAAGTGAATAATCAATTTTATTATAGTACAAATTCGATAGGTATTCTACTAGCCTACAAATAATAATATTTTTAAAAAGTTTATGTCTTTAAAATGGAAAAAAAAATCATCAAAAATTGAACCGAATGTATTGTAATTTTCTAAGCACCAAAACTGTTTCAAGTTACAAAAGATTTAATTTCATGTGATAAACCAAAAGTAATATTATAAACATTGTTTTCGTTTAAATATATTTTTTTAGAGTATTATGCTCAAAAAATAAATACACACAAAAATACCACTCGAAAAAATTAACAACATCCAAACTATTTATTGATTATTTTTTAATAGAAAAGGGGTGTGTGCGCTTTACTTTATCTAAAATTCCAGACAAATTTTACAAATGTAGTAGACATGTAGTAAACAAAACACTCGAACGCAAGCGATTTTCTCAAAATCCTTTCAACAAAAATTAAAATAGGTTTCAAATTCGCATTTCAACACTCCAAAAAAGTTAACGTCTTATTTTTTTCTTTCTCATTTTGTAAGATTATTGTTTTCGTATATCAATATCTTTTTTTTAATTAGTTTTTCTTTAAAGAATATGCTCGTAACAAAACTTCATAAGCGCTTTACAGAAATCTATAAACTTCTTAATAACATTAATATGTACTTTAAAATAAATACTTACAATTAATTAGTTTCTTCCTAACAATCTTTTTTTTTATGCAGTAACACGAAAAATGTAAAACATAAACTTCACAAATGTATTTTTAATTCGCTTTCATACACAAAACTAGTATAAAAACCAAAATAATCTTGAAAGGTTGTTGATTAAGCCTAATTTGTGCACTAACAAGATTAAAATAAAGTGTCAAACTATTACTGGGTTCTTCACATTCAGAGGTATTTATCTTGGATCACGACCAACATAATTGTTTTTGAAGCGACAGCGACAGCACATAATACTATTTTTCAACAAAACATAATTCTTTGCCCAAAACAGTCAAAAGATCAGTAGTTAATAGGTATTTATGCAACTAAGAGTTAGAAATGGCGAATGCAGCGAAGAATTTTTTAATTAATTACAAAAAATTTGACAAAACACGTTTAGAAAAATGTGATTTTTGTATAATATAATTTTTTTATCGTCATTTTTTTTCATTAATTTAGTTTTGCAATTCTGGTAGAATAAATATGCGATCGCTAAAAATAGTTTACAGAGGATGTTGACTTTCGTCATTCACAGCGAGACGTGGTACTTTTTAAGTTTATATAATTATAACTGCGAAGTTTAAAATCTAGAAATAAAACTGAATTTTAATAAAGGCCAATACGAGCAGTTAACTCATACTTAGAAGATTATTAAATATTAATTACATTATTAAAAGAAAGTTTGATTCTACAATTTTTTTTTTTTTAAATATAGGAGACTTTTACCACTAGTACTATAAAAATGTTTAATGCTCACCCTTTCGGCCTTCAAGGTATTTTTCTTGCTTGAGATAATCCTGCACTGCCTCGCTTCAATTTCCCGGCACCCCGACGACGTATTCCTCCGCCTCTTTTTATTCTGCTGGTGTCTTTTGGGCTTTAGTGGTGGTTTAATAACATCCACCGGAACGGCATACATATCACTGTCAAAGGGTACATTGTACAAATCGCTTATTTGGTTTGAAGAAAGCGTATCATGCGAGACTGCCTGCGTTATAAAGCTCGAATCATCAACTTTGTGTGCAGCAGGGACGGACAAAGAGTTATGTGAACTTGAAAGACGTGAAGAACCAAGAGAGCTCCTTGAACCAGGCCTACCATGGCATGGGCTGTATGAGATGAACTCAGATGTGTAATACGGTCGTCCTAGTAATAAATGATGCGAAGGGCGGTGAAAATAATTCAAAATTTTCATCCTCCTTAACTCAATGTCTTTATATTCTTCAAATGCTTTGCTTAAGATTTGGCTTGCGAATTGGTCAAAGAAGCTATCTAGTATGTCAGAGGGTGGTTTGTCTTGAAACTCTAAGGGGGGCTCTATGGGAGAGGAATGTTTCAGCGAGTAGTCCATCCAATTAGGGCCTTTCTTTAAAGTGTTGAAGTTCTCTCCACACATAATATCTGACATACCATCTAAAGAATCTTGTGAAAAGGATTTTTCTTCGCAATCACTATCCTAAGTTTTAAATGTGTGTAATAAAAACAATATACGTGAATGCAAAACTCACCTCTATGTGTAAACGATTAGGGCCACTTCTACTATCTCCACTCATACTACCACTAGATATAGAACTATTTGTTAACAAAAGACCACTGTCATCACTTAAAACAAAAGCTTCGGACCATGTTGTGCTTGAAGGGGGCGATTCCATAATTAAATTACTTTTTCGTCTTCGTAATTACCATTTTTGTCATTTCTGGTCACTAATTCGGTAAAAAAGAAAGCAACATACAACAACCCAAAAAGATGATAATAACTTTATATACTCAAAGGAAAAACTTACTTTGTTTATATTAATTTCGTGTATTTTTATTCTAATTTTAATTTCTTAAAAACCTTCGCCATCGTCGCAAAGTGACAATTGCTGTCATCTGTCAAACACCTTAGTAACATTTGTTAGTTATGTTGGCAGTTGAGTAACCACTTTTATTTAAAAGTCCAAAACACTTTTCATTAATCATTCGCCCCACCTTGACCCCCTTTTTAAGGGAATGTAAAATAAGACTGTTGAGTCATAAGTGTATTATAATTGTACAAAATAGGAACACATAAGTAAAACCGAAAGTATAAATTCATTTTCGATAAAAATTTCTTTTAATCTCGCAGTATACAAAACAAAATCGAGGTGATACCAACAGATTACATAAAAATATTTGTATTCAGTCGATAGATAAGAACTTCGATTTGGGAACAGTTGTCTTAAAAAATTATTTTCTATTTGTACTTTACATGTGTTTACAATTTTATACAATTTTTACAAGCACAAATGAAATATTTACAATAGGGGACCAAGCCCTTAACAAAAAATTACAATAATAAATCTATAATAAATCACAGACAAAACTCTCTTAGAAAAATGTACAAATACCCACAAACGGGAATCCACTGCACCTGGAGTTTTTAAACTACGATGTTAGATCGAGTCTAAACGGTTTGTTAGTGTATGCTCCACTATTCAGTAACTTGTGAAATTCACTATCACTTTTAGACACCGTACTGTTTCTTGTTGAATCAGTCTTTTGACGTTTTCGGACCCTTGTTACTTCTTTGTCGGTTGCGTGTTTTTTCTTGGCCGTCCTGAAAGCTGGACACAATTAAATCTTTACACGTATAAGATCAAGGTTAATTGGAAATCATGTAAATAAACGACAACAGCAACACAAATAACAAAGAACACAAAAATACACAACCATCGACAAGACTTCAAAAATTAAAAAATGTCTTAAGTTAGTTAGCTGTTACATGGAAGAAATTAACATGTGCAATAACTACAATTATGTACTTATCACAAAAATTTGCAAACCTCAGTTGATTATTTTTAATACTAACATTGGTATGTTCCTTTATTTTGGATATTTGTTCTAACATGCGTCAGAACTGGCGCCCTAGAGAAAAATATCATGTAAGGTAAGATACCAGGAACATGAAAAAAATGTTAAAAAAAGTCTATCTATAAAAAATTTGGACTCTATTTATTTCTGTGGAAAAATAATTTTCCAATTTTTTTTTGCAACAAGCTATTAGAAGAGGAAATAAGGAAGCTGTATGCTCAATTGTAACATTGTTTAATGTTATTTGTGGCTTTGATTGTCAAAATTGTTGTACCTTTACTAAATAATTATAAAAAAATAAATTCGCGCCCCAGAAAAAAAAATTCAAGTAAGGTAAGATACCAGGGAACATAAAAAAAATGTTTAAAAAATTCTATCTGTCAAAAAATTCTGAGATATATTTTTTGACATTTGAAATTTTTTTATATCTATTTAATGATACTGATGATCTTGTATATGTTTTTTTACATTTATTTATTTCACAATTATTTAAGAGACAAAAATTTTGAAAATAAAAGTCACAAATAACATTAAACAGAGTTACAATTTAGGAGACAGCTTCCTTGATTCATAAAGAGCCTATAGCAAAAAAAACTTGGAAAATTATTTTTACAACAGAAATAAATGGAGTCAAAGTGCAAACTTTAAACCCTTATAACTTCGAAATTTTTATAGATAAAGTTTTTTTAACATTTTTTCCATGTTCCTGGTATCTTACCTTATATGGCATTTTTGTCTGGGACGCGAGTTCTGGCGCACCTGTATACAAGATCATCGGTGTCAAAAAATAAATGTCAAAATTTTTTAAACATTTTTTCCGTGTCCTGGTACCTTATCTTACATGAAATTTTCCTCTGGGGCGCGAGTTCTGACACACCCTGTATACATAAAAAAAATACTAGCAGATCTCCAATTACTTTTGAATATCACATGTGTTCAAATAAAGGAGTTCGCATATTTATTGATCGTAGTTGAAGCAAGAAATTTTTGTTTCACTATTAGCAAAATCTTCATTAAAAGTTAGAAAACTAAATTTTGGTTAAAAAAACGTGGCATATTTTTTATCCATTCTGTGTTAATTGGTTACTTTTTTAGTCTAATCGATTCGTAACAGATACTGACAAATAGTTTTAGAGATGCTGTATAAAAAAAATGTTCTCTCATTGAACGGAACGCTATGAATGAGAAAATTATTAATTAGTATACTAATTCAATGCTAATAAGAAACATGTACCCATTTTCCGATCAAATAGACCATGAAAAAATAACCGTATAAATAGAAACATTAAATTTCTAAAATACTCACCTCTTTTTCGAATGTCAGTATCGGCTTTGCTATTAATTTGGTTTTCTGTAACACATTTCATTAAAACAGATCACTGTGTAAATCCGTACCTTCTTACCAGCTTTCCGTTTCTTTGGTTTCTTCTCTACATGTTCACGAATTTTCACTGTCATCGAACCTTAAAACATAAAAAAAAAACAGTTTATTAACTCGTAGGTACGTAGCTTGAGATGTTATATTTATAAGTACGAAGTGTCCATCAATGAAGTTGGAGTTCATCCATCGACGAAGAATTATTGGCATAAAAATCACATGCAATTTACTTTATATTAAATTATAAAATAAAAAATCTTCTCTTGATCATTCTTCCATAAATAAAAAATTTAAATGCTCAACAAATTAATAAATAAGAGATTACTTCACAGCCAGTGTGGAAAAAATTACTAGATTAGTAAATACTGAATTGAAAAATAAAAATTGACTCAATTGGAATGAAACTTAATGACGTCTTCTTTGTCTTCCTTGCTTCCTGTTTGCTTTCTTCACGTTGGTTTCCTGTTGCTGCTGATTTACTTTGGCTTGTTCAAAATTCGAGACATTATTAAAAGGTACTAAAATAGGAGGTAAAGAATAGTACGACCCGCAAGGTACATTAATAAAAGGTACAGGCACATTATTCATGTGATAATTAATAGTAGGATTGTGATAAGTGTGATTATTGATATTAAATTGGCCTGTAACGATCGGACTAGTATCAGAATCTACATTACAAAAAACAGGCAAAGGCGGCATTTCTTTTCGTTCAGCTGGTGTTTTAAACGGTCGTGTGTTATTAGCTGGTAACTTTCTTGGATGCAACGCTTCCAATTCCGCAATGCTAATCATGGGCGTCGCCGGATAACTGATCTCTTCTTTCTTCTCTTCTTCATTCTTCTCTGCCACCGAAAGCTTCCGTTTCTTGAGAGGTAACCGCGTCTCGCCGTCCGAATCATTTAAATTTTGCCAATCAATTTTTAAAAAGACCTCGTTTTTAAAAGTTTTATCAAAATCGTAAGATTCAGGAACAGCTGTTGGTAATTTTATAGTCTCATCTAGCGATTCTTTTTTTAACTCTGACTCTGTATTTTTTAAATCGCATTTATTATTATTAATAGAGTGAGAGGTATAAAAATTTGAATTATCACAAAGTAACGATTTCGGGTTGACCATTTCTGGTGTTTCTATTGAAGTTTCCTCGAGACAGTGTTGCAGCAACTCGTCCTTGCCTTGCAATAAAGTTGGGGAATTGGAGAATTCGGATTCAGGGTCGACAGGAGGTAGGATATTAGGAATAGTCAAATTCAACGCATTGTCTTCAACGTTGCAATTCAACTTGGTAAATTCTTCAGCTAACTGGTTGCAACACGAGGACTGATTTTTCTCACATTTCGAGGAAACTTTCTTGCAGTACACATCAACTGGCGACTCTACTATACCTGTATTACTGAGTTTATCATCGACAATCCATGAAAACCTAGGTGGGGAAATACAACGTACGACATCCTTCTCATTGATGTGAGGCGTCGTCTTATCGTAGTCTACCCTCAACGTGCCCGTAATATTAACCGCTTTCTTGATTTTGTTTTCGATAAAGGACAAACGCTCAACCGCCACCTTCGGTATCATGTTCAGTTTAGGGTCCCTTCGCACCCGTTTCGGCGCTAAAACGCCAGGAACCGGCCGTCTCGAAGAGGTCTTCTTGAGGATGCTTTTAAGAACTTTGGGTTCAGCTGGAGGCGGTCGAACGTGCCCATTCACACTAGCACTGTAGTAGCCACGAAAATCGTCGATGGCTTCGTAAGGCGGCGAAGTCATTTCCGTTGGACTATTCGACCGACTACTCGCACTCGCGACCTGTTTGGGCACAGAATCCTGGAAAAAGTCCAACTTGTCTTGAACTCCCAGTACGGGGTGCTTCGTAGGCACCGCCTTGGTGACGGGGCCCGAGAGAATGTCCTCAAAGTCGTGATTCTCCTTCATTTTGCTCCACCGGACGTGTATTGCGGCTTCAAACCGAGAAAAGTCATCCAGCGGAGCCGCTCGGAGTTTCTGCGATGAAGTATAAACGATTTTCGATGGTGTTGGAACATCCTTTGTCTGGCCGTTTGTTCGGTTGGAGGATAGGAGAGGTTTCAAAACGGTATTGCCATTAAAAGTTTCAGTTCCTTTGAAATTTTCTGCAATCACTGGAACGATGTTTGGGGCTGTATCTGGGATAATTTCTTGGCCCGTGTCGATCTGATCGTTGTTTTTGGAACCGCTATATTCAGGGATTTGGAGATCGGGGTTTACCCGAATCTTCAAATGAGGTTCAACATGACTGTTATCCACTTGCAGGTCATTTATATCGATTTCCTCCGTATTTATATTCGGAATTTCGGCCATGTCTAACTGGTTTTCAAAATCTTCAAATTCGGAATCAAGATTTTCTTCACTTGGACCGCAAATTTCACCGCCCACCTGCTTAGTATTATCAACTTCAGTCTCACTTTCACGAACATCTTCTTCGACGAGTTTGTCCTCGTCCAGATCTTTGTCATCTTGTCGTATATTCGCATACAAACAAGTTTTCTGTAATCTCGTTGCGTGGTCATCCAAGTGTGTGTCGTTTGGAGGCGTCAAACCGTAATCGTTATACGAACAACTCTCGATACTTGGGGGATCCACCTGCACGTCGATTGTCCTTGTTGTCACCGCTATTTTCTCAAAAACGTTTTCACTGTTCTTTTTCTGTCCGATATCTGCATATAGACGAGGTTCGACTGCTCGTTGCTCATCCAGAGGTACATCAAAAGGTGGCGTCGTCAGTCCATAGTCGTTATACACGGAATTACTCATAATATCAGCTTGGACTTCAACACTTTTCATTTCGACCGTCCTTTGAGTGTTATTTTCACAAACTTGATCACTTATCTGTGGACTAGAAGGACTTGAAATATGTGTATCGTTCGAAATCAAGGACACTTCAGGTTGATTTGTTTCTGGTGGAATTTCACTTGCACTAATCACTTCTTTGATTAAAGGTAGAACTGGAGTTGAAGGTTCCGTTGGAGCTTCGGCAATGTCACTAGGCTGGCAAGAAATTGACGATTCAGAGACGGTTCGAGGAGATCCAACACAAATTGACATGATTCCATTCAAGTTTTCCAAAGTAGAAGTCTCAAGAGTCTTTTCTATCACCGGCTCCAGGAGTGACGGCGGAGTAGCAATTGAGGATCTTTCTTCTTCGATTTGGACTAGTGGAGTGGCGTCACTATTAGTCTATAATAAAATAATATGACTAAAAGTATACCCAACAACAAACACATCATCAAAGTTTATTTGAATGGTACCAAAACTATCCTTCCTTACAAGTTTTATAATTAGATATGTATAAACATATAAGGTATAAAGAACAAAAAAATAAAAATAAAAATAAAATCCAGTCAAATAGTCAAGTAAAAAATTTCCTTAATTAAACAAACAAAACTTAAAACGCTTCATAAATTTTGTATACCAACAAGTGTAAACAATTCTGTTTTTTATAAGGTAATCAGAAATACGTCATATCTTAATAAAGACATATTGAAAATCTTTTTTAATAAGTGAATTATTGTCGCAGGTCGAGTAAAAATAAAACACCAAAATGGGTAACCAAAAATAATTTAAAATTTTTGGAGGGCGTTTCCATACCAAAATAAATATTTAAGTGTTACATAAAAATTGTTACAAAACAAATCTTATTGGATTCTCAAAATATAAAAATACTTACATTACCAATCCTAGGAATGTCATTATCAATCTGATGTATTGGCCCTTGTGGCAACATCGTAATGCCGAGAAATTGCACATCGTCATCCTCGTCAAATTCCTTCTTACATTTCCTAAAGATATCGACTTCCTCCATATCTGAGGAATTTATCAAATGCGATAAGCTAGACATATTTCTTTCAATTTCATAATACGCCTTTAAAAATTTAACTTCTTCCTCATTTTCATCCTTAAATGTTTAAAATATAAGACAACAATCAAGATTAATTATGTTAAAGCTTACATGGACTGGTATTGTCGGTTCATCCTCGCCTAGATCAATATTGAAGTCTATATCGGCCATATCCAGATTTTTCTTTGCCGTAACGTGTTCAAAATACGCATCTGATACATCCCGAAACGAGCGAAATAGATTTAAAACTATCTCAACAGTTGATTCAGAAGCTGGCATTAATATTTGTCTAAGCGTTTCGTTATTTTTTATCGATTCAGGAGTCCGTTTAAACCTTTTATACAAAAGGTCATCCATATGTTTCCATTCTTCAATTTTCTGAATTTTTTTCCATTTTTGAAAAACTATGTAATTTCTACAGAACGACTCATCACACAAATTTAACGCAGGTACTTTGATAAGAAAATGCCTTCAATACAAAACTAAGTATACGTAAATTATTAACTTTAAAGACTTACTTGTAGAGAATATTTAATACTCCTGAGCAAGTTTTTGAAAGGTTGGTGGTATTCATTTTAATTAACACGTGTAAAATGTGATCCAGTCGCTCAAGAAGATACACTGTCAACATGTGTATGATTTTCTTAGCGACAGACTCTATTTGTCGTTCTTTTTTCTTTAACGGACGAATTATTGCAAGCTCCAAATTACAGTATAAAGTTAAAATGTCCTCCATGTTGCTTAAATAATTGTCTGGACTACAACACTGTATTTCAACATAGTACAAATACAGACAACTAATGTGATGAAACACTTTATTCTTCAAGATTTCATACTCTTCATAACTATTAACCATTTCTTGAAATGATCTATCAAAACACATGCCAGTTAATTATGTATAAAAAAGCACTTTTTAAATAAACTTACTGCAAATATTCCTTCATTAAATCTCCCAACACAATTTCGTTATCAACCACACTAAACATAGTTAATTTTTTGCGAATTTTGGCGTCCCATTCATATATTATCTCTTCTGGAGTATTCTCAACGTCGTCTAAAAGTATAATAACAACGGTACTCACAGAACAAAGCTGGTAAAAACCAAAGTGAATACTCACCCAAGTTAATAACATCGTCTTCAATTTCGATTACTTCGTTGACTAAATGAGGATCCATGTTCTACTATATCATGAATAAATTAATAAGAACTTAATTATTACTGTTGGGGATCTGCAAAAATGTTCTTGTTTACCGTGAGGTCATAAAAGGTGAGGTTGGGTTATGTTGTCAACTTTTCCAGGAACCACCAAAAATCAAAAAATCAATATTAATACTGAATTATTTACAAACAAAGCGTGCTGTTTTCGTTAAATAGTTAAGATTTTTGTAGAGGAATGAGCTAAATTAAACTAAATTTAAATAACACAATAAAAATGGCGCATTGGTGGGAGCGCTTTAATTTGCTTTATTACACAATATGAAGAACATAAAATACTTATTCGACTTACTCCGCAAATTTCCAAGATATTAAACAACATTATAACAACAATTAATGTTTTGCATCATTTAATTTCTGTCGTTAAATACACATTTTAACGAAAATCTGTCAGTTGACGCATCAACAAATGACATGAAGTTGCACCAGGGCGAGCGGTTACCCAATACCAACCCTGGAAAACAAAACTTCAAACTGGGTGGTTTTTTATTTATTTGCCCCGAAAAACCTATTGCAACATAAATCTTTCTTATCAAAGCATTATTTTATATATTTAATCGCATTTGAGGGCAAGAGACTTATTCCCCTTTTTTGGAAATGGTATTTGAGATGTAAAATATTACAATATACCGGGAACGGTCAAAAAGTCGTGAAATATCCTTGAACTGGAATTGGTTATAATGAGAAATTGAACGCTAACTTATTTCGGTGTTATTTTATATTTGATCAGGCAAATTTATAAGAACTAATATTTTATTAATTAAAATTAAATTTCACAAAACGATTAAAATATTATCTATAAATTTTATAATAAAAATGCACAATATAATAATATAGACAACTTAAGGAATTTATTTAATTATGTCATAGTTCCAAATACAGGATTGTGCCTGCAAATACTAGGTCCATATTCTTCATATGCGGCCTTTGTGTGGCAAACGGTATAAAATTCCGGCTGAAACACAAATTTCCCAATAATTAAAACCTTCAAAACAAGTGGCAAATTACCGTTGAAGCCAACATACTCCCTCCAAACCAAACAGCATACCGTTGCATATGATGAGAGACAACTTGAACATCAATAGGTTTAGGCTACAAATTAGTCCAATCAAAAACTATTTTCAGCAGACGCAATAGCAAACCTTCAATCTGCCACCTCCAAGAGTCTCGCTAAGCTTCAGCCTCGCATCGACTGTCTTCTTTATGTCCCTCTGCAACCGCCGCCCGAAGTCCTTAAACATGGTGGACCCCCCCGACAGAACAATGTTATTATACATGGGCCTCCGTACATCAATGGGACAATTTTGAATCACATCGTCTACGATTTGAGACAACGGAATGGTAAAATCCGGATTGGAAAATTCCGGATGAAAGAAAATCTCTGGTCCCAAAAACCTCTCGTAGCCAACGTCAACGCTGAAAGGCTGTTTGGTAACCGAGTTCATTCCTTCGTACTTTTTCATCCATTTAGCTGGGTCTGCGTCGTATTTCGCAAATTCTTTTGCAATGTCAGGACAAATGTAGCAATGTCTTTCTTTGATTGCTTTGGCGGTTTCAAGAGACTGTTCTGGGGGGATGCCGATTTCACGCTCGCGAAGAAGTGATTGGATGAAGTAGGTGATGTTGCGTCCGGCGATAGGAATGTGTTTGATACAACTACCGATGACGTAGCCTTCGGCCTAAAAAATCATTCAATTATTGTCAACTTTGTCAAAAAGCATTAATTTTTAAACTATCTCCTTAAAAATTCTCACTCACCACTGGAATAACGTGTGTGACACCGTCTCCACTGTCGATAACGATGCCAGTTAGAGTTCTTTCTTCAATACTACGGCCTACCCAACTGGCCGCTAAAGCTAAAACAGCTTGCACAGCAATGTATAAACCAGGTACATTGAACGATTCAAACATAATTTCGGCTGTATATTCCCTATTTTCGGGGGTGTTCAATGGTGGTTCAGTCAATAAAAAGTAATGATCTTCTGGTTCCGCTCGCAAGTATTTGAAAATACACTGTTCTAAAAACCTTTCCATCAAATCCCAATCTTCCACTAAACCGTGGCGAACAGGATACTTGAAAAACAAGTCGTTTAAGTAAAATCATTACAACGTAGAGAAAACGCTTTACTTTGACCGCATATCCAGTAGCTTCAAAGGCTTCATCGCCTATGAAGAAGTCTAGATCTTCAACACCTTTGCACAGTCTTCGACTGGATTGATCGCCGACTTTGGCGGTTTCTTTTATTGCTATAGCAGAGGGTATAATAAATTGTGGTTCTTTATTATTGGCGAAACCTAATTTGGTGTAACTGGAAATGAGGAAAGTTGTTGTTAATAATGTCAAAAGTTTGGTTATGAATGGACATACCCTGTGCCGACGTCGATAACACAAGCTGGTAACCTCCCAGTCATATTGACTATTATGTATTAATAAGAAAATAACAGATAATTTAGAAACTAATTTACTATTTGGCCGAGGAAATTAAATAAAAAAACCACACCTTTCGATATAATAAATGACAGTTTTTCAATCACTATCATAAACCAAACACACTCATCGGGAGGACAAACCGCACCTCCCGGGTGGAACAACTGCGCAAGACCTATCGTCAATCAAATCATTCATGTGTGTATTGTTAGTTTTCTACACTTATACAGTATGTCCCCGGATTGAGTTTACAAGAGGAAAAAATATATCTTTGTTTTACGCCAAAACTGCAAAGGGATAATAAACATAAACAAATGAGTGCTTGAAGAACCTTCTGCAACAAGTGCTTTATACTATTTTTTGTACATATTTTGTCGCTTTATATCATTTTATAAATTTAAAAACGAAAATTTTACTTTTTTCTTTTCTAGAGAATTTTGCGACGGTTGGCGACATTTATGTGGAATAATTTTAGGCGGCTGTAAAAAATAAAAATAATTCTTATTTTTACATTTAAAAATGAATTGTGAAGAAAGTCCGTCACTAAAATTAAATTAACGCCAACGACTTATTCCAGCACTCAAATGACGTCATTTGGGTGCTGGAATAGACTTATTCTAACACCGAAATAGAAAAAAAGTTCATTTTTCTCTTGATTTTGGACTTGAAAAGAAATACAATCGACAAAGATTACATTTTATAACTAAAATAAATATAAAAAATTCTCAAGAAAATTTTAACAATTTTACATTTTTGACCAGGTGCAGGTAAAAATAGGATATTAAAGTACAAGTTGCAGAAGGTATCTTATTCAAGCACAAATTTGAACTTCCTAAACGAGCTCCGTAGCGGCGATTTGAGGAACAAATGAGTGCTTGAAGAACCTTCTGCAACAAGTGCTTTATACTATTTTTTCTATTTTGCGGCTTTATATCATTTTATAAATTAAAAAACGAAAATTTATTTTTTTTTTCTAGAGAATTTTACGACGCTTGGCGACATCTAGGTATGTGGAATAATTTTAGGCGGCTCTACAAAATAAAAATAATTCATATTTTCACATTTGAAAATTAATTGTGAAGAAAGTCCGTCACTAAAATTAAATTAACGCCAACAACTTATTCCAGCACTCAAATGACATCATTTGGGTGCTGGAATAGACTTATTCTAACACCGAAATAGAAAAAATTGGTTTCATAACAATAGGACAAACTAATTTATACATATTTTATATTTTTAATTTTTGACACGTTTTAGGGAATAACAAAAATTAAAAGTTTGCAAGCGATTTTTGTATTTTTTTTGAACAAACTTCAAAAAAAAATAAAAAATATGACTTTTTTGTATACGTTTCCGAAAACAGCTGTTTTAGAAACACATTGAGTCTTTGTGAATTTATGTTTTGGGAGCCTTAACAAAAAAATGTTGTGTGTTACACGTATGTACCTAAAACGTTTTTACGGACTATATGCTCGGTTTCACTTCGTCCGTAAACAATAACGATTCGTCAGCAAAAACTGTGTTTTAGATACTTGTAAGTTACTCAGGTACTTGTAACAAAAATAACTATTTACAGCTTGTAACAAAACTAGTGCTATTTATTTGTTAAATTTTTAAACATTTCATTTCAAGACACAATTTTACAGTAACCTTTAAAACGTAAACTTTATTTTAAAGATCACAGAAAGCACAAAAAAGCTCTGTCACAAAAGATCTGTGAGAAAGACTACTTTACAGTGATCTGCAAAGAATAAAATTGGTTACTATGATAGCATTTTTTTTAACTAATAAGAATTGTGAATTTGTGTGTTTGGAAGCTTTAAGAAAAAAATGTTGTTTGTAACACGTACCTAAAACGTTTTTGCGGACTCATCTGCTATTCCATCCAGACTCGGTTTGACCTCGTCCGTAAACAGCAACGATTCGTCCGCAAAAACTGTGTTTTAGGTACTTGCAAGGTACTAGATGCTATGACATCAACTAATGCCTCAGGTACTTGTAACAAAAATAACTAAATTACAGCTTGTAACAAAACTAATTTCAAGACACAATTTTACAGTAACCTGTTAAAACGTAAACTTTATTTTAATGACCACAGAAGGCACAAAAAAGCTCTGTGACAAAAGATCTGTGAGAAAGACTACTTTACAGTAATCTGCAAAGAATAAATAAAAGTTAAAAAAAATTTTAATCTCAATTTTAATTTTTATTGGCTACCAATTATATGCACAGTATATTATGTAAAATGTCAAGTATTTTTGATCAGTAAAAATAATAAATGCACAGTAAAAATAAAAAATGCACAGTAAAACTAATTAATTAATTTTATCTACAATCACTCTATAAAGAGACTTTATTCCACAGTTTAGATGCGTACAATAAAGTAACTTTATTCCACTGTTAGTAACCAGCGCACCACGTAACAGCTTACTACGTTTAACAGAAAGCACATTTGGCTTAAAGTTTAAATGTCAATTTAATTTTTAATTAAGTTTGGAATAATTTGGGCTTGTATTGCAGTCGTGTGTTAGTCGCGTTTTATCCACTTAAGAAAATTAACCGCTCTCGCGGTTAAACATTCTTGCGTGGATAAAACGCTATCTAACACACTCTTACAATAAATAACTATTCCAGCATGTTCTCATTTAATACTACCAAGGATAAAATTTTGTCGGTCTATTTAAGAATCACCTATATTTGATTGGAAGACATTAAATTATTTTGCAACACATCAGTTACCGTATTACCGCGACTTTTGTTTTTGTACAGCTGCTACATTTATGTATCTTCATAAATTTTTAATAATTAATAATTATTTTTTCAGATTAAGTATTTGCTTTTTGTCGTTTTTTTCGAACTTCAACCAAATTACATAAAAACTGTGATTTTGTGTTAATTCAAATTACCCATTAAAAAAAATCTCGAATGTTCATCGATCAAATTACAAATTCAAAGTTAGTTTCTGATCTCATTTACATAACTACAAAAAAAAATTTAAATATTTAAATAACTATTAGCATAATCTGATCTTTAATTCTCAAATTAATATTTTCATATAACAAGACGATTTTGTAAGTAACGAAAAATTATGTTTGTTGTTGGGTTGTTTTTTGATTAGACTTTAGGTACTCACAATTTTTGAAACAAATTTAAAGTCAGCAATTTTTATAAAGTCATTAGCAATAATTATTTATAAAATATTTATTTATTTATTTATTTATAAAATAGAGAAATAAATATAAATAAGATTTTGCAACTCTTTTAAAATTTATATCGAGCGATCAAGATAATTTGTAATCGAGTCATTTTTGCATCCGAGAACGTATGTCTAATTGCACGTAAAACGTCAAATAAAATGACAAGTCGAAAGGTAAAACGGCAAAATAGGCTGGAATTAGTCGCCGACGTATAATAACACGAGTTGGACCGCTCTTTTTTGAAGGTAAATTATAAATTTAGTTATTAAAATAATCACTTTTTTCATCATGCCATTTTACCTTTCGACTTGTCATTTTACTTGATATTTTACAGACATACGTTTTCGAATCCAAGGATAACTCGATTACAAATTATCTTGATCGCTCGATAGAACCTCTAATCAACAAAATCATCAGCTATTTGAAGGGATCAGAATTGAAGTGAACCAAGTCTATATGCAATTTACACTGAAGATATTAATGTTTTAAATAGTTTTTTAAACAATAAATTTAAATGCGATTTATTTTTGCATTAATAGGTGGAAAAGTGTGTGCAACTATGGTTATAAATAACAGTAATAGGTCTTTTCATATGGTTCGTTTAGCCAAATAGAGAAAAAGTTTGTGATTTTTGTTCACTTTAGCCCTGAAGGCCAGTTTCATAATAGAATTAAAGGGACTTTACAAATAATATTGATTTAGAATGTGCTGATTACTACGGAGTTGGTGACAAAAATTTCACATTCTAAACCAACATTAATTTTAACTGGCCCTAAGTCACTCAATAATTTTTAAATAGTTTTATATTACTAAACTTTTGCCTTTTGCTTCAAAATTATGAAAAAATACTTATCTTCATAAGTAGACAACAAAACAATATCCCCATTCGTGTTATCCTGTTTTGGAAGAGGTACCTGCTACATCACATCTGCCTTGAGATCTTGAGAATCCACAGTTCTAAACAGAGCATTGGCCTGCAAACCAGATTTTCAAACTGTATGGCTCTGATTTTATAGCCGCATTACGTCATACAACAATTTTGAAAATTGTTTTAAGTAGCTCGAATTTTCCACTTGTTAAGTGAATTTTTCAAAAAGGTATGTGACTTTTTATCATTGTCCCAATAAGGAATAATTTTGGAAATTTATATGTTGGCTTTTTTTATTATTATTTGCATAGGTATATGTGAATAAATATAGATATCTATCTACATAGACAAACAGTCCAAATACAACCTTTTATTTTTTAGCTATAAATATTTAAAACAATATACAATAACATTATTTAGCTGAAAAATTGAAAAAAAAAAAAACAAAATAAAAATTTTGCAAATGAGACAATGTAATCAACTAAAACTTCTTTATGTTTTTACCTACAATAATATGAGACTGTATAATAAGATAAAAAAATGCTATAGGTATGCTTCTTGAAAGTAAATTATTTTTTATCTTCCTTATTACATTAAGAAATTTTAATTAAAAGTACTTTATTTTTTGTTGTTGTGTTTTTTTGTTTTTGACTTTAATTGGAAAACTGTTAACGAAGAAGAATCGTCCTTGTCCCAAACACCTTCCAAAGTAAATTGCAGCTCACGTTTAAGGTAAGCGTTGACAAAAATACAAAACGATATGGTAATAACAACACAGACAATAAATATCTTAAATGTTATTATATTTGCGTAGTTGAGTGTTTCGTATTTTAAAGAAAGAAAAATCTCCCCACAACGCAAAATAAATTAAATTTTGATACCAATTTCAAGTCAAGTAAGGTAAGTACCTACACCATTTTTACTTCTAATTTAACCCCTGATAAATATCTAACTGCTGTGGGTAGAAAAAATAAAAAGCTGCATTGATGCATTTTGTCTACAACGGAAACTTTCATTTCTCAGTATTTTGCCTTTTAACACCTTTATAAGTTTTTATTTTTATTTATAATCAAGTATTAAATGATGTAATTGACAATCAGTTAAGTTAAGAACACTATTGTGTTATTTTATTTCTGAAGATTAATAACTGTCATTTTCAAATGGCACTTACATCACGGAAGATTGCTCTTTTCAAAGTAAACTAATAAGAAGGAAGAACTCACTCATCTTTACAAAAATATACATTTTCTTTACACTTGCGTTACAACTGCATTTAATTATAATTAATTTAGATACTTTCACTAGTGACAAAGCATTTATTTAATTATTGTAACGCATTTTATGACATAAACAAAAAATATTTTTAGTTCACATCAGTCTTTTTAGTCTCCCCATTTTTATTAAATACATAGAACTGCTTCTTCTTGAAATAAAAATGTAAACTTGAATTAAAATCTAAAAAAAACTTTATTAATAATAATAAAAAGTCATTTTGAAGTGAAAGAAAAGATGAAGAATTTGTTAAACTTTTTTGTTTACATTTTTCTGAGAACATATTTAAATTTAAAATATTTTTTAATTTTCAGAGTAAAAATGTGGACCGATATATGCACTTATTTAGTTATATTATCAATTATGCTCATGTCCATTTATTTTAAAAATTATATCAGAAGTGTGTATTTGGCATTTCAACTTTCTGGACCTCCAGCAGTACCGTTTATAGGGAACGTACTCTTACTGAAAAATGACCGAAGTAAGTACCCTATTTGATAATAATTATCATTAAGTAAGTTACTCTAATCCAATGGTCTTATGTTGTAGAATTAGAAGAAATAGCCGAGAAGATGTCTGAAATCTACAGTCCATTTATGCGTTGTTGGTTATCAATATTTCCAATTTTTTTTATTTATGAACCAAAAGCCTTACAGATTATTCTAGGCACTAACAGATACACCACTAAAAATATATTTTATAACTGTTTACATAATGTGGTTGGTGATGGTCTTATAACTTCTTCTGGTAGGTAAATAACAACTAGGTACTTACAAAATGAACCGTATTGTTTGTTTTAGGTGAAATATGGAAACAACATCGAAAATTAATTCAACCGTACTTTCACATTAATGTTTTACGAGTGTTTTTTGACATATTTTTGAAATGGTCAATTGTTGTAGTCCACGATTTAGAAAATGAGACAGACGTTAATATTACTAAGTTTGCAAATAAATTTGTTTTTGATGTTCAGGAAGGTACAAAGTGGATAAAATAATTTGAAATAGTTTTGTAAATATTTTTTTAGAATCAATATTAGGCATTTCTGGGAAAAGATCAGAGTCATCTCCTTATAGAGGGTATTTCGTAACAATATATTTTTTATCGCAATGTTAAAATAAGTAAATAATCTTTCAGGGGGCAATTTCTGATGGTGCACAGAATTACAAGACCTTGGCTGCTTTTTAACACAATTTTCAAAAGAACCGACTTTTCAAAAGTGGAAGAAAATCAAAAAAATGTGCTACAGCAATATACAAAATCTGTAAGTACGACAAAGTTCATCTAAAATTTTACACGTTAACTGGCTAGATTTTAGACAGTAAAAGAACAAATTTAAACTGCACCGCTATGAATAATTTAATGAACATGTTGATGGAAATCTCGAACATGAATCCGGAATTTACAGATAATGATATTGTAAATGAAACTTCTACTTTTATGTTAGCAGTAAGTGTTTTTTTCATTTTGTAATTGTAATTATAATTGTTTGAAATACAATACAAGTATTTTAGGGACAAGATTCTGTGGGAGCTGCGTTATCATTCACATTATATTCTCTAGCCGCACATCAAGATATTCAAGAAAAAGTTTTGCAAGAGCTAAATGATATTTTCAAAGATGGAAATCAAGTAGTAACCTTTGAAGATGTTGCTGAAATGAAGTACTTGGAGCAATGTATTAAAGAAACTTTAAGACTGTATCCAAGTGTTCCAATGGTCACTCGAAAAGTGACTGAAGACATACCTTTAGGTATATTTTTTTTCTTTCTGCAAATAAATTAATGCCAAATTAAATTGTCCAAATGAAGTGTGGTTTCAAGCTGATTGTGTTTATACCCTAAACCTACATAACAAAGTTTTTTGTTTTAGGAAAATACACACTTCCAGCAGGAACAAATATTGTGATTTCTCCCTTCGTCACTCATAGATTACCACATGTGTTCCCTGATCCATTGAAGTTTGATCCTGATCGCTTTTCTGCGGAAAATAAAATAAAGATTCATCCATATGGATACATTCCCTTTAGCGCTGGACCTCGTAACTGTATCGGTAATGCTTTATTAATGATTTATTATTTAATTAAGTTTAAACCACCTAACTATTTAAGTTGCGTCAAAGTATTGATTCAATGTTGTTATACGAGTCATATGTTGTTTTCATTTTATTCTAAAATTGTTGGTAGCTATTTATCTCTCCGTATTTATAATTTTAACAAAAAGCTCTTAGAAGACTATAATAATATACCTGATTTATTCTTTTATAGGTTACAAATTTGCAATAATAGAATTGAAAACTGTAATCTCCCAAATATTAAGGAAATATCATGTGTCATTAGTCCCTGGACGAGAAAAATTAAATTTATCATATAGGATGACCTTGAAAGCCAAAAAAGGAATTTGGCTAAGGCTGAAGAAGAGGAGTGTGTAGAATATTAAAAATTTAATTTCCATAAAAATATTGTAAGCGGGATAGGATCTACAGAAGAATTAAAACCACTTTGATTAAAATGCAGAGCTTCATCTTCGTTAGAATTTAAAATAAAAAAATTTGAGATCAATAAATTGATAATGAATTTCAGCTTGTTGTTTAAATAATAAAAATATCTAATCGAGTATCTAATATTAAAAATAGTTTTGTTGTTTTGCTTGTAAGATTTTATTTTTTATTTGATTTTTGTAAAATGCATTTTTTAAATAAAATAGTATTGCTGATACATCGATACTACTCTGGTACTCTTTATCTATTCTTAAGTTTTTAGTCTTTAGTTTTAGCCTTTTATTCTACTTCCCATCTAATTTTTTAATGTTATTTTTTTGACTAGGTACGTTTTTATTAAGACATATCTTACGTTACTGTGGTCTTGCGTTTTAGATGTACGCCTTTATGTTTCTACCTACCTTTTGTTACTCTTAAAAATTTAAATTTTTTTAATATTATTAGAAACAGTCTCCCTATACCACCTGATCAAGTCATGTCAGCATTATCTTTAATTTTTTTGTATTTTTTAGTTAAAAAAAAATATAAACAGTAATAAATATAATTTATTTTAGTCATTGTTACATTAATATAGGTACATAATTGGAGGATACAACAGCTCTTTGAAAACACAAAACGTTAGAACAAGAGAGTAGACCTACCTCTAAATATTTATACATCTTAAAGCACTAATTACACAGAAGATAAAATTATATACATTAAACATAGGTACTAATACGCGTCAGTTAACTTTTTGGCGAATTCCAGAAAGCAGCAGCTTTCTGAAAACTTGCGCTTTTTGGTTTGTCTTTTCGATTTACGGCCGGCGATTTTGGACAAGTTTTTGAAATTTGATCATTCAATTGGTTCGAATTATTATGCTTGGACATGTAATATTCGTTTGACTGCTCTTTGGCTAAAACCGCTTGAGTTTTCCTCAAAAGAGACGGCGAAGGACACTTATATTTTACACTCGGAGGTTTCAAGTTATTAGTTTCGTTAGGAGACGATATTTTCTGAACTATTTTTTCAACAGTTGACTTAGAAGATATTTTATCGTTTCTATCATCTATAGCTTTGGGAGTTTTAGAAATACTTAACAATTTTTTGTGTTGCACTGGAGACGAAGCAGTTTTATTTAGCTTGTTATTAACTTCGAGCAGATTGATGGCGTCATTTTTTTCTGTTTTACTGGGTTTAGCTTGCTCTAATTTATTATTACTACTATCTACAGGTTTTGGGAGTGTGTCGATTTTGTCAAATTTCTTGATGGTTTTGGCCACGGATCGAGATGAATAGATGGGCAACCGTTTTAGGCTACCTGTCGAACTTGGTGATTTAGCTAAAAATAAAAACAAATAAGAAATAATTGACAATACAACAACTAACTAAAACCCCTCAAAACGCACACTAAAGCGTACTTACATTTTGAAGTCACTTTTTTGGTTAGTGTATCAATTTTACTTTCCAGTTTTAACACATCGGGTCTTTTGATTTCGTCAATTTTCTCAATTGGCTTAATACGACAAGCAGGACTCAAAATTATAGAAGTGTTAGAAACGAATTTCGGTGACGTTTCATTGTCTGAAATTTTACGTTGTGGTTCCGGTTCTTCATTGATAGGAAATTTCTTTCCCAAAAGAGGAGTAGATGTGCAAGAACTACTTGTCAAATGAGAGGAACAGTCACTCACTCCACTATCGCTACGTTCACTGTGAGCTCTAGTACGTATTACTTTTTTATTTTCCATTTCTTCAAACCCGTTTTCTTTAAATGAGTCCACATTATTGTTACATAAGACTTCTTCAGGTAAGGATTTAATCTCATTTTCAAATGGAGAAACACCGTTTGTGTTTTCTTCGTTAAGACTGGACATTTTTAAACCGGTTATCGATGGTCGAGGAGTACTAGGAGTTGAATTTGCTGAATTACGTCTACTTGCTGAAAGAGTCGCCATTCGTCCTAATGCGCGGATTGCGTTTCCGGTTTTCTAATAAGCAACACACAACACACATGCAAATAAAAGAAAAAACAAGAAAAACATGCTATTAGATGCATTAGCATCATGAAATGTCTGTTTTTTAAATTTAAGTAGGTATTTTAAATTCGTTCAACAAAACAATCTCTTCATATGCTAATATTAGTTAGTGAAAAACAGCATACCTGCCACTTGCGTCTTATTATAAATTTCTTGAGTTTATCAGTGGAGAGCACAACGGTATTTTTATGGCTTTCTGGGTCCAACCAAATGTGTTTTAGACACTGTTCGGCCGATAACCTATCTCTGAAATTTTTTAAGTTGGACTAAAAAGTGGTGATATTCGTTCAACTTACTCTCTTCTTTTGAGCAAAAGCGCGGCGATAAAATCTCTAGCATTCTGCGAGACTGTGTTAAAAGCCTCGTCTTCAAAGTCGTAATCTGCTCTGGTGATGTTGGCGAAAGTTTCAGCGTCATTGTCTCCCATAAATGGTGAAAGACCGGATAATCTGTAAACAATTAGGATAAGATTTCGAAGTTTCACTCCATAAATTTTAATTACAATACGTAACAGATGACACCCAAAGACCACATATCAGACTCGACTCCGATAGGCTCGTAATTTATTATTTCGGGTGGAATAAATTCCGGAGTACCGAAAAGTACTCGAATTGGTTTGTCAGGATTGAGTTTTTGGGCAAGACCAAAATCGATGATTTTGATTTCGTGCGAAGTTCGTGTGTGACACATGATGTTTTCCGGTTTTAGATCTAAATGAACTATGTTTTGACTATGCATATAAGCCACGCCTTCGCATATTTGGCGCATGAAGAGGATACAGTCTTTTTCAGTCAAAGTGAAATCATCGGCGACCACACGTTCGAATAATTCTCCGCCAGAGATACTGCAACAATAGAATCATTATTTCTGGCAAAAAAAGTACTCTAAGACGTACTATTCCGTCACCATGATCATTTCTTTGGGATTATCAAACGCTGCAGCGAGTTGTAAAAGTTTTTGGTGCCTTAAAAGATTCATAATATCGATCTCTTCCTGCACCTTATCTCTATCTTTGGAGGTCCTACACTTAATAAATTTAGCGGCGAGCTTTTGTAAACTCGTTTTATCCATAACTTTGTGGACGACGCCAAATCGCCCTTTTCCCAACTCTTCTAAAACTTCAAATCGCGATTTGAATTCCGGCCCAGGTTCTAGAGTGACAATTCGAGGTTCGAAGCCCGAATCAGCTAAAAATAATTTGTAAGAAATTCGTGTAAAACTTATTAGATTATTACTTTTTTCTTCTAAAAGTAAGGGATCAGACTCTTGACTAGGTTTGCTGTAACCGTGAACGTTTTGTGCACGTACTCGAAACAAGTATCGGGCCCCGAGTTGAAGTCCTTTGATTGTATATCTCAAAGAGTAACAATTTTCAGTCGCCGTTGACCAAACATCGCTGCCGGCGAGGGAATATTCGACGGCGAAACCGGTGACTATTTTTCCTCCGTCGTAAGGTGAGCTGCTCCACGCTACGGTGATGCTGTCCATGATAGCGGAGACGCATGGCTTTCCGCTTGGAGGGTCCGGGGGTCCTAGAACAACAACAAGATTATATTCGATGCAAACAATTTCTTAAGTTAACAGATAATTTAAAAATTTAATATATTTTCTATTTCAAATCTAAGTTCATTTCTATGCGTCCACTTTATGTGTAGGTAGGTATAATGAGGAAATACGCTGCAATTTTAAATGAGTTTTTTGTATTCAGAAAAAAAATTAATTAAACTAAAGAAAAAATTTACTACGTATCAAGGAAGTGTATTTAAAAAAACCCTTGGGTTATAATCACTAATTATGCACATAGCGCATACAACAGTTTATTTCAATTTAGCTCTCAAATATTAAAATTTTATAATAAAAAAATTAAGTATTTTTTTTAATCTTTATGCGTTTCTGCTACTAAGTAATATTTGCATTTTTTAGGTCTATCATTGTGCCAAACTGTTCCATCAAAAGTAAGCCGTAACATTGCAGTTTGTAGAAAAATGCTGTTGAAAAAAGAAAATACCAATCACAAACATCTTTTGTTCTTATAGAAATTCAATTATACTGTTGCTTGTGTGTGAGAGAAATGTGTAAATCAATTAGATTCAATAAATGGAATTAATAATAATGTAATAAGAAATAAAAAGTTGTTGTTAATTGTTCACGATTCATTGTTGATTTCTATCGTTCGTAATTAAGTACAGAAATCTGATACTATTGTCTCAGCAACTTAAACAATAGTTTCTTTTATTCCATTATACCTAGACGATTTATTTATTAATGGTATAATTTAGAGGGGAGTATCCTGTATTCATATCAAGCTGTTGTTGCTTGCCTATAAAATGTTGAAGTTTGCTTTTTACCGTCTTTCTAATTAAGGACAATAAAAGTTGGTCGAACATAGAATATAAAATTACCTTCAACTGAAACAGATGCGTAATTTGAATCGGCCCCGAAACGATTTTCCACGGAAACGTCGTATTTTCCGCTGTCGTCAGTGGTGATGTTTTGCAGCAACAGACAAGAAACGCCGTCGCCAGATGTGATACTGGTCCGTTCATCATTCTTTAATTCTTTACCCTGCAATAAAAAAAAGAAATTTTAAGTATATTTTTGTAAATGTAGAAGTTCAATTCTCAAATGCCCTTTACAATAACACGTGCAAATATAGAGTAATTTATTATATGGTTCATGATGTCATTTCTAGTTATTTATTTGCAACTTTGATTTATGCAGTAATAAAACAGATTTTGACACTTTATTCTATCAAAAATTAGTCAGATAAGGTTTATGTATTCATTTATATAGTGTGTATATATTCTTTATGAATAATATTTGTACATTACATTGCAGTAATTGTTCATTATCGCAATTTAAATCAAATATTAAGTCATAAATGGAACAAGAAGGTCCTCAATTAAAAAAAAAAACGAATGAAGTACTTATTGTTGATAAAACAGTTAGAAATTTTCATTTGGTTATCAATACCAAAGTCTAAACAGTTATAAATAAACATAAGCAAACATCAACTGTAGTGTTAATCCAATTGTTAGTGTTATTAGCATTGCAATGAATACCAAAAAGAAATACAATGAACCGTTGTACGAGAAAAAATGGTACCAATATTTCGATATATTAACATATTCCTTTTTTTGCACTTTTTCATTACATTTATATTAACCTTTTTTTTGTGATTTGTGATGAAAATTAGCCAATAAATCCGCATACTCCAAAAAATTTAAAAAACTTCTTCTAAAGCAAAATTTTACGCCTTAAATAGATTAACTCCAGTGCCCTCGTCCTCCTTATTAAGGTACACAATTTACAATATTTGATATCACTAATAGATTCAACGACAACAAATGACTACAAATGTAAACTTTTTAGATCTTATGTCCACTGGTTACTGAGATAATTGAAAAAAAGACCTTGTGCCTGCCATCCTCAAGGAGCTTTAGCTCCCTCAAGAAGCATTTCCGGATATAAGATCAAATAAACTTTTTTTCTTATTTTCACCCAAGGAACCACACTCCAAATTTTTTCAACGTTTTTTTCCCTGTGTTTGATATAATTGAGCTTTAGATACTATTTTCCAATTTGTATCTCGGAATTTGCTTAGCCCAGTGTTGATTAATAACTTTTTTATAGATACTTAAATCAAATTTTCTTCTCCATTTTCAAAAATTAAATTAAAATGTTTCCAAATAATTATTTAGTCATCAGTATAGTCCGCTCTGCATTTTTCTCAAAATTTACAGAACACGAGATTCTCTAAACATTATTGAGAAGAGCATTCAACACACATAAACGAACATGACACACATGTGTTTTCTTTTTGTTTATTTTGAAATATCATTGTAACGACCTTTCTTAGACGGATGTTAAGGAAGTGTGTCAGCAATAAAAATCGCCTAAATCCGGTAAGTACAGCTGGGAATTTAGATAATAATAAATTATATTTACATAATTTCCAACTCTGGTAAAAGCAAAAAGAATCAGTTTTATTTGTAGTATCTATGTCATTAAATTTAATTATAAATGAAATGCAGATTTATGTCGTTATATTTATATTTTTATTAATACTTGATGCACTTGAATGACAAGCCAGAAGCCACATTGTTTAAAAAGTTAAACACTTGTAATTGTAAATAAAGTTCATACTTTGAGCAATGACATTTCAACTTAAATTTCTTTTTTATATCTAAAGTGTTATTTGCATGAACCGGTACAAATATAAATTATTTAAAGTCATACGGTGAGTCATGTTGCGTACTTGAGTAGCATTCTTACATAAAAACTTGGCTTCATCACAACACTGACGTAAAAACATTGTTATTAACTTATTAATATGTGGAGCGCATTTTGATCAAACTTGCAATCATTCAATCTGCTTTTGCGTTGTTTCTAACAATTCCAATTAGTCCAAATCTGGCTTTAAGCACCTTGACATTGTCGCAGTATTTAACACTTGTACACGCACCTTGTGTAAAAATTAATAACAACAAGATTACAACACACTATTTTTGCAAACGAAATGTGAAAGTTGCACACAATAAGTTTGATCGATTCGTTAAAATTATGTTATCGCAATTTCGAATCAAATTTTTGAAATGTTAATACCAAATCGGGCGTGGTGAATGGAGAAAAATGCATTTTTTTCATAAAAACCTATTATCTGGTTATCTGCTTATAAATCGGTCAATTTGCATTATGACTTGATTCCATTAATTAATGGAAAACACATATCTGTGCCACTTTTACGTTTAAAATCGGGTAAATCCATTAGTCACTCCTAATTACATCCATAAAAAATACAAAATACTTGTACCCACGTGTATGGTCAATTTTTGTTAAACCGTATAATGATTGTGGAATTTGGTGGGTTCCCATTAGTCACGATAATGAACACGTAGACAAGTAGGTTTACGACAAGGGGTAATAAACTTTTTCATGTAAATGGATGCTGATGATATCTGTGCCTGCCCACATAAACGTATTATGTTTTACATTTAAAATTCTTGTAAACGTCAAATACCTTTTGGTTGCAAATTGTTAATTTGTAAATACGCTTCAGGAACGTAGGTATAGTACTGCATTTTATAGAATGAATAGATTCTAATTTTCATCAAAATAAAGTGATGCAAATAAACAATCAACTTTTGTTGTTGCACGATAGTCAAGGATTTAGAAACATGAACCTTTCACTGTAGCCTTAAAACAATAATTAGATCAAATCTAAAGGCACCCAGCCAAACAAGATAAAAAATATTCAATTAATAAAAAACACGTCAATGTTTTATTTATACGAAAACTTTAGCAATTAAAAGTAAATAAAAGATATTCCTTTTAAAAATGGGTTCCGCTACTTAAATATAAAATAACGGTAATTACAGTGAGCTCTATTATCCTAAAAAATAAGAAATTTGAACTGGTTATCATCTCATTGTTTCAACAGTATAAAATAAAAATACCTTTCTACAATTTTCTTTATAATAACCTCTAATTACTATACCAACAGTACTAAATTCGTGTAATTACAAATCAAAGAAATCTGAAGCTTCTTCAAAATCTTATACAAAATGTAGTGAATTTTTACTACATATTTAAATTGGGAACTGTACGTATTCGTAAATTGGTTGCATTGGTGTTGATAGTGCATAGGTAAAGTGTTTCCTGATTTACTTTATACACTAATAAATAAAACAATAACAAATCTTATTTATCCCTTAGTATTTATTTAGCAACGAAAATTGTTAATATCAAAAAAGAAACGTTTTAACGATAAATTTTAGAAAAAAAAACCTTTTGAATTACTTACCTAATTTAAAAAAAAAAATGTAATAATTGCCAACAAAGCAAAAACTTTTGTCACTGGTAATTGGGTGCTATAGCGATTTAATATTAAAAACAAAAAAATATTTTGTACACTTTATAGAATTTACGTTTATCCGAGTATTTTTGGTTTTAATTACTATATCATTTTTTAAGTTGGTGAATATTTACTATTTTATTTTTTCTAGTTTATTGACAAAAAACTTCGCTTCTTATTATACATATAAATAAACTTTTTTAAGATTTTATGAGCTAATAGCAGCATTAGCATTTACTAATATTTATATTAAGTCTAATTTCTGTAAAATCATATACTCGTAAGTAGTAGCTAAATAATTCAAGGTCTATTTTAAAAAATGTATCATCATTTTTGATCGAAATGTATTTACGATTTTTCAGCAAAAAAATAGACATCTACTCTTCATTATAAACCGACTTAAATTTAATAATTAATAATGTATATTTAATTACTAAACTACCTACATATTATATTAAGTAAAATTTTAATCGGTATTGGATTTTGAAACATCGCGTAGCTATAAAAGGCAAAAAAAACGACCGAAAGTAGTTACACAAATAATCTTTATTAATAGCCATAATCGTGTAATAATTGTGATATGTTTTTTGTAAATATGTACTCATAAATCCATATCTTGATATTTACTAAACGTTAAAAAGAAAGAAATATTTTAAGGTAATAGGAGTAGTAATTATTCACTGTAATTAATCGTAATGTGCGTCTGATAAGTGATAATAAGCTCTCATTTGTTTTACTTGTGTATAAATTAGCTAAATTAATTAGTGAGTATCGGTTTGACAAGCAATATATTTTAAATAGTAACCATTTGTTACTACGTTACAACAACAAGAAATGTTAGTTCGATAAACAAGGAACAACAAAAGTTGATTCAAACTTTGTAGGATAATTTTATAATAGTTTAAATATTTAACCTATTAATGTTTTCTTAACATAATAATACACGTATTGGATTATTTGTCTTGTTAGGAGTACATAGAGAATATCAAAATTTTGATTGAGTTTAATTTTCCTTTTAAAATTTAAACGTAAATCCTTTTACTGAGGTAGTTAGTAGTAGTTACTTACTCCTAGACTATAATTACATTACATAAAATAAGTATACCAAATGAAGATATTTTAGTAAATTGTTGTCACAAGAAAAATAAACAAAAAATATTTAAATACCCCAACAATGAATAAGAAAATAAATCAATTCTGATTACTTTTCATAATTTTAAAACAGACTTCATTAGTCATCATAAAGTTAAATAAAGGTTCATGGCAAATAATTATCTCAACAGTTTAATTGGCAATAAATGATCAATTTGGCCCACTCAGAGGTATCCACATGTTTATCTCGTTTCGGTAGTTAATAAATTTAATTAAACAAAACCAAATTCGCGGATTCAATAATTTATCTCAATTGCAATAAAATCTGTAAAAATACTCGACATGCAAACAATTATTAGACGAAACAAGCATAAAAGGTTTATTATTAAATATAGGAAAAATAAAATTTAAAAGCTAAAACGTGTAAGATAAATTTGTATAACGCAATCTATTTGTTCTTGAAATTGACTCAAATATTTAGTTATTTGAGACCCTGAAAACAAAGTTGATTTTCTAGAAGCTTCAGGAATCCAGCAAAAACTGTATCAGTTGCAATAAAAATTCTTTGAATCTCTTAAACAGTTCAAAAAAGTGGAGTTTTTATAATAGTAGCAGACTGCACGTTCTCTTTCCTTTTGTATTTCAACATTTTTGTCCTCGCCTTTTTTATAGTTAGTGAAGAAGCCGTGCACATGGCAACTTTCTTGACCTTTTGATTAAAAAAATTGCTGAAGCAGCAAACATGCAACAAAGTAAACTCTGTACTGAAGGTATGTTTCTTACCGCTTTCGTCCATCGGACCGTAGGTTCCGGATGACCCATATAAGTGGCCTTGAGCAGCACCCTATCACCTACTAGTGCTGTGGTGTCTTGAGGCTTCCTCAGGAGCATCGCAGGTTCGTCGATTTTAGACACCACCATCACATCACTCTTAACTCCCGAAGACACTCCGTTCAACGCCTCCATGGAGGCTGCACTAGCACTGCTACCCTCAAGCACAACGAAGCTATCCAAGTCCGGCACGACTGTCAGTTGAGTGCTACAAGTGATGGCTTCTGCGCTAGTCGCCGACTTCGACTGCTTCGTAGCCGTGCACTTTACCTCACCAACATCGAGATGTGTCACTCCGGTAATGTGGAGAATGTCGACGTCACCATCTTCCTCTACCTATAATCACCAGTAGGTAAACATAGGGACGAAAACGTGATCTATCTTGCTCGCGGAGGTCGTTGCATGCGAGCAGGTGTGCACCGACTAAATAAAATGGTTTTTTAGTAATTTTCAAGGATATTAATTATCCGAAATTGCGAAAAGATGTGACGACGCCTGATTTTATTGAAGCTGTCAGTCAATAATTATTATGAAAAATAAACTGGAACCTGTTGAACAGGGATGCTTCCCAGATAGTTATTTCACTTCTTCTTTTACAAATTTATCACGGACTGCGAAGATATGAATATTCATGTCTTCGGTACTTTTCCGGAACAAAATCAGAAAGGATGTGCAATGCTACATTTCCTTATTTGCTTTAGTTTAATTGAAATGGACAAGTAGCAGAATATGGAAGAAATTGGGTTTATTATTGTAGTGACTTAGTTAGGTGGATCAATAATAAAGTTTTCAATGTTCTGGTGTGGTTATCACTTCAACGTGATGTTATAAAATATACAATATTTTGATGTCTAACATTCTTTACAGCGTTAAAAAAGATTTATAAGAGTGATAACAGGTTAACTTTAAAACAATTTTGTTATTTATTAATTTGAAATAGATAAATACAGTTTTGTAACTAATTATCTAAAAGTTTTAATAAAATATGAGTGATGTAAAACCTCAAATCACTTTTATATCACAAAATCATTTCTTTCAATTCTGATTTCGCTGCAAAAAACTTTATATTATTAATTCATATTTTGAAAAAACATTACGCAAATTTCGATTATTTTATTTATTTACATACCCCATTTATTAAAATGAAAAATAAGATACACCAAGGAAAAAATATAAATTATTATTAAATTGAGTAGTGGAAATTAATATAAAGTCGTGAAATTAAAATGGTTTGCGTCTTAAAAAGGGGATTTACCTATTTTTGCCAAGTTGCTTGTAAAACAAAATACCAATTAAAAAAATTATTCTTTTATTTTCACTTTTCACGATTTCGTTCTAGATTTTTTACTTTTTACAAAGTAGATACCGACTAAATTTATTATTTCAATGCAATTACCGGTCTCTTATTTCAAATCACGGAAATAATCAGCAAAAATCTGAAAAAAGTAGATTTTCTGTTGGTTGCATAATTTACACCGTTTTCTCGCAAACAAATTGTTTTAAATAACAAATCATAGTTGATTTTACTACAACACTCACTCTTATCAGATGCATATAATTTATTGCATTTTCAAACGGATCAGACTTGACACAAAAATAAATTTGAAAAGAACAACATCTGTTATAACATATGAAAATATTGTATACCAAATTTTAAGTTATTAAAAATTTTGATTGTTTTGAGCACAGACTTTTATTATTTTAAATGACATTCACGAAATATTACAAAATTTTTCAAATATCACAGTGCAAGGCCTATTGCATGAAAAGACACGTTTTACTACATTAAATTTAAATATTTAAAACTTTGCATAACAATAAAATAATAAAAACAGTTTGCGTGGTGGAATTTATTTTTATTATATTAAAAACAAAGAACCCAAATGTAAACATGTCAATTGCACTCGGACTTCGAATAAATAAATTTTCTTTTATAATAAAACGAAATATTTTTTTTTTAAAAAACGAAGTGTAAAAGAATGCAGTGAAATTTGAAACTTACCTGGAATCTGCTGCCTACAGTTACAGGAACTCCGGCAACTTCCCATGAGATTTTCGGCTTGTCTGCGTCCGCATTCTTCACTTTGACACAAAAACTGACAGTTTTTCCTGACGTTGTGATCACCGGCGATGGGAACTTTACAAAGTCGAACGATTTACCGCACTTTTCTGTAACATAGATACATGCATTTCACTAATTAAGATGTTCAATTAAAGCGGCTACCTAAATAATAAACGTACAAAATATTGCGATAAGGTAGGCAAGTAAATCAATTTGTCTGCCCTCTTTTCACTGGCAGTGGCAATATTCGAAGGCAATTGCAGTTCTTCAACTGGCGCCTATAGAACGGTGGGCGCGACCGTGTTATTTTATAACTTCACGACTGCACGAAGAGAAGGTTAACGTTTGCTGTTGTTTTTATCTGGGCAGTATCTGCTTGTAACAATTTATTCAGAAAATTTATGGAGCAAATGCGAAAGAGAAAACGGCACTTAAACGGTCATTAAGACACAATAATGTCTTCCATAAAGAACACTTAATGAAATTCTACTTTATCATCACAATTGTCCTTTAATATTTACCATGAACGACCAGCTGACATTTCGCAGATGCTTCTCCAAACAAATTATAGACTTCACATGTGTAGCAGCCCGAGTCTTGTGATTTCGCATCGTTCACTGCTAAGACAACAAACTCGTCTTCACAACTTTGGCGGAATTGGGCGCAATCCGGTAACACACATCCGTCCTTCATCCAAACAACATCAAACGGCTGTCTTCCGGTAACCTCTAATCGCAACGTCACCGGATTTCCTTCGGTAACATTGAGCGACTTTAGCAGCGGATTAGTAATCCTTGGCGCCAGTTCTTCTTTCATTATCTTCAACTCGACAATAGATTCCACTGAATTTTCACCATTTGTCGCAACACACTTATACGACCCTTGATCCCCAAACGTCGCTTCTTTGACAACCAAACAGGCAACCCCCTTATCATGGTAAACTTCAAACTTGGCCGAATCCGCAATAGGCACCCCATCTTTGTACCATTTCAAGAAAGGCGTAGGTACTGAACGAATGTCGTAGAAAAGTCGAGCAGTACTCCCATACCTCACTGAACTACCCCCAAAACCCCTTCCGTACGAATCGTGGGGTTTAGGTGACAGACTTCGAGCTCGAAGGCCTCTGGCAGAAGCAAAACGATGCGAAATTACTTCCAGTCTTGCTGAAGCTTCAATCCTTCCAACGTCGTTCTCCAAGACAACTTTGTACATGCCGGAATCGTGTGGAGTGATTTCCCGAATTTCTAAAATCCTCAAATCGTCTACTTCCGTTATAGTGATCCTCGAAGATGAAGAGAGGGGAGAACCGTCTTTTGACCAGGTTACCCAAGGGTCGGGGTGGCCGGCTACGGCACACTGGAATCGGACAGTTTCGCCCTCTTCAGCTACACGATTGTGGGGAATTGCGTAGAATTTTGGGGGCGCAGCTCTGATGCGATACCCTCGACTGGTTACAGGGGGGTAGGCAAGGGAACGAGGAAGTGGAGAAACACTTCGTGAAGCTCTAGCGGTCGTAGAATTGACGGTTAAGTTTGAGGGTTGTCTTAGTTGTTGTTTGAGAAGATTTTCCTTTTCTTCAGGCACTGTAAATATAAAAGTTTAATAATTGTGTCAAAAAAAAGAAAGTTTCTTACAGTCCACTAATAGACAAGCAGAAGTGAAGACTTTCCCCAAGTCGTTGTACGCCACGCAAGTATATTCGCCTTCATCCTCGGGATAGACTTGTTTGATAGACAAAGTGGCAGTTTCGCCGTCAAATTCAGCGTTAAAATCTTCTCCTAAATGAATTAATTTGCCTTCTTTTTCCCACCTTACATCAAAAGGTGGATTTCCTCCAAGTTTGCATTCTAAAGCAACACTATCACCATCACAGCATCTCAAATCTTTGAGTTCTTGTACAATTGATGGTATAGTTTGGATGTTGCTGAAAATGACAATTTGATTTTTAATCACTAAAAAAGAGAGTTTCATACCTGATTTTTTTGCCATTCTCCATTTTGCTCAATTCTGAATTATCTAGAAGAAAGAAATTTTTACAAACTCTTTCGAATTCATCCAAATCCCTACCTTTGACTTTGATTTGTAAGGAAATGATGGCTTTAGCATCCCCGTAACAATTCTTGGCATAAACTGTGTAAGTTCCGGTGAAATCTAACTTAGCATTAGGTATTTCGAGTCGATATTCAGGACCGTCACCAATACGAAGAAAATGAGATGCATCTTTATAATAATCAGGCTGGAAATAAAATTTAATAGAATTGAAACATCAAATTTTACGGTAACGATTCGAAGACGGATTTCCATAATAACGGAAAACTTTCGCATTTGAGCAATGAGATCAATGGTGTACGTAAATGCAATAAATGTTTAACAAGGTCGGACAAATAGCGTAGAAAGAAACATTATTTCATTTTACAATCCGTTTTATATCGCTAATAATTATGGCATTTTGATCGTTGTTTATAGAAACTTATAAATTAATTGGCGATAATTTATTATGTCTGGGTTGCGAACATTTTTATTTAGTTTCCTTTTTTGTGTATGTTTATTTTATAGATATGATCTTGATGAAAAGACATGGTAATTTTGGGTAAACTGAGTTTGCACAGATTACCAAATATGTGGAAAACGCGTCATGGTGCTCTCATAAATGTAGCGAGTTGCAAAGAACTTATACATTTTATGATTTCGGCAATAAAAATAAAGTAAACCGTAAATGTTTCATTGAGTGGCGTTTTAAAAATTCTTCTACGACGTCACCATTAGTATAATTTTATGGCCTTTGACGTAAATGAGTAAATTAATAAGCTGTATGAATGCCAAGTGAGTGATTGTAGTGAATGATTTGAATGATTTTTACCACACTTTTCCTAATTTCCTATTGCAAATAAACACAATGCTAAATCGGTATTGATACCTAATTTCAATTTGGTCAAAATACGAATAGATATGAGTTGATGTAGAAATTTTTATATAATCGTATTTTAATAGAAGTTAATAATGTTTTCCAAGATATTTTTAGCCATTGATTACGTCAACATAATTATAATTGAATTTGGATTTAATGATGAAAATTTTGTGCTATGAATTATTAATAATCCCTGTTATTAGTATTTTTTGAATAACCTACACTCAAAGATTTAAAGTACAATTACATATTATGTCTATTGAATTGTCTAAGTTGTTTTTGTAAATTTAAAATTATTTGAATCAAGTTTTCCGAAATAGAAATAGGATCTTGTAGTTTTTTTCAGAAGAATTTGTGTGTTCAAAATTTTTTGACTGATATCTTATCACTTGTATTGGTTACAAACGAATATTTTTTAACTAAACTATTACCTCTTTTTAGAAAATTATTTGGATAAAATAATGTCAAAATGTGTTTTTATTCAAGTGATTATTTTTAGAAGAAACTTCTTCAAACGGAAAAGTTCTGTTTATGCATTTTTTCGAGCATCGTTTTACTCCCTAGATAAGATACTAGCAACATGGAAAAAATGTTAAAAAAATTCTATCTAAGAATTTCGAAATTAGGAAGGTTTAAATTTTGCTCTTTAACTATTTATTTCTCAAGGAAAAATACATTTACATTTGTTTTGCTACAGGCTATTATAGAAGGGAAAACAAAGAAGCTATATCCTGAATTGTAACTATGTTTAACGTTATTTGTGGCTTTTATTAGCAAAGTTTCTGAACCTTTACCGAATAATTATAAAAAAAAAAAACATATAAGATCGTCGGTAACAATAAATAGACAAAAAATTAAATATGAAAATATAAATGTCAAAATTCTTTTACAGACAGAATTTTTTAAGCATTTTTTGGCATGTTTCTGGTATCTTATTTTCTTTAACAGATATAATTTTTTAAACATTTTTTCCACGTTCCTGGTACCTGGTATCTTATCTTACTTGGCATTTTTCTTTGGGGTGCGAATTTGAACTACTCTGTATAATATACTGTTTCATTCTTTGTACCTAGTTAAATTTTATACTGTAATTAGTTGTAGTCGTCAAAAGGGGTGTTCCCAACTTAAGCAATTCATTTTGAATTAAGTCACTTTCTAATGCGTATGAGGGTACTCCCCATGATACCAACATGAGATTGTGAAATTATTTTATAAAACGCAATGTTAATTTTTTCTGCCACCTATCTAACGCCCCTTAGAAAATAATTCGCTGCGATTGCGCCGGTGTCGGTGGTTCTTTTTCCATATTTATGAGGCAAAGATTGTGCGCGGTCCCGCTGAAGGCGTTTTTATAGCCACTTATTTATTGCACCGATAATTAATTTTGCTATTTAAATTGGCGTTTTGCATAATAATACTATAATAAATGTTAAACCCTACTGTGCTCGAAAGAGAGAGAGCGAAATTTATTGATGCGATAAACAAGGACAGAAAAATTGTGCTATTGAATCATCCACAGGGTTTAACGCTTCGAAACACCGGCATTAATAAATTTTTGTGAAATGCAACGAAACAAAGTGGTCGCCACGTCCGTAATTATGAAAATATCAGCGTTTCAGAGCTTTATTTAAACTTATGGCAGGTAAATATTGGAGAAACTTAGTGATCGTGATCAAGCGGATGCTATTAATATTATACCCGTATGTCGGTTTTTATTTCACCTGTAAAAATTGTACGTGTGGATAAAGATAGAAAGATTCTATGTGATAGTACCGCTAAGATAAACGATTTTACAGCTGGTTTGGATTATTGCAATAGAATGAGACGTGGCGCTCGTTTTCAACGGCCGTCATGAAGGTCGAACGCAATTCTCGAGCTGCCCATTTAAACTTTAAAGGTATTTTTGAACAAACTTTACAAAAACACCTTTCACACTTTCAACCAACCACTAATTGGGATGTCACATGTCCCACAAGTAATTGTCAAACTTTCCAAACAACACTGACCCAGGTTAACGCATTTTTGTTGTTTGTTTATGGAACCTACGTATTTCTTGTTATGCCCACATATCCTTGCTGTAGGAGAATCCTACAACTCTGACTCACGACGGCCTTGCAGGATTTATCACTGATCTTGTTTTTATTGTGGCTATTTTTATAAATCTTCGTGGCCAGACATTTTATTAATTTATGATTCGTCATTTGTCATTAATGTTATTATTACTACCCACATAGCTAATGCAACAAAACGATGATTTGTTATTCTGCTCCCAAGGAGCAATAAAAAATTCATTTAAATAAAAGTTGAAGTTGGCACGACTTGTATTTTGCAATCATCCATATGATCTATGATGTTTGCATAATGTAACATTTCTTTTACTGTAATATTTAACAGAACAAAAGCGAACATTTCAGTTCTATTTTTAGTAATTGCAAAAATTTAGACATTGCAAAATAACCACTGAAAGTAGAACAATAAATGGCACCAAGTACGAAAATTCAGCTACATTGTACCTATGTTTAATCTGAAATTTATCGTGCCATTTACAGGTCTAAATTGTTGTAATTTCACACTATAAAATTACCATAAACCATCAAATTCTCGACCATAAATTAATCCCCATGTTATTACCCATCGTTTGGGTTGACAATTATATCGAAAGTTTGCTCATGAAAAAATTGACAAACAAGAGAACAAGACATGTGTAAAAAGTGGTTGCACAGAGTATCCATTAAATTGGCAAGATGACAACACTGTTACAAGTATTTTTATTGGTCAATGCGTCGGTTAAGTCCTGATTTTATGGCTACAATTTCATTCCTAAAAATCACTTTAAATCTGTCAAGTAAATATTCCATTGTCGGTACGATTGCTTGGACCGCAATTATCTTTTTTTGGAAATTAAGTCAGTTACTTTCAGTGTTCACATTGTGCTGGTTTTTTATTTTTTATAGAAAATTGCAAAATTGAAGATAATATATTCTCGGGAAAACATTTAGTGGCCCAATTCTTAACCGGCTTTAATTGTCGATAAAATATTTATCTGTGGAAGAAAAGCATCTTTGATAGCGATCTCTATAGTGTCTGCTAGTTTTTGTAAACTGGTTCTTATAATACATAATTACTTAATTTAAAAGTAGTACACCTTCTAACACTCGCTTGAAACTATAATTAGTTTACACTTTAAAGTGCTGTTATAATATAGTTTAATATGTCCCTAAAATTTGCACCCCTTAAAATCTCCGGTTTCGTCCAAGTTTGGAAATGCTGAAATAGGTCAATTTTAACTTAAAAGGAGAGCAAATTTTATCTTAGTTTTAACGTTAATTGTGCATCCCTGTAGCGCCCAAAGCTACACCCCTTGAAAAAAATTAAATTTAAGAGAGGTCAAGCTACACATCATTTTAAAGCTGCTTTCCGGAATACTCTCGTTCAAATTATGAACAAGTTAATATTGGTAAAATTATCATTTTTTCACAGTTTCTAATTGATTTCATAAATTATTATTGTATTGTCGTAACTAAGTTAAAAATAAAAACCTGTAATTTTTTAAATGGTTCATAGTCTTTTTAAAAAATAATTCTTGAAAAAAATATGAATGCATAGACAATAAAAACATCTTCAAAATAATGTATCACTCGACCCCTCTTGCAATTTAAATTTTTTGAAGAGGTGGTTTTAGACCATAGAGGGATGCAGAAAGAATTTTGAAACTAAAACAAAATTTAAGTTAAAATTGATCTGTTTCACCATTTTTTCCAAATTTGGACAAATTGGAGATTTTAAGAGGTGCAAATTTTAGTTGGGACAGCCTGGATTTTATTCTGTTAGCGTAGGTATTTGATATTATTAACGTTTCAAAAATTAATGGCATTCTTATTTGACAACAATAAATTTAATTAATCCGGTAGGCACTATATTTGGTGCTTATAATAAAAAAGAGCTCCACGAGAGTGCGTATATTTCACTTATTTTAGTAGCAAGGAACTGATATCGATATCTCACTAATCAGTAAGTACAATACATATTATTATTAATAGAATGCAAAAAGTAGAGAATACATCTTTAACTGTATTATTGGTCATAAACACTTTTTTATATTATTAATTTATTATCTATACCTGTAAGCGTACGAACTTCCATTTTACGATTCACTAAAACAAAATAAAAGAGAATTTCCGTGCAATATATTATTTATATCATTAATTCAATTATTTGTTAATTATTAATGCAATTAAAAGAGCTAATTTTATCACTATTTACTAATGTTTCAATATTAATTAACCAACTTAATAGTATTAAACACGTACATGAGAACATAAACTTCGAATTCAGTATTTTAGTACATACTTAGTTTATAAAATTATATAGATACACCTAAATACCTATTTCAAAACAGCTTTTGGTAACAATAGGATTACAAAACAAATGAAAGTATTACTACAAATTAATAATTCTAAAGATATTCAATCATTGCATCGTTAAAAAATTAGTTAATAATATTGATATGTCAACACAAAGAGAATTAATGTTTTTATCTAGATTCTCATTCGCCATAAAGCTTTCATTGTAAGCAATACTGCATTGTTACAACAAATATTCTTGAATAATTTTACAACGACTGAACATTTAAAGTGGTAAATGTTCTTTATCTGTGACTTATTTAATTTAAAAATCTCCAGGAACAAGTTAAATAATACTAATTGGTCGGTACACAGAAAACATACATATCATAGAGTATAGAGACTACGTCTTAAAATGTGTCAAACGCCATAGTCCTAAAATATAAGGTAATATACCCACTGACACTGAAACTGCTACATGAGAACATTCGTTTGCAGACTATGATTTGTATCAAATTTCCAAACTTAGAAATCATAAATTTTGAGAGTTCCCTAAATAATCTAACTGATACACTGTTAAAAAACTTTGTTTTTCAAGGTTTTATCAGCAGAATTTACCTACATTTATACGCATGTACAGCGTAAAACAGAAATAAATACAAAAACCTTTTTTTTCAATGCCTAGAATAAAAATCACAATTAAAAAAAAATAAAATGCATATAGTCTCGTCAGCGGTGAGTAATATTTTTTAAATTTTAATTTAATAATAGATAAACTATTAAAAAGTAACAAGTAAAACATAGAAAAACCTAATCAACTTTTAAGATTTTCTGAAGGGGAAAGTCTGCAATGACATTTATCAAAAATCTGCTACAGCGTTGTCCATTTTTTGTACTATTTTAATTTTAATTTAGGATATAGTTTAAAAATCAGGCAGCGAAAAAATACAAGCATATCTTCGATCCTTTTGAATCACCGCACCGGGTGTATAAAAGGATATGTGTTGTATTTTTAGTGGCACCAAGTATATGTAGGTGAACTGTACCTATAAGGCAAAATGTGGAGACAAATTTACGATTTAAAAACCTTTACCGTAAAAGAACAAATCGTAAATAATTTTAAAGTGAAGAAGAGTCCATTAGTGCTAAATATTGCCCATTAAACATGGTTTTTAATGTGTGTGAAATCATTTTAATTTTATGAATCATAAAAGAAAAGAACAACATCGGTTAACATCAAGTTAGAATCGTTGAGTGCATCTTTTCTTGATCGGAATGATACCGGTAAGTACTATATAAGGTCAGGACTTGGCATAACTCTATCGTATTGTATTTATATCAGTGTTTTGTACTTCTCCAAAGCCTTTGGTTCTTACGTGACTTGTAAGTAAATAATACGTAAACTGAATTGATTCTTTGTTGAGTTGAAAGGAATTGTGTTGGCAGCAATAGAAATCGTATTACTATTAATAAGATGATAATAGGTTAGGCTCGGTTCTTTAGTAGTCTACAGGTGACATAAATTATTAGGTGTATGAGCTTTAATAAATTAACATATAATAAGCAAACGAATATATCGGAATTGTCTTCTATTATAGATATGATTTACTTGGATTGATTTATTATCTCACATCCAGTGGCGTATCAATATTTTTTAGACTCCTATGTAGGTAGTAATCTTTCAGTCTTTTGAATATTGTATTTTCCGGGAAAGTTCTGATCAATAGTTTGCTACCTGATAAAGAAAATGTTGGTTGAACTACATAGTTTTTTCTATGTTTTAGTTGTAGTTTCTTTTAGTTCTAGTCAAATGTTTTGTTAAGATGCCACCAGATGGCTCATCATTCTAAAGTAAGATGTTTGTTCTTTGTGTATTTTTTTATTTTGTCTCTCGATTAAACGTCAACTAAATAATGAGTCATGTCAAGCCTTATTGTGTAAACTGCATTTCAGACATATATGGAAATTCATGTCCGTACTCATAATGATGAAATATTGGAATTACTGCATTCCAGCATATAACACAACGCACTTATCATTGATAATTTTTTAAGATCCTTAATTAATTTATCAATAATAAAGTGACTAAATTATCTAAATCTATGTTTAAAAAATTGATAAATTTAAATACGCTTCTTATAGTAGCAACATCAAAGAGATAAGGTTGTTAGTACGACTATTTGTCAAGTGTTCAGGCACCGTGAGCTTAATAACGTATATTATTTATTTCGCTGTGGGACAATAAAATATTTTCACTTTATGTAATAGATACTTATCAGTGTGAAATATGAGCTTACCTTCAAGAAGTCCCTGAGCCATACGACTTCGGGTTTGGGATCACCAATGACTTCGCATAAAATCACGATGTTATCGCCTTCATAAGCCTCCGAGGATCTAGGTTTCTTCAAAAATTTGGGCTCCTTTGAGTACCTGTAAACACTCAACAGTTGAAATATATTTACTTACTACACCTGTCATCAAATTTTACCGTCATTTTAAACCGTAGTTTTAAACTGTTTACAAACTTGGAACCAATCCAGTGTTTTGATATAAATTTTAATAGATACCGCTTTATTAAAAATGGGGTGATTGTTAAATCTAGAGTAACCAGATTCAGAAACTTTGTGCAATAGCAACATACAACATACTCAATGGCAATCAAAAATGAAATCATATAAATTGTATAACTACAATTATTTTTTTAACAAAAATGTGACAGTTTAAGAAAAAAGTAAACAAAAAATATTTTAGCCAAAATTTTGCTACAATTTTATTAAAATGGTAATAGCATACGAGTAAATTGATTCTATTAAGATAAATATTTAATAGAAGTTTGAAAATTTTAATAAGTTACAGAAAAATAGTAGGGAAACGGAAAACAATTTCTGCATATTAATTGAAAGTCTGTTTGCTTGTCCTTTTGATGTTTGTTATTTTTCAGTATGTTCGATTGGTCCTGAGTAATTATTAGGTGTTATATATTATGTATACTAATGCCCTCAAATGTTTCATTGTTTTATTTTTTTTTAGCTTTGAGTTGGATTATCGTTTTTGCTCAACTTGCAATAGAAATTCTAAGCATATCTTTATGTGATAAGAAATGATCAAAGACGCGTGAAGAATATGATTAAAAGGAGTGGTTTCAGTTCACCTTCATTACTTCATTTGCTTTTAATTCATTCCAGAACATTTCTTTAGCCTTAGATTTAATAAAATGTATTTATTTTCCCATAAGAACTTACGGAACGTCTTTTCCTAGAGGAGGTATTTTTGCCACAGCAGCATCAGCATCTACATCTGCTGTAACTTCCACAACTTCAACAGTAGCGCTACTTTCGGCTTGTCCAACTTCATTGGCGGCAACGCAAGTGTAAACACCTGCATCTCTCTTATTTATCGAGGTAACAGTGAGTGCCACTCTTCCATCGTATGATAGAGTCATTATAGACTTCCTCGAAGGTCTCAAACGAACCTGAAAGTCAGCATTGTAATCATTTATTTCAAATTACCTCATTTAATTACCCCGTTTTTGTACCAGTTGACTCCTACTGCCGGGTAGGCTTGAACTTTACCGGTTAAACGCAATTCTTTCCCTTCTTTTATTTCACTAGTTGATGGTTCCAGCTGGTTTTGGAACTGTGGAGAAATATAAGCGCGAATACCTTTGTCTACCACTAAATTGCATCTGCATGAAACCGATCCGTGGTTATTGCGAGCCACTGCACAGTAAATTCCTGAATCTTCCAAGACTGTTTTGGCAATTTCGAGTGTGTGGAAATGGTCTTCGGACGAGAATTGGAAACGCGCTAGAATCATTTGAGTTATTTTTACTTTAATTTTGATCCGATGGTGAAAATACCGTCTTGTTTTATTTCTACGTCATCTTTGTACCATTTTATTCTTGGTTCTGGACAGCCAGCGATTTGGCAAGTGAGACGCACTGGATATGAAACTTGCACTCTTCGATCTCTCAACCTCATGGTAAATTGTGGAGGCAAAGAAGTGACCTTATCATAATCATTTATTCTCCTGTAAAGATCATATTTTTCGCATCCCGGTTTTCTAATTTTATACTTCAGCACTTACAATTTCAAATTTTTATCAGCCGATAAAATTTTTGGATCACTAACAGTAAAAACTCTCGCAAATGTTGAAACCCTGCCAGCTTTATTTGTAGCTTCACACATAAATCTCCCTTCATCATTTTCATTAATCCGACTTATCGACAATGTACAAATTCCGTTCTTGTATCCGATTTGGTATCTCTCATCATCCTCGGGGAATACCTCGCTGGCATCCCGGAACCACCGTATTACCAGCGACGGATCTTCCCTGACCTGAATATTTTCTTATAAAATTAAAATTTTATAAATAAGTGAACCACTCACTTCGCATTCCAGTGAAACGTCTGAACCCAATAAAACTTTCAATTGGCCGGGTAAAATTCTTATAAATTCGGGTAAGTTTACTGTTCTTCCAATTACGATTGAGCCACTTTGGACGCTCTCTCCCCATCCATACCTGTTTCTGGGTGTTATTCGGAATTGGTATTCACCGTCGGGTTTTAAATTGAACGCATCGAAGCTATTGAGTGGAGAAACTCCGAGGTCGGTCCATCTTGCCTCTTCACCGCCCCGAAGCCAAGCTTCAATTTTGTACGCTATTACGGGGGCTGCTCCTCGGTGTTCCGGTTTGCCCCAGGAAAGCGAGATCCAGTTGCGGCCGGTGTCAACAACCACGGGTTCACCAGTGATAGGGCCTGGAACGTCTACAAACGAAAATTTTTGGTACAAATAAAAATTTAATATAATTGAAAAATTGTGATGATTTCACTATACACATTAATGGTTGAGCTCTGATTCCTTTATTTATTATTAATAGCTGAGCAAATATGGAAGTAGGTTGATAGGTTTATTTGTATTGTTATTTTAATGGAGTTATAATAATGTGTAATCTAGACCAACAATTTCTTCCAAGAAACTATAAAAGCCATAAAAATGCAAATTTTTACTTTTTTTGTTAGATGTTTGAACTTTTTGAGATAAGCGCAGTTCTCTTATTTTTAATTCTTTGTATTCTATTTTGTATTCTCTTAATCTTAATTTATTTAATGAACTATAAATAGTGTTGTTGCTAATCTAAACTCAACTTTATTTTTTAGATAAGGAATATGTATTTCAGAAATATTTTGATTAAATATTTAATTGTCAAACTAACTCTTTTAGTTATAAAAGGTAGAAAGAAACAACATTTAAGTCTTCAGGGGTTTGAAATAAACAAATTAATAGTTTTCTTTTTTAAAAAAAACCGTTTATGTGTGTTTTTAACAACATTAAAAGATATTTAATAAATAATTTTGAAAAATAATTAGTGAAATAGGTTTTCCATTAATATAATAACCATATTATGTTATTAGAAGTAAAACTGATATTTTATGTGGCAAAGATGAACGTTTATTTCACCGAACGTAGTGAGGCAAATAAGTCAACTGAGCCACATGAACTCACTTTTACTTCGAATAGCATATACTATTTTATCCGCAGACGTATTCAGATTGAGAGTAAGGAGCAACACCAACATAGTAAAATGTTATTATAAAAGTAGAAACGCTTAAGCGCAAAAAAATTTTACTCATTGACTGAAAGATAAAACTTTTACTTCTGACATTCAGTTATAATGGTAATCACTTTTTTGACGTTTGCGGATAAAAACATGTTTTGTTGTGATTAATCAAATAAAATATAGGAAATGTTTCCAAAAAATAATATACCAACACAATTTTAATTTACAATAATTCAATAATTTTACTTTTATTTTTAATATAAATGTTATTTGTAATATGAGCAGGTGGAGCTTAAATAGCTAGTTATCGACGAATTTCTGAATTTATTTGTAGAACTATAATAAAACAGGTAATTATTAAAAAAATCAAGTATTAAATGATATTAACAATTAACAAAAAACAAATTAACAATCAACTAATAAAAATTTAAAAATATTATTTATTAAATAAAACACAACTGAACCGAGAAAAAGAAACGGTTTGTATGTATTTTTGATATTAATTCTAATTTAGTAATCAAATCAATATCTTTTTTCTAAAAATTGTCAAAAATATACCTACAAGACATTTATATTTTAACTCGACACATTTTATAAACTATACTCCTAATTCGAGTAAATATACAATTAAAATAATAAATAATATTTTTACACCTTATAGCAAATGATTTATGATACTGCAGTTGATCCTAAATGCCATGTTTTGATATTTCAATTTAGCAACGATGACCTTATTTTTATTTTGGGAATGTTCTAAACTTTAAGTGAAATAAATTCGAGATTTTATCAAAAGGCAGGTAATAAATCAATCAATAGTAAACAGCTATTATTTAAGCGAGTGTTTGATTAATGATTGGAATAAAAGCTTTATAACTGTAACAATTTGGCAATTTCGTTTTAATACAAAGTAGAAATTACAAGACAGGTGCGATTAAGTGACAAGTACAATGTTTGTGGTGCTAATTATTACTAAACAAATAAAAATGTGCATGTAAATTGCAATGTTGTTTCACTAATTAGTCAAAAACAGTACCATTTATTATAATTCTAAATGTACTTTTTTTTTAGTAAAAAATATAGGCTATAATAATAAACATGACAGTGATTAAAACCATATCCATATATTCTCTTTTTTATGTTGCTGGAGTAGGCGTATGTGTATATAATTTTAATATAATCCTTACTTGGCCTAAAATTAGCAAAATATCTGTCATGGTGAATTAATTCAATGTGGTGTCGAAGATTAATGGATCAGTTAGTATGATAATTGGAAAGCAAGTGCATTTCAATGACACTCATTTCACATGTTTAGAGAGAGTTTAATTTGAACCATTATGTAACTGTGCAAATTTCAGCGTGAGTTTATTTTCGAATCTGGTTGTTTATTTACATTCACTGCAATATTTTCATTTTGAAATAAAATCATTCAAAGCAACCAAACTCCATACCTTGATACTCGACTAAATAATTGAGAAATTCTGAAATGAGACAGTCTCTCCCGCTCCATTTTTTTCTTAACGTAGTTAAAGAAAGCTCCTCAGGAGGAGAATCTTTGTCGCACCAATCGATAACTCGCATGTTTGTTACTTTAACTTATCGTGGAAATGTATGCAATGCTAGGCAAGAGCTTATTAGTAAACTGTTTAAATTTAGCTTGTAGGCGGCGAGATTTTTGGCATTTGCTTGATTTCGTTGAGGAAAGTTGGAGAAATGCGCGCGGTTTAACAATGAAAACGCTCACTCACCAGTGAAGTATTTTCTCTCCTGGAAGCTTGGAATATCGGTGAGGATTGATTGAGTTGTTTCCTTGGTTGGGGTCACAGATCGCGCCCTGTGTCGCAAACGAACAGTGAAAAAGGCTCTGTCAGTGCCAAAACGATTCCTAGCCAAAATGCAATAAGTACCGACGTCGTCCTCGGTAGCCCTTTTCAGGGTTAGTCTATTGTAATCGTCGGATGTTTCCCTGTAAGTCCTATGGGTCGTTGTTATGTCGTGCAACCCTTTCATCCAAACAACTTAAATATGAAAACAAATTAGTGGAAAAAAAACTTTTATATCATTTTCTTACTTGATGGTTTTGGATCTCCAGTAACTCTAAAAGAGACTACAATGTCCGATTCGGGGGTTACAGTCATTACAGTGTCAGGTCTTGAGAGAAACATTGCTGGTTTTCCATCGCGAATTGAAGATGGGTGGATAATTTGCACGTAAGAACTAGTTTCACTTCGTCCAAAGATATTAGAAGCTCTGCAGGTGTACTTCCCGGCTTCGAATTCGGTCACGTTGGGGATGAGAAGAGTGTGAACTCCACGTTCTTCAAAGGTTCGATGTCGTGAAGACGCTTTGGGTAACTTATGGCTCTCTTTAAACCATGTGATTTCAGCAGGGCCTTTAATTTCCACCTGCAGAGCCATTATTCCTCCTGATGGTACCAAATGGTCCGTCAGAACTCCCGCAAAATAGGGTTTGTGTTGATCACGGGGTCCCTTGAGAATACTTTTCGTTTTGTATTTTTCCGCAACATAATCTTCCTTTGATGTAAAATTAATTTCGTGAGAGACTTGGTCGCTCCATAACTCATTTTCTGCCCTACAAGTGTACCTCCCAGTATCACTTTTCTCAGGATTTTTTATCGATAATTTACAAATTCCATCTGCGGAATAACTCTGTCTGTATCTTCCTCCACTTTGAAGCTCGAAGCTATCTTTGTACCACTTTATATTGTGAGAGTGCGAATACCTGATTCGACATTCAAGGATTAATTCGTCTTCAGAAATCTTGTATGAATCTTTCAGTGGTCTTGTGAACGTGGGCGGGGATACCGTGGTGTCAATTGCTTCTAAAATTTTCAAATTGGCGAATGTTGTACTTACGCCGTGTTCATTTTTGGCTATACAGCTGTATTCGCCTGAATCTTCTATAGTGGTGTTCAATATTTCCAAAGATGCCAACCCATTGGAAAATGAAATATCGTATTTGTCGGTCTGAGTTAGGGTTTTTCCGTTTTTCAACCACATTGTGGTTACATTTTCAGCATTGATAATGCTGCAAGTAAGTTTTACTCTGGAATCGACAGTAGCCGAACGATCTGTTAAGCTTGTGCTGAAAATTGGTTTCCTGTCGGCAAATCTAGGTCCATGATAACTCTGAGGTTTAAACATTTCCAGATTGTCGTCATAAAATGTTCTTCCTTCAAACTGTTTATTTCTTTTTATTTCGAATCCTAATTTGTCTTCACCGTTACAGACTTCGTTTTTATACTGAATTGAGGATTGGGATTTGTAAGTACTACATTCACCATTACTCTGAGCGTTATTGTGGTTATTAAATTCTGTGTGAATTTTTTCTTTTTGAATTTCTACCTTCTTTTCACCTTCCTCTTTAGCTACTTTTTTAGTTTCTCTAAATTTGGTGTTTGCCTCTTCTTTTGATTGTTTTTCGGCTTCCCCTTTAGCCTTATTTTCAGCTTCATGTTTGCCTTTCTTTTTGTCGGCTTCTTCTGTAGCCTGCTCTGTTTTCTGTTTCAATTTCTTTTCAATTTGTTCTTTAGTTTCTTTCTTAACTTCTTCTTTAACCTTATTTTCAGTTTTTTCTTTGGCTTTCTTTTCAGCTTCATCTTTAGCTTGTTTCTCAGTTTCCTCCTTCGCTTTATTTTCAGCTTCATCTTTAGCCTTCTTTTCAGCTTCTGCTTCAGCTTTCTTTTCAGCTTCTTTAGCTTTATTCTCAGCTTCCTCTTTCGCTTTCTTTTCACTTTCTTCTTTGACTTTTTTCTCAACCACTACTTTGGCTTTTTTTTCGGCATCTTTTTTAGCTTTTCTCTCGGTTTTTTCTTTGGCCTTCTTCTCAGCTTCCTCTTTCGCTTTTTTTTCGGCTTCCTCCTTCTCTTTCTTTTCAGCTTCCTCTTTCGCTTTCTTTTCAGCTTCTTTTTCAGCTTTCTTTTCAGCTTCTTCTTTAGCTTTTTTCTCAGCTTCCTCTTGCGCTTTCTTTTCAGCTTCTTCTTTGGTTTTTTTCTCAGCTTCCTCTTTAGCTTTCTTATCAGCTTCTTCTTTCACTTTCTTTTCAGCTTCTTCTTTGGCTATTTTTTCAGAGTCTTCTTTAGCTTTCTTTTCAGCTTTTTCTTTAGCTTTCTTCTCAGCTTCTTCTTTCGCTTTCTTCTCAGCTTCTTCTTTCGCTTTCTTTTCAGCTTCTTCTTTGGCTTTTTTCTCAACTTCTTCTTTGGTTTTCTTTTCAGCATCTTCTTTAGCTTTTTTCTCGGCTTTTTCTATAGCCTTCTTCTCAGCTTCCTCCTTCGCTTTCTTTTCAGCTTCCTCTTTTACTTTCTTTTCAGCTTCCTCTTTAACCTTCTTCTCATCTTCTTCTTTCACTTTCTTTTCAGCTTCTTCTTTGGCTTTTTTCTCAGCTTCTTTTTTGGCTTTCTTTTCAGCATCTTCTTTAGCTTTTTTCTCGGCTTTTTCTTTAGCCTTCTTCTCAGCTTCCTCCTTCGCTTTCTTTTCAGCTTCCTCTTTCATTTTCTTTTCACATTCCTCTTTAGCCTTCGTTTCAGCTTCTTCTTTAGCTTTCTCTTCAGTTTCTTTTTTAGCTTTTTTCTCAGCTTCCTCTTGCGCTTTCTTTTCAGCTTCTTCTTTGGCTTTGTTATCAGCTTCTTCTTTGGCTTTCTTTTTAGCATCTTCTTTAGCTTTATTCTCGGCTTTTTCTTCAGCCTTCTTCTCAGCTTCCTCCTTCGCTTTCTTTTCAGCTTCCTCTTTCATTTTGTTTTCAGCTTCCTCTTTAGCCTTCTTATTAGCTTCTTCTTTAGCTTTCTTTTCAGCTTCTTCTTTGGCTTTCATTTCAACATCTTCTTTAACTTTTTTCTCAGCTTTTTCTTTAGCCTGCTTCTCAGCTTCCTCCCTCGCTTTCTTTTCAGCTTCCTCTTTCATTTTCTTATCAGCTTCCTCTTTAGCCTTCTTCTCAGCTTCTTCTTTAGCTTTATTTTCAGCTTTTTCTTTAGCTTTTTTGTCAGCTTCCTCTTTCACTTTCTTTTCAGCTTCTTCTTTGGCTTCTTTCTCAGCTTCTTCTTTGGCTTTCTTTTCAGCATCTTGCTTAGCTTTTTTCTCAGCTTTTTCTTTAGCCTGCTTCTCAGCTTCCTCCCTCGCTTTCTTTTCAGCTTCCTCTTTCATTTTCTTTTCAGCTTCCTCTTTAGCCTTCTTCTCAGCTTCTTCTTTAGCTTTCTTTTTAGCTTTTTCTTTAGCCTTCTTCTCAGCTTCTTCCTTTGCTTTCATTTCAGCTTCCTCCTTTGCTTTCTTTTCAGCTTCCTCTTTAGCTTTCTCTTCAGCTTCTTCTTTAGCTTTTTTTTCAGCTTCCTCTTGCGCTTTCTTTTCAGCTTCTTCTTTGACTTTGTTCTCAGCTTCTTCTTTGGCTTTCTTTTTAGCATCTTCTTTAGCTTTTTTCTTAGCTTCTTCTTTGGCCTTCTTCTCAGCTTCCTCCTTCGCTTTCTTTTCAGCTTCCTCCTTCGCTTTCTTTTCAGCTTCCTCTTTAGCTTTCTCTTCAGCTTCTTCTCTAGCTTTTTTCTCAGCTTCCTCTTGCGCTTTCTTCTCAGCTTCCTCCTTCGCTTTCTTGTCAACTTCCTCTTTAGCCTTCTTTTCAGATTCTTCCTTAGCTTCCTTTTCAGCTTCTTCTTTAGCTTTCCTTTCAGCTTCTTCTTTAACCTTTTTCTCAGCTTCCTCTTTAACTTTCTTTTCAGCTTTCTCCTTCGCTTTCTTATCAGCTTCCTCTTGCGCTTTCTTTTCAGCTTCTTCTTTGGCTTTCTTCTCAGCTTCCTCCTTCGCTTTCTTTTCAACTTCCTCTTTAGCCTTTTTTTCAGATTCTTCCTTAGCTTCCTTTTCAGCTTCTTCTTTAGCTTTCCTTTTAGCTTCTTCTTTAATCTTTTTCTCAGCTTCCTCTTTAACTTTCTTTTCAGCTTCCTCATTCGCTTTCTTTTCAACTTCTTCTTTGGCTTTCTTTTCAACTTCCTTTTTAACCTTCTTCTCAGCTTCCTCTTTCGCTTTATTTTCAGTTTCTTCTTTCTCTTTTTTCTCAGCTTTTTCTTTCGCTTTCTTTTCAGCCTCTTCTTTAGATTTTTTCTCAGCTTCCTCTTGCGCTTTCTTCTCAGTTTCCTCTTTAGCTTTCTTATCAGCTTCTTCTTTAACTTTCTTTTCAGCTTCTTCTTTGGATATTTTTTCAGCTTCTTCTTTAGTTTTCTTGTCAGCTTCCTTTTTGGCCTTCTTGTCAGCTTCTTCTGTAACCTTCTTTTCAGTTTCTTCATAAGCTTTTTTCTCGACGTCTTCTTTAGTTTTCTCCTCAGTTTCTTCTTTTGCTTTCTTTTCGGCTTTTTTCTTAGCTTTTTCTTTTACTCTAGTATCAGTTTCTTCTTTAGACTTTTTCTCGGTTTCTTCTTTAGCCTTCTTCTCAGCTTCCTCTTTCGCTTTCTTTTCAGCTTCTTCTTTAGCTTTTTTCTCAGCTTCCTCTATAGCTTTTTTATCAGCTTCTTCTTTAAGTTTCTTTTCATTCTCTTCTTTAGCTTTGTTTTCGGGTTCTTCTTTACCCTTCTTCTCGGTCTCTTTTTTCGCCTTCTTTTCAGCTTCCTCTTTCGATTTCTTTTCAGTTTCTTCTTTAGCTTTTTTCTCAGCTTCCTTTTTAATTTTCTTTTCAGCGTCTTCTTTGGCTTTGATTTCAGTTTCTTCTTTAGCTTCCTTTTCTGTTTTCTGTTTACCCTTTGTTTCTGTTTTGTCTTTAACTTCTGCATCAGCCCCCTTTTTATCTTCTTTTCCAACTTGCTCCTTAACTTTGTTTTCAGCTTCTTCTTTGTTTTTTTGATTTTCATCTTCATCAATCACGTATTCAAAAGTAACATTATCTATACGGCTTTGTATTTTAGTTATTTGATTAGACAGCAGTTCTAAAGATTCCTTAAGCATTCCGACAGATTTGTTATGATTTTTTTCATTTAAGATTACGGTTGCAATTTTTTTAACATTATTCAAATTGTTGCTAAATATTTCTAAATAAGGTATTTCCGATATGATTAAAGATAAATTGTGTAAGTGATCTCTTAGTTCCCTCAGATCGTGTTCGTCCTTTTTATTTAAATCTTTCATATCTAGTAGGCCTTTAAGATTTTCTATTTCTGAAATCGTATCAAACATCTTTTGGAGAGGACCATTTAGATCCTGCAGTTGAAGAGCTTCAGTGTTTTGATTGTTTTCCTCAAATTCTCTAATTTTGGTATTTGCCGTAAACTGTCCTTTCATTTTATTTAATGATTCTTTGGTTCCTTTGAGAATTGAAAGATCGAGTCTTGTCTGTATCAACAGTGCCCTTGCAGCATTAGTAATGCTTTCAGAATAATTTTTAAATCCAGAGCAAAGCAAGTTTTCAAGTGGGCTTGAGTCGCAAACAGTCGCAACTTTTTCTAATTCTGCACCAAATATTTGTAATTGATTTCCGACTAATTTTATATCATTCAATGCAGTTTTTTCTGGAGACGAATTAATTTTTACAATTTCTACAATAACGTTGTCATACAGCTCTTTTAGTGAATCAATTTTTCCGGAAATTTTTTCATTTACTTCAATATCTTGCATATTCTGGCATTCCACTAAGACAGAATTAAACTGTTTTAGAACTTTCCTAAGTGAAATGAGGTCTTTTAACAGCGTATTAACATTTGTGTCCAAATCTGTTTGTTTTTCCAGTAAAGATATTTCGTCCTCAAACTGTGCGTTACATTGAGTCAAAATTTTCAAATCAATTGACTTTTTAGGTTGTTTCTCTTCTTTAACTTCTTCGATAATATGGGATAATGAAGACTGTAGTTTTTTGAAAGCTACAGATGTTGCCTGTAGTGGTTTAGCTTCATGAATTACGTGATTAATTTCTTCTAATTGACCGACTAGAGCTTTGACTGCCGTTTTTATTTCAGGTTTAAGTACTTCTTGCACTTCTGTCTTGTTTGCTGAATCTTTTACAGTCACAACAATGGCAGACAGTTTCTGCAAAGGGTCTGCCAACAAGTGTATTTTTTCTAAAACTTCAGGTTTTATATCTTCTGTTTCCTCAAAAGATAATTTTTCTGTTTCTATAATACTTTCTTTCAATTCTTGTAGATCTTGATCTGTTTGGGTAATACCCAAAACACCCTCTTGTTTAGAAGATGAAATGTCTTTGCATTCTGCCTTAAGAGACTGAACACTATTGGCTAGAGTAATAACGTGTTCTAAAACAAGTTCAGAAATTGTTAAATTTTTTGGTGAAATTGCCATTTCTTTTTCAACCACTGAAAGTTTTGCTGATAATTGTTTGATTGCAATTAGAGTCTTTTGTAAAGCTTTAGTTTCAGGAACTTTTTGGTACACTTCATCTAGTTTACATTTTAAAGCTTGAAAAGTTTTCAGTAACTTTGGTATTTGTTTCACGATTACCTTTGGTTTCTCAACAATACTTCTTATTTCCACAACAGTAGCTGAAAGTTTCTCTAATGGTTCTTTCAGGGTGCCTATTTGTGTCAATGTTTCAGGTGATATATTCTCAGTTGTCTCAGAAATCAGAGTATCGGATTCAGTTAAACTACTTTGTAAAGAAAATAGTTCTTTTTCAATTTTTGTGACACTCAATATACTTTGTTGGGCGGTTGACTTAACATCTACCGCTTTAGCATGTAAAGCTTTAAGATCGTTTGATAGGTTAGTAACTGGTTCAAGGATAATTTCACCCAATTTTTGCTTATCTTCCAGTCTGCTTGCAATTTCTGATAATTTTGCTTTGAGACTTTGAACAGCATTAGTCGATTTCTGTAATGATTTCACTTCTGGAATAATACACTGAATTTCTTCCAACTTACATTTTAGGGCCAATACAGCTTTTTGCACTTTTGGTTTTTGTGCTTGTAATGTCGCTTTGTGTGTAACATTTTTTAGGTCAATAACAATAGCTGTTAATTGCTGCAAAGGTTCTCCTAAAGATTTTACTTGCTCCACCGTGGCAGAAGGTAAAGTCTGGCTTTCTTCAATCGACGTTTGTTCAGAATTTAATAGAGATTCTTGCAAAACTAGAAGTTCTTTTTCAAGATCAACCACGCTTAAAACACCTCTCTGGGGTAATTTTTCAATTTTTATACATTCAGTTTGAAGTGCTTTTACTTCTTTTAATAAGTTTTTCACCGGAAGAAGAACCATTTCTGTTAGATGTAAATCTTCTCTCTTAGGTTTTTCACAAATTTTGTTTTCAACTTCGGATAAAGTCGCTGATAATTTTTTAGCAGATGTTCTTAACATTTGTAAAGATTTAACTTCAGGTATACTGTGCGATATTTCTTCTAACTGACACTTAAGGGCAGACAAAGCCTTAGATAATTTTGGTTTTTCTTGTTTTTGTATTTCAGGTTTTTTAACTGCAGATTTTGTTTCAATTATTACAGATGATAGTTTTTCAAGTGGTTGTTTTAAAGCGGCAATTTGTTCCAAAGCGTTGCAAGGCATATTTTCAATTTCTTCTACTTTTAAGTGACTAGAATCCATAATTGCTTCTTGTAGAGACAAAAGGTCTTTTTCAATTTCAACTACACTCAACAGTCCCTGCTGGGCAGATTCCTCTATTCTTTTAGTCTCGCATTTTAAAGCTTTTACATTTTCTACTAAGTTTGAGACAGGTTGAAGAATAAGCTGTAGTTTGTTTGTTTTTGTTTGCTTGTCTTCTTTTCCAATTTTGCTATCTATTTCTGATATTTTTGCCGATAATTTATTGAAAGAAAGAGTTAGAATTTCCAAAGTTTTCGTTTCAATTGGCACTGGTTTAATTTCATCTAGTTGAGACTTTAATGCCATTAAGGCATTATGCGTTTTTTCTTTTTCTCTTTCTTCAATTAGTGCTTTAGTTGTAGTAAACTTTAGTTCTACCACAACAGCAGAAAGTTGTTTTATGGGTTCCTTCAATGCTTCAATTTTTTCTATGATTGCAGAAGGTAAGTTAGTGATATCTTCACATTTTTCAGAAGCAAGCAAAGCTTCCTGTAGAGAAGCTACTTCTTGTTCTATCTCTACTACACTGAGTATCCCTTGTTGAGGAGTTTTTTCTAAACTTTGAGTTTTTTCTCGTAACACTTTTACTTCTTCAATTAAAGTTGACATAGGTTCAAGAAGGACTTCGGATATTTTTGATTTATTTTTCCGTTTGTCACTTTGTTCAATTAAATGTTGGACTTCAATTATTTTTCCTGAAAGTTTTTCAATTTCAGCAGAAGTTGTTTTCAAAATGTTTACTTCAGGAATTATTTGCATTACATGTTCTAATTCACAATGTAAAGCTTCAAGGGCTTTCTTTACTTTTGGCTTACACTGTTCTATTATCTCTGGTTTTTTAAGTTGACTTCTTACTTCTATCACAAGAGCGGAAACTTCTTTTAGAGGTTCTTTCAAGGCTTCGATTTGAATTAAATTTTGTGTGGTTATATTTGCCGCTTCTTCAGACGAAAATGACTCCGACGTTATCAAAGCTTCTTGCAACGAAACTAATTCAGGTTCTAAATCAAGAACAGTAAGAACTCCTTGTTGTGGTATCAAATTTAAATCTGTACTGTCCGCTCGCAAGGCTGTCATTTCTTCAGAAAGGTCCATGAGTGGTTGCAACATTGTCTTGATAACTTCCGATTCTGTTTTCTTTGGTTTTTCCGGTAGATTTATCATTTCTGTGACTTCAGAGATTGTCGCAGAAAGCTTCTTCATGGCTACAATAGTAGATTCCAAAGATATTGTTTCGGGTAATTTCTGTGGTATTTTTTCTAATTCGCATTTAAGAGCATTCAGGGCTCTGCATAATTTAGGTTTTTGTTCTTGGCGTATTTCGGGTTTGTGCAATTTATTTTTCATTTCCACTACTACTGCTGTGAGTTTTTCCAGAGGCTCTTTTAAAATTTTAATTTCATCACCAGCTGTTTCACCAGAAATATCTCCACTTTGTTCAAAATTTACAAGTTCTTTTTGTAACGCAAAAAAATCTTTTTCGACTTCTACAATGCTTATGATACCTTGCTGTGGGACTAGTTTTACATTATCAATTTCTGTTTTTAATATTTTTAACTCTTCAGTAAAAGCACAGACGGGCTGAATGACTGCTTCCTGCAGCTGTGAAGGTTCCTCTATTGGTTTTTCTTGATCTAATAGTTGTTCCACATTTGTTAACTTTGCACAAAGTTGGCTAATTGCAACTGATGACGTTTCCAACATTTTTGCTTGTGGAATTATTTGCGTCACTTTTTCCAATTCACATTTCAAACTTGTCAGTGCTTTTTTGATTTTTGGCTTGCAGTTTTCTCGAACTTCTGGCTGTTTAAGAGAACTTCTGACTTCTATTATGACAGCAGAAAATTCTTCTATCGGTTGTTTTATTGCTTCAATTTGCTGCAACACTTCAGGTGTTATTGCGGCGATTTGTTCAGAAGAAAGTTGATCTGAACTAATTATGGCCTCTTGTAAATCAGAAATTTCTCTCTGAACTTCTGTAACACTAAGAACACCTTGCTGACATTGTAAATTTAGATCTTTTGCATCGGTTTGCAACGCTTTTATTTCTTCTGATAAATCCATAACTGGTTGAAGTATGTATTTCATTACTTCCGATTCAGTTTTTGTTGGAATTTCTGGTAAATTAATGAAATTATCAATTTCTGATAACTCGGCTGAAAGCTTTGTCATAGATACGATTGATGTTTCTAAAGACTTTGATTCAGGTAAAGTTTGAATAACTTTATCTAGCTCACATTTTAAGGCCAACAAGGCTTTACTAACTTTTGGTTTTTGTTGAAGATGGATTTCTGGTTGATTGACCGTTTCCTTTATTTCTACAACCAGAGCTGAAAGTTTTTCTATTGGTTCCTTCAAAATTTTGATAGTTTTGACTGTTTCAGGAATTACACTTTCAACTTCTTCTGCAGAAACATTTAACGTGTTTTGTAAGTCTGTCAAGGTTTTTTCCAGCTTTATTACTCCCACGACACCTTGTTGTGGAGCAATTTTAACATCTTTAATTTTAGTTTGTAAAGTTTTTAATTTTTCAACCAGTCCAGACATTGGTTCAATTAACTCTTTTTGAAGCTGTGATGTTTTCTGAGGTGCTTGCTCAACCATGTCTATAATTTTTTCTATTTCACCAAGCTTGAGTGTGAGTTTCGTTAATGGAACAGTTGAGGAATTCAACATTTTTACTTCTGGAATTATTTGAGTGACTTTTGTCAACTCCGATTGTAACGCCAATAGTGCTTTTTTAACTTTTGGCTTCTTCTCTTCTCGCACTTCTGGTTTCTTAATAGCACACCTTACATCTACAACAACAGCAGCAAATGTTTCCAATGGTTCCTTAAGACCTTCAATTTGATTTAAAGCAATAGGTGTTATGTTGGCAACATTTTCGGAAGAAAATTGTTCAGAACTTATCAAAGATTCCTGTAATTTCTGTATTTCTTGCTCTAATTCAACCAAACTGAGAAGTCCTTGCTGAGGCACTATTTTCAAATCTTCGGTATCTGCTTTTAAGGCTTTTATTTCTTCAGATAAGTCCATTAGAGGTTGCAACATCATCTTCACTACTTCTGACTCAGTTTTTGTTTGTTGTTTTGGTTCGGTTAATTTTGTATCAATTTCAGATAATTTCGCCGAAAGCTGTTCTAAAGCAACAACTGATGTTTGTAGAGGTTTGGCTTTGGAAATTTTCTGCGCAACTATGTCCACTTTACTTTTCAAAGTTAAAATAGCTTCAGACACTTTGTGCTCTTTTTCTTTAATTTCTGGTTTATTTAAAGTTTCTTTTACTTTAACTATGACTGCGGATAACTTTTCAAGTGGTTGCTTTAGTGATTCAATCTGTACAATTTCAGCTTCTTCGATAGCACTTTCTTCACAATGGATTAAAGTTTCTTGAAGGTTAGTTAAATTAGCTTCTATTTCTACCAAACTTACAACGCCTTGTTGCGGTTGCAGATTTAAATTTTGGCTCTCGGCTTTTAAAATTTTTACTTCTTCCAATAATGCTACTAGACTAGTTTTCAGTTTTAAACTTTTTTCAGTCGGTATCTCTTCCGCATCTATCAACTCCACAATTTCATTTATCTTGTTTGTAAGTTGTTTTAGAGGATTTGCTATTACTTCCAGTGTTTGTATTTTCAATTCCAAAATTTCTTCAACTTTATATTTTACAGTTAGCAAAGCTTTTTTCATCTTGGGTTTATTTTCGGTTCGAATTTCTGGCCTTTTAAGAGCACAACGAACTTCTACTACCACTTCAGAAAGTGCTTTTATTGGTTCTTTTAAAGATTCAATTTTTTGCAGCATCTGAGAAGGTATGTTTGAAACACTTTCAGAAGAAAATTCTTTTGAAGTAATTAACGATTCTTGAAAGAAACTTAGATCGTCTTTTAGTTTAATTACACTAAGGACCCCTTGTTTTGGTATTATTTTGACGTCGTCTATATCTTGTTGTAATGCTCCTATTTCTTCCGTTAAATCCATAATAGGTTGAAGTATAATTTTTATTACTTCTGATTCCGTTTTTTTACACTTTTCATCTACGTTCATCTGATCCTCAACTTCTGTTATCTTAGCAGAAAGTTTTTCGATAGCTAATAGGGTAGTTTTTGCTTCTTTTAGTTTCGGAATATTTTGAGAAACTTTTTCTAACTCATATTTTATGCCACGTAATGCTGCACTTACTCGAGGTTTCTGTTGTTCTTGAATTTCTGGTTTATTCAATGCATGTTGTACTTCTACAACTAACGAAGAGAGTTTTTCCATCGGTTCTGCCAAAGTCTTCAGCTGATCTACATTGAATTCAGCAACTGGTTCAATAGCCCCTAAAGCTTCTTGTAAAGTCAATAATTCCGGTTCAATTTCCACAACAGATAGAACACCTTGTTGAGGAACATCAACTTGTTTAATTTGTGCGTTTAATGTTTTTAATTCTGTAGATAATTGTAACATTGGTTGAATAACGACTTCTTTCTGTTCAAAAGACTCTTGATTTATTTCTATTGATGTTTCAACGGTTGATAATTTAGATGATAGTTTTTGAATTGCTCCAGAAGAAACTTCCAAAATTTTTGCTTCAGGTATGATTTGCGACACTTTATCTAACTCGCATTTCAGCGCTGCAAGTGCTTTTTTGACTTTCGGTTTCTTTGCTTCGCGAACTTCAGGCATATTAACAACATTTCTGACCTCTACTATGATTGAAGAAAGTTTTTGTAAAGGTTCTTGCAAAGACTTAATTTGGTCCAATGCTTCTGAAGATACAGTTGTAGCTTCCTCTGACGAAAACTCTTCAGAAGTGAGGATAGCTTCTTGCAAATTAAGAATTTCTTGTTTTAATTCTATCACACTAAGTACTCCTTGTTGAGGAACTACATCAACATTTTTAATATCGGCTTGTAATGTTGTAATTTCTTCCGAAAGGTCCATAATTGGTTGTAACATAATTTTCAATACTTCTGACTCTGATTTTGTTTTTTGTTCGGTGAATTTAATTTTGGAATCAACAAAAGACAATTTCGAAGAAAGTTCATTTATAGCCAAAACTAATATTTTGACATGTTCAGTTTTGGGTAATTTTTGATTAATTATGTCCAGTTCAGACTTGAGAGTTTGCAAAGCATTTTTTACTTTTGGTTTGAGTTTTTCTTGTACTTCAGGTTTATTCACTGCACTTCTTACTTCCACAATGACAAACGAAAACTTTTCCAGAGAGTCAACAAAAGTAGCGATTTGTTCCAAGGCTACTAAAACTTCATCATTTATAATTTCTTTGCAGGTGGCTACAGCTGCCCTGAAGTTACGCAAATTTTCATCCAACTCAACAATAGTTAAAACTCCTGTTTCAAATTGAACAGTTGAATCTTCAATATCAGCTTGCAAAGCTGTGATTTCATCAACTAGAACATTTATTGCTTGAAAATCTAAATTCTCCTTAGGTTTTTCAACTGTCATTAAATCTTCAACTTCTGTTATTTTGGCAGAGAGTTGTTTTAAAGCTATTGGTGAAATTTCAACACTTTTTGCCTCTGATATCGATTGAGTTATGTTTTCCAATTCGCATTTTACAGCTTGTATTGCTTTCTCAATTTTTGGTTTGTGTTCCTGAACTTGTGGCTTACTTGCTACATTCTTGATTTCAACAATGACAGCGGATAATTTTTCTAAAGGTTGTTTCAATGCTTCGATTTTTTTTGTCGCTTCGGGAATAAGACTTTGAACATCACCAGATGGAATTTCTTCAACAATAATGCAAGCTTCTTTTAGATCAATCAGACTTTGTTCTAACTCAACAGTACTTAAAATGCCTTGTTGTGGAGTTGCCACTTCTTTAGTTTCCGTCCGCTGAGTTTTAATTTCTTCAACAACGTTGCTAATACTTTTAAGAGTAGCTTCTTGGGATGAAGTAACTTGTTTTTGTAACATCTTTTTCTCAAGTTCGGTCAACTTAGATAACATTTCTTGGACTGCGATGAATATAGCTTCAAAAGGTTTTATTTTTGGAATGTTTCCTAACAGGACTTCTAATTCGTATCGTAGAGCAGAAATGACCGAACAGATGCTCACTCTTTGAACTTCAAGTCCTTCAGGTTTGTTAATATATTTTATTATATTTTCAACAACTAGAGCAAGATTTTCAAAGGGTTGGTTTATTGCTTGCATTTCATTAAATGTTTTAAGTACATTGTTTGAAATTTCTTTAAATGAAGTTACGCTCGAAGTTACAGCTTTTTGAAGATGCACCAACGTTTCTTCAATCTGAATAATATTTAAAACACTTTCTGCTACCAGCGACTTATCTTGAACATTACTTCTTAACACGTTTACTTTTTCTAAAAGCAATTCAATGGGATTAAGAATAGCGTTAATTATTTTTAAAAATTCTTCTCGATTTTCTTCTTCTTCCTTAGGTGTTATTGAACTTTCTACTTCTTCTAATTTAGCAGAAAGCGCTTTTATAGCAACTGTCGAAGTTTCCAAACTTTTTTCTTTCGGCATCGTTTGAGACACTTTATCTAATACGCACTTTAACGCCATGACAGCTTGTTCAATTTTTGGTTTTTGTTGTTCTTGTATTTCTGGTTTATTTATAGCACTTTTCATTTCTATTACAACTGCTGTTAATTTTTCAAGTGGTTCTTTTAACGATTCCATTTGTTGTAAAGCTTGAATGGTCAATTCCCCACTCTCTTCAATAGGTGATTTCAAAGCATCTTGTAAATTTATCAGCGTTTGCTCAATTTTTGTAACAGTTAAGACTCCTTGTTGAGATGTAGCTGCTGTTTGACTTTCTAGTCGTAACGCTTTAACTTCTTCTGCTAAAACGGTGACAGGTTGTAGAACGGCTAACATTGATTCAGAATATTGTGGTGAGTGTTCTTCTTTTTGTAACATCTCTTCGACTGTAGATAATTTAGCTGATAATTGTTTAACAGCAAGAATAGAAGTTTTTAAAGCTTCAATTTCTGGAATTATCTGAACAACCCGATCTAATTCACATTTCAAAACGGTAATTGCTTTGCAAACTTTTGGTCGTTGTTCTGTTATTTCCGGTTTGTTAATAGCACTTCTAATTTCAACAACAACAGCTGAAAGTTTTTCCAAAGGCTGTTTTAAAGAATTTAATTGATTTTCTACAAGTTGCCTTTCTTCAACTGTGAGTTTTTCAGTTTCTGTTAAAGCATTTTGCAAATCTAATAAATTTTGTTCAATTTCTAAAATTCCAAACACTCCCCTTTGAGGCGTAAGTTTTAAATCCTTGGCATCTGCTTGCAAAGCTTGAATTTCTGATCTTAAATTAAATATAGGATACAAAACTATAGATTCGGTTTTTGGCTTCTCCGATAATTGCTTTTCTATTTCTGATAATTTTGCCGATAATTGTTGAATTGCCACACAAGAAGTTTCTAAACGCTTTGCTTCCGGAATTGCTTGTGATACTTTCTCTAGCTCACATTTTAACGCTTTTAATGCTTGTTTTACTTTAGGTTTTTGTTGTTCTTGGATTTCTGGCTTGTTAACAGCGCTTCTCATTTCTATAACAGTTGCCGTTAATTTTTCTAAAGGTTCTTTTAAGGCTTGTACGTTTTGAATTGCTTCTATCGCCACTTGTTGTTCTTGTTCAGGACTAATCAAAGCTTCTTGCAAATTAACAAGACTTTGTTCTAACTCTGCAACTTGCAAAATGCCTTGCTGAGGCATCGTCTCCAATTCTTTTATTTCAGATTTTAAAGTTTTTAATTCTTCAGACAAAGTTGTAATTGGTTCAACAACAGCTTGCTTTAATTTCAACTCTTCTTTTTCCATTTCTTCTATTGACTTTTCTATTTCTGATAATTTACTTGAGAGTTCCTTCACAGCAACCGACATAGTTTCAAAAGATGTACTTTTAGAAACTACAGCTGAAACGTTATCCAATTCACATTTTAATGCTTGTATTGCTTTATAAATTTTTGGGCTTTTCTGTTTTATATTCTCAGGTTTCTTAAGAGTTCCTCTTATTTCGACAACTACTGAGGAAAGTAGTTCAAGAGGTTGTTTCAAGCAAATCAATTGTTCTGTCAGTGGTTTGGGCATATTTTTTACGGAAGCTAAAGCATTTTCGATGTTTAAAAGGTTTTGTTCAATTTCTACAATAGTTAATACTCCTGGTCGTGAAGTTAATTTGACGTCATTAATATCTAAATACAAGGCTTGAATTTCTTGCTTTAGGTCAATAAGAGATCCACAAATTACTTTAATTTCTTCGGACACCACTTTTGGTTTTTCCTCAGTCTCGATTAATTTTTCTACTTGTGTCAATTTAGCTGAAAGCTGCTTTGCTGCTAAAAGTGAAGTTTCTAAACTTTTTACTTCCGGTATTATTTGCGTGATTTTTTCTAAATCACACTTTAAGGCCTGTATTGCTTTTTTCATTTTTGATTTTTGTTGTTCGAGAACTTCAGGTTTGTTGACAATATTTTTTATTTCAACCACAACAGCAGCGAATTTTTCTAAAGGCTGTTTCAAACTTTCAATCTGTTCTAATTCTTCTGGTTTTATTTTTTCAGCTTCCTCAAGAGACATTTGTTGAGAATCAGTGAAAGCATCTTGTAAGTTAACCAAATCATTTTCGATTTCAATAATGTTCAAAATGGCTTGTTGAGGAGTGGATTTTAGATCAGTAACACTAATTCGCAAACTCTGTATTTGATCCTTGAGCTGACCGACAGGCTGGAGAATTATTTTTGTCGCTTCACGTACTTTTTCACAACTTGTCTTTTCTGCTTCAATAACGTCTTTAATTTCCGATAATTTCGCCGAAAGTTTTTTAACAGCAAGCGAAGTTACTTCTGATACCTTAGCTTCTGCAGCTTGGTTTAGCTCATATTTTACACTTTCCAAGCTCTTCGCTACTTTAGCTTTGAGAGGTTCTTGAATTTCAGGTTTATTAAGACTGTTTTTAACTTCTTCAACCACCAAGCGCAGATTTTCTAACGGTTCTTTCAAATTTTCTAATTCGGTCAAATTGTTATCTTCACAACTTACTATAACATTTTCTAAAGCTTCTACTTCTTGTTCTATTTCAGTAATGTCGATGATACCCTTCTGAGAAACACCTTCTACAGATTTGCACTCTGCCTTTAATGTTTTTATTTCATTAACTAATTCTGTTATAGGAGACAAAACAGCTTTTTCAACAGGTTTTTCATTTCTTATTCGATTTTCAAGTTCTTTTAACTTTAAGGTAAGTGTTTTAATCGGTGTTTCAACTTCTTGTAGCATTTTAGACTCAGTAACTTTTACCACCACTTGGTTTAGTTTCAATTCTGTGGCCTTCAAAGTGTCGCAAACTTCGGATTTATCCACTTCTTGTATTTTTTCGTTTTCTGCAGCTACTTTTATGTTCATAATGACCGCCGCCAACTTTTCTAAAGGTTCCTTAACATGACTTATCGTAGTTTTGACATTTTCTGGTATTTCTTTACATAATTCAATGGAATGTTTTTCAGTTTCTTGTAACGCACTTACTACCGAAACTACACTGTCTTTCATATCCACAACATTTAATACCCCTTGTTGGGGTAATATTTTTTGTTTTTCTATTAGCGCACTTAGTGCCCATGTCGCTTGTGATAAAGTAATGATAGGTTCTGCAAGATCTTTAATAATTTGTGTGTTTTGTTTTACAGTTAACTGTTCCTCAGTTATAAGTCTTTGTTGAATTTCTTCTAATTTCGCTGATAACTCTCTCGTCCGTTGGGACAGAGTCTCATTTTGTGGAATCGATTCTAGCAACTGATCAGTTTGTTCCTTTAGTGTTATTACTGCTTGCTGCAATTTTTTACTATGTTCTTTCAGCTGCGGCTTTCCAATTAAATTTTTGAGTTCAACAACAACTGCCGAAAATTTGTTCAACGGTTCTTTAATTCGTTTTACTTTTTCTGTAACTTCTACTGGAATGTCTTTTCCTGAAATGTTGAAGTCTTTTTCAGTTTGTATTAAAGCTTTCACAAAATTTGTTAAATATCCTTGCGTTTCGATGATGCTTACTGTAGCTAGTTTTGGTGTTATATTTGAAGACAAGAATGTGGTTTCTAGAGTTTTTAATTCATTACACAAATTTTCTACTGGTGTTTTATTAATATTAGTTGTAGGAAGATTCGAAAGTTCGATTTTTTCTATTTTACTATCAATATAATCGATTTTCAAAATAATTAATTTCAGTGGCTCTACAACTAGTTGCAATGATTTAACTTCCGAAGATAATTTTATAAGAACTTCAATTTTATTTCTCAATTGTGCAAAAGAATGACTTAGTTTATTTTTCATTTTGTGGATTTCAGGTTTATTTAAAGAGTCTTCTACTAACTTAAGTTGTTTAGTAAAAGTCATAAACTCTTTCATTGTCGTATTTAAAATATCTAAGTTTTGCAGATTTAAGTCTTGTACTTTATCTTTATTGATTAAATTAGCCAAATTGTGTAAACTTTCAAAAAGAAACAAGAAACCGTCATCAAGTTCTTCGTAAGCAATCAAATCTTCATGGTCTTTTACATTTCCTACTTTATTGATAAATTCTCTTAAGACATTTCTCGAATCAGTTAAAGATTTTCCAAAGTTTTGAATTACAGTAAGATTTTCGGATTTAAATTCATTAATAATTGGTTCGCTTGTTGCTGATTTTTCTTCTTCTTCTTCTTCAACCATCTGTTCTTTTTCTGTAGCTTCCCAAACTTCTTCAATTTTAGCTGTCAAGGCTTCCAGAGGCTGATTAATGATAGTTGCGTGAGTCACCGGTGCCGATTTTATCAATTCCAAATTCTCCTTAAAACAAACAAGAGCTTCCTTTAATTGCTGTTTTTCAAGTTCGGTTATTTGGGGAGTTTGTAGATTTTCTTGCACAGAAGTCATCAAAATGGATAGTTTTTCTAAGGGTTCTTTAACTTTTTGTAAAGTCTCTTGTCTTAGAGATAACTCTTCTGTTGACTCGGATATCATTTCTTCCGATTTTTGAACACTTTCTTCTAGTTCTTGTAATGGTAAAGTGATTTCAGCCAACGACACTATTGCTGTTTTTGGTTCTGGACAGGATTCTACTTGAGAAGCCAATAAAGCGACTTTATGTTCAATCTGTTTCAATGGTTCTTTTAACATCTGTGCCACATTGACCTTAATTTCAGTTGTAAAAACATTTGTCAAATTTTCTAAACAATTAAACAATTTACAGATGTTTGTAGAAGTTAATTCCGCCTTATTCATTTTTACTATTTCGGCATAGACAGTACTAAATCGTACTAATGAATCGCTAATAGGCCCACTTACAGTCACTTCTTTAGCAACAATTTTCTCCAAATAAGGTTTTGATTTTTCCAAAATTATTGAAGCCTCTTCATATTCTATATTTTTTAAATCATCTAGAATTAAATGCACAAGGTTTGCGATGTCTTTTAATTCTGCATTATCCAATTTCTGATTTATTTCCTTACACTTCTCTTTAATGCGTTGTGACATGTTCCGCAAAGAATTTTTGTTTGATAATTCGGTTTGGATACTGATAACAGCCTTAACAACATTTTCTAATGGTTCTAATAATTTTTGCAATACGGATTCTTGACCTTCAGGCACTTCGATCAAAACTGCTTTATTGCAGACACTAATTATTGTATTCTGTATGCCATCCAGAGGTTGAGACAATTCTTTGATATCAAAATTCTCATAATCATCAGTTTTTTGAACAATTTCCAAAATATTTTGAAAAGATGATTCAATGGTGTTCAAAATTGAGAACTCTTCTTCTAAAATTCGTGCTTCCACGCATTTCGATAATTGCCGTTGAAGAGCATAAAATGGGTTTACAAGCTTTTCCAAGAGTTTCAAATTACCGTGAGGAATATTTTTTAGCACAGTTGCAAATTTCAACAAACCAATAGTTGATGTATTTATTTTGTGCAGTAGTGTTTCAGTTTCGCTAGATTTGGGTTCTTCTAAAACTAACTGAGTAACTCCAATAGCCGTGTCAAGTTCTTCCAACGGTTCAGAAATACATTGAAGGAATGTTTGTTCGGCTTTTGAAGTATTCAAATCAACAGTTTGTTCTTGAGAAGTCACAATAGTAGATAGCGTTTCTTTTAATATTAGCAAAGGCTCACTTATGTCGTCTTGAACATCAGCTGCGCGTTCTAAAGAAGCATTCAGTTCCTTCAGCTTTGCTAAGTCTTGAGTTGTCATTTTTGTACTTTCCACCTCACTCACAGCTTGAATAACAGCTTGTAACGGCTTGTCTAGTTCTTGTAAAACAGTGAAAATAGGGCTTGTCGGTTTATTTTCAACAAAATGAATAATGCACTCTTTGAAATTTTTAAACGATTTGGCAAGTTTTTTCACAATTTGCTCTTTTTGCACTGCTTCTTCTTGTTGCTTAATTATTGCTTTCTCCATGGCTTTCTTAACACAGTTTTGCACGTCTTGTAGCGGTTCTATCAAATCTTTGATTTGCGATTCCAAATTAATACTAGCCAGTAGAACTTTCAGTTTGTCAGCTTGGTGTTCTAACATTTTCGCTTTGTCCATCTCATCGTCTCCTGCTTCAATGATTTTGCTCAAATCTTCAATCGTCTCCGAAGTTGTAGTGATGTGATTTAAATCGTCTTGTGATAACTTTGCTTTTCTTTCTTCTAAAATACTACCAGAGACAAATAGCAAAGTCGTAAGAGGTCTCTGCATTTCCGTGATTAATATTTTAGTAGCTTTATCTTCGGGTTTTGCTTCTGCTGTAGAAATTGATTCTTGTAATGACTGCAAAGTGTCTTGTAGTGTTGTAAGAGGTATGCAAGGCAACGGTTCTTCGATGCTTTTAACTACGAATTTCTCCAAGTGACTTATAAAAAGTTCAAGAATTTCGGGGAATTCTACTAGTGGCGAATCTTTTTGAGCTTCTTCCAAACAGGCCTTGAAGATTTTCAACTTTGGATTGATTTCATCACTGATTTCGTTAGAGTTGAAACTATCATCTAGTTCTTGCAATAAATCATGAAGTAGGGAAACAGCATGCTCTTCTACTTCATTTTCAACTTTAACAATTTGTAAGAGCTCAACTAATTTAACAGTAGTGAGTGTCATTTTATTCAACATTTCCTGTTTTTCTTTAGACAACTGACTTTTGTTAATATTTTTGATCCTCTCTTCCATGTCTTTAACTAATTTTATTGTTTTAACTTTAGTTTCAACCGGTACGGGGACATTTTCCATTAAATTAATAACATTCTTGGCAGTATCTTCCAGATGTTCCATCGTTTCTTTAATTTTAGATTCTTTAGGGAGAATTACAACCGCTAAACGCAAATCATCAATCACGGCTTTGACAGTTTCAACCGTAGCTTTTTGTTCCCCTTGAGGCTCCATGTAATTGTTGAGTTCTTTCAAAGTATTATTTGCTGCATCGACGACCATTTTTTCTTCTGCTTGAAGAATAAGAGGCAAATTGCTTCCAATCATTCCTTCAACAGCTTGAACAGATTTCTGTAATTCAGTTACAGCCGCTTTCTTTTCAGCTGTCGCACTTTGCCCTTCAATTTTCATAATGCTTTCTCGAAGAATTTCCAATTTTTCTACCATAGACTTAATTACTTTGGCAGCTTCTTCGAATTTTTTCATTTTCACAATTTCGCCGATACTTTGAACTGTAGCTTCCATTATTTTGCAGATTTTCAAGCATTTTTCATTATCACTTGGTGTTGTTTTCAGTGCCTCTACTTTCTTTGACAAATTGTTAAAAGCAACTTGTTCATATTTTTGTTCACTTAATTGAGACGAAATATAATTACTTAGTTCTAATAATAATTCTTTTTCAGCTCCGACTAGTGAAATATCAGAAGGCGAAAGAGAAGTTGTTTCCAGAACCATTGGTTCCAACTTCTGAACTTCACACAAAAGGCCTTGAATTTTTTCAGTTTCAGGCAAATCCATATTTTGTAAAGTTTCAAGTTTACTTTGCATTTCTTTAATTGGTGAAACAAGTTCTTGCATTGGGTTAAGTGATTCTTCCACTTGTTTTGCTTTATGTGTTTCAATTTCTTCTTGTATTCGTTTCCCTGTAGCCAACAGAGTTTGTGATAAAATTTGTAAATGAGGCACTTCGAGAGCAGATTCTGTTTGGATTAAATTATTTTCACGTTCTTTTAAAACTGATAAATCTTCAGTTTCACTAATTCTTTTCAACTCATCAATATAAAGTTTAATGTTTTCAGCAAATTTAATTTCATCTTCAGTTAATTCTTCTTGAAGAATGTCATTAAAACAGATCAAACTTTCTTGAATTTTCTCTAAATTCTGTTTTAGATCAATTTGTGATTGCTGGCATAACTTTTCTTCAATTTGCTTCAAGGGTGTAATTAGTTGTTTATTAATTATTTCAGTCTTAACTTCTTTGGTAAATGCTTGTTGTAATTGTTGAGCAAAGTCAGGCATATTTTCAGTTAATGAGTTTAACAAATGTGTGATTTTTCTAATCGGAGAATTTTCTTCAACTGATTTCACCGCCTTGTTAAGAATATTTAACAAAATAATAATATCTTCTTTTTTCGGAAGACCTTTGGTTAAAATTTCTTCAGTGACTGCCAACTTTGATGACACAAATGTATCAAGATCAGTCATTATTTTTGCAATATTTTCAAGAAATTTTAAATCACTAGCCGCTAATTTTAGTTGACTCAAATCGTTGACTGCCATTTGTAAAGGATAGAGCGACTTTTGTAAAGACAGAATTTTTTCTTTATCAACATTAGAATACTTAATTGTTGCAATGTGCTTTGCAAAACCTTGAACCGAATCAGCAACCATCTGAATATATTGCAATTGTACCTCTTTCCTCTGATCTTCTTCTTTTTTAATATTTTGCAAAGTATTCACTGTTTTAAAATACAAAACACAGATATTTTTTATTAAATCCTTATTATTTTTTAGTGTCTTCACTGTGTCATTTGTCTGACCAACACATTGTAAGAGTTTTTCAGTTGTTACATTTTCTTGATTGTTTATGTAATCCGAAACTAACGATACCACATTTGTTGCTTGTTTAACTATTTCTTGTTCAAATTCATCTAAAGGAACATTTTGTGCGTTGTCTCTTAAGACCGGTAGTGTATATCGAAGTTCATCAAATAATAATTTTCGATCAGTCGTAAGTTTTTTGATGTCTGTAGTCATTAAACCTGTCACAGCATCACTAAATTGATTTATCACAGAAATTTCAGGTTTCTCTTGGCTGGCGGCTTCAGCGATTACGATTTTGCTAAGAAGAAATGCTACTTTTTGTAGGTGCTCAACGATTTTGATTGATCGATGAGACATACTTAATGATTTCACTTCCATATTTAATTTTTCTACGCTGGTTTTTAAGTTATCTCCATCACAAACAGTTTGCATTATTTTAATTACATTTTCTAACTGCCGCGATTCTGAATAGTCAAGTTTAAATAATTCCTCACAATTTAATAAAAGTGATAACTCTTCACGTATTTCTCCAATTTGTGGATGTTTAGTTTCCACAACACTTAAAGATTCTTGCAAAGTTTGAAGAGTGACAATAATATTTTCACTTGCTGAAGGTGTTACATTCTTCAAAGCTTCCTCAAAAGCTGCTAACATAAATCTTAACGATTTCAAGATATACTTTAGACCAGTATGCGCATTCAATTCTTTAACTTTATCAGATAAATGGCTTAAAGACATGTGCAAACTTTTTAAAGACAAGGGTTTTTGATCAATAACACGAACATTTGCTTTAACTTCATTCAAAACTGTTTCTAAAGAACTCAAAGGTTCTAAAAGATCAGGAGTAATGTCTCCACGATTTTGCTCAATTGTTAACACTTCTAGAGCATCACCTATCGTTTCCTCAATTTGTGGTACGTATCTCTGAAACGTTTCGTGTTTTATGTCCAAGACTAAATCATTGAGACTCAAAAGAGGCAATCTAAGGGTAGCAAAAACTTTCTTTTTCTGTTCTTCAAACTGTTGAATATTTGAAACACTATCGTCAAGCTTTCGTAACGAATCTGAAATTTTTTTCAATTCGTTTACGTCTTGTGCAGTGATTGCAGATTCGTTCCTTTCGATGAAATGTGGTTGATTTGTCAATTTTTCCACACATTCCACAACTTCCGAGGCTTTTTGGTACAATTCCGGCTCGATTTTTTCAACTCCTTCGACAATTGTCCCTTGATAAAGTGTAGCAAGACATTTTTCCAATTCGTAAACATTTTCGATTATTGCCTTCCCAATAGCTGCAGAAGCTATAAATTCGGATTGTGGTGCTTCTTGCATTATCGGTAATGTGAGAACATTAGCTATGGACCTCTTCAGGTCATCCAGACTACATTTTTGTGTTTGTTGCAGCTGTTCTAAGAACATAACTTCATCGAGGATCTGTTGATGCATCACTGCAACATTATATTGAATGTGTTCTAGTATTAGTCGAATTTTGTCACTTTCTTGGGAAACTCCTGGCGTTTCGTTTAGTACATCTTGTGCTTCTATAAGAGCGTCTTCTATTTGTTCAAGAGGTGCCACAAAATTTTGTAAAGCTATTCGTTCATCTAGAGTTAACTCTTCTTTTTTCTTTTCTAAAGCTGATTCACCTGTGACTTCTAAAAGAGTTCTCAGACAACTCATGAGAGGTACAGCCAAGTCTCTAGAAATATTTCTAGTCTCGTTTTCTAAACACGAAATTGCTTGTCTTGTGTCTTCCAATAATGCTGTTGGCACTACTGTTTCCGAAGATTCTTCAAGAATAACAACAACACTTCCTTCTTTGGAATCTTCGGATAATGATTCCGGGACTGTCCCGTGTTCAGTTAAGCTACAAATGTTTTCGCGAACTTCACTTGTTCGTCCTCGGAGTATCGAAAATGGGATACACAAATCAATAGTTTCAAGCCTTTCTTCATCTACTATTATACTGTCTTCCAGGATATTCAATGAAGCAATAAAGTCGTCTAAAACCTCCCTTCCTGTGGTTGGCGTTATTTCCGTCAGTTGATTATTTAAAACGTCAAGTGGTTGAGCCAAACTTTCGATAGCATTAAGCGTCGGTTCCATTTTTATTTGAGAAACTTTGATTATAGTGGTGGCTAAATCCTTTTGTAGTGTCGAAATTTGCCTCAATGCTTCTAAAATGACAGTATCAGTAACCACTTTTTGGGCAGATTCTATGTTGAAAAGAAGATCTTCGATTGATTGAGTGATGTTACTGAGTACAATTTGGCTCACTTGATCAAACACGTCTTTAACAATGTCTTGTGAAGTTACTTCAGGACTATCTTGTTCAATTATAGTCCCAGGTTGAATTTTTCCTTTTATTGTTTTCACAGACTGAACGATTTTTTCAACAGAATCGTCAATAATCGTCTTTTTTTCCATAATCTCACTAAATCGGAAATCGCCTGAATTCGTTTTTTTCAAATCGTCTATTACGTTTACTAATTCTGCTAGAGGATGTGATAATTTGTCAATTAGTGCTAGTCTCAATTCTTGTTCTAAAGATCTTTCCAAGGAATGTCTAATTGACAATTTACTAATGTTGGACAACTCTTTCATCAAATTCCTTATTGGTTCAGAAAGATTGTCCAATATATTCTTGGACGATTCTCGGAAACGTGGATCTAATTCTTCATAATATGGAATATTTTTCACTCCGTTTTGGAGGTCATTAGCCAGACTCTCAATACATGACATAAAGTCTTTCTTTAGTGTTTTTGTACTCGAATCGTTCTCAAAAGATTTCTGTGAACTTTCGCTGTGTTTGGTTTGTAAAATTTCGTCCGCACTTTGTAGCCCTGTTTGAATTTCTCTGATCGTAATACAAACTTCTTGTATAATTTTTGAGGGAGTCATTCGTCCTGAAATTTTAGTAGTGTCCAATTCTTTCTCCAGAAGAGTTAAAGATTCAATCAGTTGCAAACTCTTTTGTAATTGTAGCCCAGTTGTATCGAGGATATTGGCACACGTTTTTTGGATTAGGGTGTGTTCTTTGCCTTGCATTTCGATACATTTTTCTACAACCGACAAGCTTTTTTGTAGTTCAAAAATCGGTGGAGCGATTAGCTCAACAGCTGATATTTCCGATTTGTGTTCTTCTTGCACTATTGTTTGCAAAACTGTTTGAATGTCTCTGAATGGTTGCAAAATGCTGCTTAAAGTGTCTAAACTTTGTTTTGCGGTAGCTGATGTTGACTTAAGAGTGGTTTGCACAAACAATTCTTCCTCGACTGCAAGCAAACCTTGCTGTATTTCCGATATACATAATTTCAGGTCGTCGATTATTTGCAGTTCTTCTCTTTTAAGTTCGAGTTGTTTAGCCGCATTTACTTCAGGATCGATAACTAAACCATCACCTTCTTCACCTTGAATATCTCTTTGATAATCATCAGGAATATCCAAACTCTTGGTCTTCTTTGGTGGTCTTTTCATTAATCCGTCTTTCGACATTTCGTCCGAGCTTTGAGATGACCGTCTTCTTGCACTCCTGTTTAACTCTTGACTTTCACTTCTATTGACTCTCAAATCTGAACCGATTTCATGAGTGGTACGTGGAGTTAACGGTCTTCTTGATTCGATATCATCTCCAGGAAGACTGGTAGTTTCGGTAATTGCAGCCACTTGGAAGGCCCGATCTTGTCCCGGTAATTTCTCTGAACTAATAGCACTCTCGTACTCACCGTAAGACTCCGTGTCTAAGTCAGCAACTACCGCCAGGCTTTCCTCACCGGCTCCTGATTCTAATGACAGATTTTTGGTTAAACTATAATAAGAGTTGCTCTTCTGTGAATCCGATTTTCTTGGAGGCCTCTTGGGAGCGTCACCACTTGATGTTGAAACATCAATTTTGAGTTTCTCAGATGTAAGACTCGACACCAGTTGACCAGTTTCGTCCGTTATTGAATATATTTCTTCAACGTCGGCTTCAGTTCGCAAATCTTGTTCCTCAGGAGTAAAGAAATTTTCAGAAACGTCAACAACTACCGCTTCCATTAAAAGATTACCGGAAGTTGAAGTTTCTTTGACAAACCTCAACGGAGGAAGTTCCACAATATTATGTTCTACAAATAAGTAAAGTAGCAAGATACTTGAAAAAATGAAGCAAACTTACCGGAAACGTGTTCCGACAACTGGTCAGCATACATCTCGACAATTTGTATTGCTTCTTCTTCCGTCAAATCTGGAGTTTCGTATAACGACACAGAAACTTCTTTTCCATCAAACGAGAAGGAAACTTCTCCTCTGTCATCTATAGTAAGAGACTGGTCACCTGCTGTGTCGTAAATCTGCGAAGTTCTTTCTTCATGAATTGTCGACAATGAAGGCTGTCTTGCTAGTTCCATTCTTTGTTGTGCTCTAGTTTTCTGGTCTTCGAAACCAAGAAGAGATGCCGAACTGGCCACGGTACCCATGCAGTTTCTTGCCTCACATGTATAAGTACCAAGGCAACAAGTACCATCCTGTTGATTTTTTTTTAGATTAAAAAAATAACACTTTAAAAATAAATACTTCTCCGGAAGTGATTCTATGAATGTCACCTGGTTTCAACTCAACTCCATCTTTATACCATTTGAGCATTGGTGGAGGGACTCCGATTACTTTGCACTCTAAATTAACGGCCCCCTCTTCGGATAAAACCGCTCGTAAACATTCCAAAAATTTAGGTTTTTTGAAATGTTTTGGAATAATGAGTTTGAGAAAACAGGAGGTGACAGAGTGGCCAAATTCGTTTGTAGCCACACACTTCCACTCTGCTTGATCTATAAATTCTACTCTTATAATGTCCAAATGGCCAACTCCTAGGTTTTCCTTCAAGGCAACGTAACGCTCGGGTTCGTTATCAAGGGGTTGGTCGTCTCGATACCAGGACAGAGTTGGTAGAGGAGTTGTTACACTGACTAAAATTCAACCATTTTAACAATACAATTCACCTAACAATAAAGTAGCTATAAATTACTTTGGACGGTAAATCTGAACGGTTCGTTAATTCTCGCTTCGGCACTTTTCAAGCCATGAATGAATTTCGGTGCTTGGCTCCTTAAAATTAATTGGTTTCGCTCCTCGTCATTAAGTTGACTTTCAATATCTTCCACTGTTAATTCAGCTGAACTTCGCGCTTCGCCCATGCAGTTTCTGGCAATGCAACAATAAGAACCTAACGAGTTTGTTCCTGTCAGTTGGTAGACATCTCCCGGTTTTAATTCTTGTCCATCTTTGAACCATTGTAATACAGGGGTAGGGGAACCTACTACTTTACATTCGAAAGAAACTAAGCCTTCTTCGGTTAATACTGCCTTAAGAGTATCCATAAATCGAGGTTTTCGAAAATGTTTCGGTACTAGAAGATAATAAATAACTTCTGTGGCGTAAATTTAGTAACTTACTAGTCATTTTAACGTCACAGGTAGAAATTGAAATGGCACCATCTTGGCTAGTTGCTACACATTTCCACTCGCCTTGATCTGCCGCTTCTGTGGGTTTGACTTCAAGCATGTACCCTCCAAGTCCATCTGCCATTTGTCGGTACCTACTACCTGGAGTTTCATCGTTGATTCGGCCTTCGGAGTTATACCAAGCCACGGATTTGGGCCAGGGAGGTACAGACACTAGGAATACATCTGTAAGACTTGTTAACAAAAATTTTCACTTACCTTGACAGGATAATAACAGAGGATCACCAATTTTGATTGATTCGTTTTGCAAGTTTCGAGTAAATATCGGTGAAGGACCAGATGGTATAGAACTGAAGAAAAAATTTGAAGTGGAGGGACGGTTTACTAGTGCATTTTTACCTATCAGCTGGTTTAAGGGACCCTTCTCGACTTCCCTTTCCAACCACGTGTACTTTGGAACTGGATACAGCTTTGCCCATACAGTTGACCGCCTCACAGACGTATGTTCCAAGAGAAGTTGGGTCGTCAGGGTTTGCCGTGAGGGCAAAAACGTCTCCAGCTTTGATCTCTTTTCCATCCTTGAACCAGCGAAGTAGAGGAGTCGGTATTCCTACCACCTTACACTCCAACGAAACGGTTCCTTGTTCGGTTAGAAGAGCGCGCAGTTCTTCCAGGAACTCAGGAGGTTTGTAAGTTTTCGGTACTACAAGAATTTAACATTTAGTTTTTATTTTGGTATTCTAAACCTTTAAGTCCGGGTGGGCTTTTTTTTGTGGGTACAAAACTGTAATTTTTTAAAAACAAAAAGTGGCTAACAGAATTACCGAGTACGTTGAGATGGCAGGTGCTCGTTGCTTGTCCAGACGCGTTTCGAGCCGTACAGGTCCATCTTCCGGCATCGTCAGCTGTGACTGGAGCGACATCGATGCAGTGAAAACCACTCTCGTTGACAAATCTTAGTCGTTCTCCTTCCTCCACTTTTTCTTCGTTGTGGAACCATTCGATCTTAAATAGAAAATCTGTGTTTTCTTAAAGTTCAATGAAGTTTGAAACGAGACCGGTAGTGATCTAAATTAAAACTAAGTGCGTCATCATTAAAAATAATAGTAGCTTAGTTCCACTGACACAAAAAAAAATATTTCACAGAGTAAAATTTGTTCTTGGCTAGAGATCGATGAGATCAGAGTCTAAACAGAGGATGAAACAAATTTTTATTGCTTTCAGTCTAGATAAACATGCAGTAATGCATTTGCTAATGCATGTTATGCTATAAATGTTTAAAAATATTATAATTACCTAATATTACCCACGCTTTTGTAATACCGAATACCCTCAAGTTGTTGAAAAAGTGCCAATATTTTGTTGAAATTATTTTCGAACATGTTTACAGTGGTTTCATTCAATAAGTCTTTATTTTACAAAAGGTGGAAAGACTCACCGTCAGTTCGGAACAGCTTCTTATTTCGACAAGAAACCTAGTTCTTGTGCCAACTTTAACGGAGAGGTCGTTGAGTCGTCGAAGGAAAGCCGGAGGTTCATCATTATCATCCGTATTTTTGCCACTGTTTACCCTCAATTCTAATTCTCTGGAAGTCGTCCCAGAAGGCGACTTGGCCGTGACAGTGTACATACCAGCATCACTTTTTTGGACGTCGTCTAAAGTCAGCTGGACTATATTTGCGGTAATTTTGAGCCTTCGGCGTGGTTCAGGTGCTATAGGAGCCCCATCTTTAGACCTGAAAAAATTTGATCTCTTATGTTTTTTATAAATAAGATATTTTAACTATGTTCCTATTCTTTATACAAACATGTCTGCTGATACGAGTATGTGATATGAGATCATAAGTTATTTATTATTGGACTATTCTTCATATGTCACTTTGAAAACGGCGCCAGAGGTTCGCAGTTCTAATATTAACTCTTAAAACAAAGTCAAGCTCCAAAGGTGGGTAAAAAAAAATGTGAGTCAACGTTGAAGCTTACTAAGGAATAGAAATAACATTGTATAAAGAAAGAAGTCATTTAGAAGTATATTTTTAATTGCGAATGTTTCATAACATTCATAAATCAGCAAAATAATATTACTACTTAAGTATTATATCCTTAAGTATCCTCGTTAGGAAAAAGAATGTATTGAGTCGCTTGAAATATAAAATAACTATGAAATAAAAAAAATAAAACTGACTATCCAATTCACTTCTCTTTTTTCAAATATTAACCAATAAAATAGCAGAAATTTACTTTCGATCTTAGCAATAACAAATTCAAGCAAATATTCCACTCGAAAATTATTTGTTTTTTTTTAAACATTTATTTGCAGTCTGTTTAAACAAAAAAAGAGAAGCTTCTAGTACAAATTCTAAAAATTTTCACATTTGGTATCTCCGTAACCGTTACTTTGCGGACCCATGTTTATTAAGACTTTTTTATTGATTTATATTTTACATTCTTTTTTTAACAACCTGTATAGGTAGGGTTTGTTCGAGTAATGAAATATTTCAATGTAAAAAAATCAACTCACATTGGGATTTTTTCTAAAAATGAACAATTTAAATTATTAAATTATCAATTAATAGTTAAGTTAATTGAATTAAATCAATTTAATTTTTAAATTTAAATTAAAGTTTTTTTTTATACAAAACAACTATAGTAGATAGAATAGGCACTACAAAGTGCGCAAGAACTCGCGCCCCAGAGAAACATGCCACCTGTGGTGCCACGCAACATGGAAAAAATGTTAAAAAACTTCTACCTATAAAGATTTCGAAGTTGTAAGAGTTTAAATTTTGCACTTTGATTTTATTTATTTCTGTTTAAAAAACAATTTTCCAAGTTCTTTTGATACAGGCTATTAGAAGAGGAAACAAGGAATCTGTATCTTAAATTGTAACTCTGTTTAATGTTATTTGTGGCTTTTATTGGCAAATTTTTGTACCTTTACTAAATAATTATAAAAAAAACAAAAAAAAATCATCAGTATCATTACATAAGAAAATGTCAAATGTCAAAAAATAAATGTCAAAATATTTGACAGATAGAATTTTTTAAACATTTTTTCCATGTTCTTGGTATCTTATCTTATTTAAAATGTTTCTCTGGGGCGCGAGTTCTGACACACTCTGTGAATTTACATACCTACATAGGACCAGTTTCATAATCGAATTAAAGGGACTTTAAAGTTAATGTTGGTTTAGAATGTGAAATTGTGGCAGTAATCAGCACATTCTAAACAACATTTAATTTAATGCTCCTTAATATTCGATTATAAAACTGGCCCTTAGTATCATTTTCACCTCGGTTAAATTTATTCATCTGAAAAAATTAATAGGTGTACAATAATCAGTAAATATTTTGGTAAAACTGCCCTTTATTAAATTAATTTTATAAATTTATAGAGTTTTTGTCCTGCCGAGTCATTTGTACAATTTCTACTTTGTTAACTTAAAACTCGAATATTTAACTGAGATAAACATGAGAGTTTATGAATTTGATTTTTATTATTTCTATTTTACTTTTCATGTGAAGGGATAGCCAAGAAAATTTGAAACAGGTCCAGTTTTAGTTTTGTTAGCACAAAATTCTTCTATTTTGTTTCTTTGTTGTACAACTTATTTGTTTATTGTACATATGTACTTACGAGTAAATAGAAATTTATCATTAATCTACCCAAATTAATTAGTAAAAACGTGAATGAATATGATTTGGAATATAAGAATAATATTTTTTATTGATTTGATAGCTACAACGTTTCAACATTAAAGCAGGCGTATAAGACTGAGAAATTGATTACTGTTGTAACTTTTGGCTAATTATTATTGTTAAAAATACTTGTTATAATTAAAGTTTGTCTAATTGTTCAGGTACTTGACCTAAAAAAAGTAACAACATCCATGACATAAGTCTCCAACGAAAAAGAGTTTTAATTAAGTCAAGGTGAAGAGTAGTACTTAAATAAACAGTTCCGGTTGAAACTTCAGAGAGGTGATGGAATAGAGCCAGATGATTAACACCTTAGTCAATAAAAAAATTAAATTTACAAACGTAGGTATATTCAACAGATTTTCATTGGCGAGTTAACACATGTTTTTCCAAATGTGAAAAATGTGTTATTGTGGCACACTCAAAAATATTTAAATTTAGGACTGCTTCGCTGTTGCATGGTGTTTTATGATTCGAAAATATGTTTTATTTTTATATTTCTAAATTCTTGCGTTCTAAAGTAACGGTGAAAGAATATTGATTATATGTTAAGGCTAACATTTAAATTGGCAATGCAACTGAAGAAATGTGTCAAATATTTTAAAATTTGTTATTTAAAATTCTGGAAAAATAATAAAACTCTTACCCATCAGAGGAAGAATCATTACAATTTACTCCATTTTTGTGCTTTTCACTTGAACATTTACAACACTTGGTGACTTTCTGACCCATTATTTAATATCAGTCAGGAACAACACAACCACCATTTCTCTTTATAAATCCCAAGTGTTTTTTCATTATCCACTCTATATTTGATTGATTGATAAACAAATTATAAAATGTGTAATTGTCGATGACTCGGGTTATTAGAGCAATCTATTTTTAAAAATATTTTGTTGTTAATTGTGTTAAGTCAAATAGTTCAAAGGAACCGGTTTAAAAATATTATCGAGGAATATTACAACTCATTGGGAGAAATGAAACAACAAAAAGTAAAAAATGTTTAGTTTATTAATCACAACATGAATTAGTACAGGAAGCGACAACTTCTTCTAACAAAATGATAAACTAACAAGGAAGTGGTTATAAAGGAGCACAATTGAAGCAAAGCACAAGGATTTGTAAACATAAGTAGCACTTGTATCCGTAAAACAACCGTGAAAGAAGGAATAAAATAAAAAGCACACGAATTGCGCGCCGCCAACTCAACGACTGTATCTGAAACACAGAAAAGCGTCGTTGACGTCGCAAAGTATCTGGACCCAATAATATTGTCCTTAGTATATTTTTATCTTTAATGAGAAACGTCGCCATTAAACTTTTACCTTCATTCTGTGTGCCATGAGACAATGTCATAAGTGTAAGGAAAGCCTTAGAGAATTGTTCTAAAATTAAAAATAAATAGGACATTGGAGATATGTTTTCCGTTTACAAGTTGTATTAGGTAGAAGTTGCTTCATTCGTATTTTTAGTATGTACGGCTTGTTCTATTTTCATGTTTTAATGTAATTACATAAAACCTTAAATAAGTCTAATATAACCCTAAGGTTATAATATTTTAAATGTGTCAAAATTTCTATAGATTTATGGAATTTTTAAGCTAATTACGTATAATAGATGTAAGTAAGAACCTTTTAGAAATAAAACAGAAAAAGTTTCCTCCCAACATGGAATAAAGTGACGCTTTATTTCCCTCGTTTTTGACTACACCCTCGGGAATAAATTAAATGAAGTACCAATTTTTACTCTTAAAATAAACAGGAATTGAATGAATTGAATCTTTTGTTTTTTGACATAAACTCCTTAACACCGATTTTTTACTCTTAAAATTGCAATTGAATGAACTGAATATTTTACAAATTATTTCACATTATTTGACATCTTATGTTATTATTAATTTATTCCGTTGAGAGAAAAGTATTGTATGCAACTATGGAATAAACATTATTAATCCTTCGAAAGAAAATGCCCTCGGTCCTCTTTAGTCGCCTCTGGCATTACACCTACATTCTCGGGATTATAATAGTTAGCAACAAGCCAAGATGAAACAATGACCACCAAGGTTTGTATACTAAATATTTTATTTACAATCATCCTCCTTAAAAAACAGAAAGCCAATAAAGAATTTATCAAATTTTGAAAAACATGACATACCTATGACAGTTCAGGTTGAGAAATATGATTACTTCCTTATCATTTTTTCTCAACCTGAACTGTCATATTTTAATCAATAAATTGTTAAATGAAGTTAAAATGCTATTGCTTTTCACATGCAAGGTAATTGGATTATTATACTTTTTGTGTGAATAAAATAAATGAAAGATCTTTGATTGACCTTTGTTTTTAGTACTTCAACATTTAAAATATTGAAAGTTGAAAGAAATTTAAATTTAATAAAAATTGTTTGAAAAATTTTCTTTTAACTTTAATTCTTCAACCATTTTTAGTACAAATTATTATTAGACAGGGTTTTAATCAGCAGTGATCAAATTGAGGAATTTTCAAATTTGTTTTTTACATTTTGCGTCCTATTTTTTTCTGACGTATTCTTTGCAGTTAATTCTTCTTCTTTATTTATTTCAAGACCACATTATTTAAAGAGTTAATTTTACGAAATAATAAAAACATGTTCTTTTTATGTTACTTATTATTAAAATAATTCATTGAGTTAGTTTTCAACTAAGTAGTAAACTTTATAAACATTATTATTATAGGTCGAGAAACAAACATGGTTTTATAAAGTCCTTTTTTTTATTTATGCGTGTGAATTAATTAATAATTCGAAAGATGTACCAGATAGCTATCTCTTTTCAACATTTGTAAACAGCCTTGTTACGTATTTGCATAAGGTCGTCACGCTATTGATCTCACTTTAACAAATGCGATTAAAGTAACGCAGAGTTAGTGACATACGTCAAAAGTGTGTCTTATCGTCACGTAGGTCATTTGTAATTTCATTTTTAATGGGGAAAACTGTTTTGAGGATAATATTTATACCCTCTACATCATCACAACAATCGTAATTCAAGCCCTATAAAAATCCTAATGACAGGGAGAAGCTTTAATTTCTGACTTTAGTACCAAAATGTCAAAGCTGTTAAATGTCAAAAATAGACGGAGGTCATGTCGTGTTCTTGATTCCCACTACCCGCACCAGCAAATAAAAAAATAAGCTGTACATACAAGTACACTTACCATATAATTTCGATATCGTTGCCTATTTCATATAATTCGGCTGAAAGAACCGCAGTTTCATTTTCAGCAACTGAAACGCATTGTGAACCTTCGTCTCGAAATCGTGGGGGGAATTTGTCATGTAAGGGAAGATCTAAAACAAAATTGATTAATTTATTGTTAAATTACTTACTCATTATTATCATAGGTATGTTCTTATGATATGCAACTGCATAAATTTTAATAAACTTATACGACTATAATTATTGAACAAGATTTTATTATAAACACACATTGTGAAAATGCCGTATCGGTAGGTAAAAGTAGAGAATAAACTAAATTTAAAGATGACTATTATGTTACATGTTTTGGAAAGATCTAAATCCAAACACACATCTCTATTTTCTTCATTGCTGCCAGAAGTCGTAGTTAAAAGCATTTCTACAAAGATTGTATTAAATTAATTTTGATTTTAATAAAATTTTCAGTCATAAATTCATTCTTAAATGCAATAGAGATGCATGCGAGTATAATAAATAATTCTCGAATAATTCACTGTATCTCTACTTTATTCATACATTAAATTAAGTAATTGTTGACAAAACAGTGTCATAATATATTTTCGTCTTCTTACTAAAGGCATTTAGCCTAAAAATAATTACGCACACGCCATTTCAATTTCTATTACAAATAGTGTGAATTTTACCTTGATCTCAACCTTAACGTGTCCAGAACAACTTACTTTAAAATTAAATTTGTTCCTATTTGCATGTTAAACACAGATAAATTCAAAATAATTCACATATAACAGCTCAAAAATTATTAATGGATTATGGGATGAACTCAGTATTGCAATACCAATATTTATATTTTACGTAGACCTATTTAACCGAACGGTAGTTATTTCTAGCTGAGCTCTAAAAATATAACTACATCGGTAGTATTACAACGTATTAGAGATCCGTAACTCTTTTTGTTATTACATTATTGATATTATTGCAATAGACATAGGTAATAGGTTTTACACAGACTTCGTTTCGGTTTTTTTAAAACAGATTGGAACATAAATATTAAATAACTCAAACATCTATTTTATTGCTTTATTACAGCTAAAGTTAGGGTTTAAGTTCTACTATTAAATTATTATTGACATTCAGGTTCAGGATGTGAATGTAGATCATCCTTTTGATGAGGGTGTTGAAATTTATTAATTAATATACTATATTTTAGATACTATATTCATATTTTTGCAGACAAAAAAAACAAAGTGGAAATTAAAAAGCTCGCTTAATTATTTCTTTTTAATTTTATTTGCTTGAAAGGTCAAAAATCTAAATTTTTCAAGATATCTTTTTAAAATGTATAAAGATTTACTCGTATTACACAAAAAAACAATTTTAATAGCTTATTATGATTATGTAGTTTGCAGTTGTCATCAAAAATGGAAATTATTAAAAATAATAAGTAATTAATTATTAAAAAACTTAAGTAAAATTATGCAGTTTCAAAGATGTTAAAAAGTAGGCTTTTTTTTTAATTGATAGTCTAGATACCTACTACTGATGTCTTTATTCTCCTTTGGTTCAATACGAGTCCTACCATTAGTTTATTCTTATAATTACTCGTACCTATAATATTTTTTTAAAATTTTATCTTTTTTTAAGTACACACATTTTTTGCTTAATTTTTCTAGGGGTACCTAATAAAGTAATCAGTAATCACTAATCGATTAATTTTTGTTACATACTTCATAATATTTAATATGCGGATTGTAGAAAGCTCTTTTACATTATCAATTAATAGGAACGTAAAATATGTATCCTAGTTTGTCAAAATTATATTGACCCAGATTAATGAGTTACTATTAAAGCATACAATTCATACAGAGTGTCTCAAAAGCAAATCGCCATACGTCAACCAGTGATAGCAAATGTCATTCTAAAAAAAAATTAATATTTTTTTATATCTTTGTTCGTTAAAGAGTTACTACTTTGCTAAGCAGCAAAGAGAGAATTTCAAGACTTGACTATTATTACTCAGAAGCACAAATTAGCAGCAATTAGAAGGCATTTTGAGCAATTTTTTAGTTCTTTAATGTTACTATGTTTTTATTAATTCTTAATTTTTATGAAATTGAAGTTTTTTTTATCTCATAAATGGATCGTTTTCGGATTCTTGTTTATGTACATATATGTCACATTGACAGTATCAATTAAATGAGACTTGGAACTATACATACCAGGTGAATAAAAAGTATGGAACCAAACGTTTTTTGCTTAAACTATTTATTTTTTGAAAAAAACTAATTAATAATTGATAAGGTACTATAAAAATGTCTTGATTTAACAAGAATAATTTTTTTCGAAATTTCCTTTTGTTTTTGAGTTCTACAAAAAAAATAATTTTTTTATATGGCAACCCACTATAAAATCATTTTTCTCATAAAAGCTATACTCTAAGGATTACATCTATCTGCTTTATATTTAATTTTTTCAAAAAAAATTTTTCACATAAATTGCAATTTTCCCAAAAAAAATCGCGTAACTCAAAAACAAAACAAAATTTCGTTTTGAAAATACAATCACATTTTTTTCTTTACGTTAATTTATGTTAATTATTATTTTCTGGAGGCAAATGATCAAAAATAAAACCGCTTGGTTCCATACTTTATATTCACCCTGTAGTTATAAGCATTGTTTCACCAATGTCATAGTTTTTAATTTATCACGACCAACTTTTACTGGTTGGACGTATGGCGGTTTGCCTTTAGGACATCCTGCATAATTATAAACAAAATAAGCACTCTTTAAAAATTAAAAAAACAAAAATACATATCATCAAACATCTTGTTTAAAACAGTCAAAAAACGCACTATACCTAAGTTTCTACTTCAGTTTTTATTCCAGTCTAGCTGTTTCCTCTTCTAATAGCCTGTAGCAAAAAAACTTGAAAAACTGTTTTTCCAACAGAAATAAATAGAGTCAAATGCAAAATTTAAACTCTCATAACTTTGAAATTGTTATAGATTTAACATTTTTTTCATGCTCCTTGTATCTCACTTCACATGGCATTTTTCTCTGGGACGCGAGTTCTGGCACACCTTGTATATTAACACAACCTATGAAACTTTAGCATAACACTAAATAATAGTGAATGAATTAATGGTAAGTACATATCTAAAACTGTGACGTGCATGTTTGCGTTTTTGTTTTTCTACACTTCAGTTATCTCCTAAATTGCAAAAGTTTATATTATTTTGTTTTTCATAGTGACTTAGAATTTTTATTAGACAAAGCAAAAGAGACACAGAGTTAAAAAGATACTAATAAACCACTAAAATTTTGAAAAACTTCCTTGAAATGGTTTCAGTGATTTACGGCCGTTATCTTGTGTTTACCAAAAAGTGATTTACAGCCAAACCAGAAAGTTAGATAATTATGGAACAAACTAAAATAGTATGCAAAAAATATTTGCACTTAACATTTTTAAAATCATAATAAAAATTCTTTATACATAACATAAATAAATAATAAGTTTGGCAAGTCTATTTGTGTGATATGAAATAAAACGCACAATAAATTAAAGCATTAGTACAGATATCTAAGATATAAATGAGCGCCACATCTGCTTCCTAGCTGACATGTTCTGATTAAATCAGGAGGAACAATTTTACTCTTTCTTCATGTCAAAAATAAACCTGACCGCTTCTTTTGCAAATATTATGCATTAAAATAATCTCTATTCAGGGCGCGTAATAAGTCACTAAAGACAGCCCACGATACAAACACAAGCATTATTTTTAAAATACAAAAAGTGGTAAATTTTCTAAGAGCGAAAATTGGCACACACACATTGTGGCATTCTTTCAAAAATCTCATGTGTAGACGCAGCTTCGCTTGAAAAATCATCAATTTTTCCCAGACAAAATACATTATTCGAATTTGTTTGGATTTCGAACCCAAGCCTCATGTTTTTTTTCCGTCGAAATAAAATGAAGGCGGCAAAAGGTGTTTTTTGCTCCAGCACTGACCTGTTGCAACTTTCATTTTGAGCCGGCTTTCGGATGCTGATGGTACTCCGAGGCAACGGTTTCCATGAGATGTCTACCTACACCGCACTCCGCCACAGTCGGCGCGAACTACTGGAGACGCTCGCACCGACGTCGCCAAGCTTGAGCTAAAACAGGACCGACGTCAACGGCTCGAAACGTCGTGACGCGAGATCTACCATGATCATGACACGCACCATCAGCCGGAGCATCTAAGGCTTCAAGATTCAGAGATTGTGCTCCAATCCCAGGATAAGAAAAAATATATAATCAATGAATGAAACTCTACCTGATATGAGGAAAAGGCAGTTTTTTCGTAAAAGTTTATGTAGTGGGTCGGGTTTAAAATAGGGAGCCAATAATTCGTTGTAATTTTTTATTTTCCATTACGACAGTAGTAGTTTCCTTTCTTTTAGGTGAAAAACAAATGAAATACGTATATTTACTGCTTTATTAACTAAAGTGTGTTGTACATCTAGAATTAACATGAAAATAATTATATACAAAAAGATGGAAATCGTAAATCATTATTAAATATATACAAAATTTTACAATTGCTAAAATAAAACATAAAGAATTACAAAGATAGAAATAATTTAAACTTAATGTTAAAATAAAGACTTTCAAATTCTTTGTTTACAAAACTACCAATCTGAAAACTTAGTCAATCTGATCTAAAAGCGTAATGGTTTCTTTTCCTCTCGATTCCTCTTCTTCTTCTTCATCCTCCTAAAAATAAATCAGTGAAACCAATAACAAACTTTTGAATGAACTTACATCAAAGCCGAAGCAATTCTGCATATCACTCTCTGTATTTTCTTTCTTTGTTTCTTCAGTTTTGTACACCCTTCTGGCCGACTGTAACGCTTTTATTACATCTTCACCGTTCAAATCTGCAATAAAATCACGAATTAATGTATTCAGTTCGTTTGATTATGTGTTTGTTACCACTATCAGGCAAGATATTTTCCCCAAGAAGCTCATTACTTCCATCCCCACCAACAACCATTGCTTGTTCCTCCCCATCAGCAAGCTGAATGACTTCAAGGACGACATACTGCTGTCCATCAGAGCCCTCTACTGCCATCATATCGATCTCCCCTTCATCTTCCTCATCCGACTCCATTCCTGGGATCACTTCCACTTGCTGTCCATCGATCATCTGAATCTTTTTCTGTCTTCCCAACTTCAACTCCATCTGCTTCCTTTGTATGGTCGGATCGGGATCATGGGCGGCCATATGACGAATTAAATTGCCTTTATGTCTGAAAGCTCGCGAACATTCGGGACACTCGTGGGTTTTTTCCCGAGGTGGTGGTGGTATGTAGTCGGGATTATGGTACAGATTTTGGTGCCTTTTCAGCAACTGTTTCTGCCGGAAGCTTTGATCACACTGATCACAATGGTACGGTTTTTGGTCGGTATGGATGAGCATATGCGACTCTAAATGGCGGGCTGATATTGAAGCGTATGGACAGAGATCACACTTGTAGCATTTCTCACCCTCGTGAGTCTTATTGTGTACCTAATTAACAAACTCGCTATAAATGGGAGGAAGAATGTTACAATACCAACCTTATAACTGTACCGGTCTGGAAATGATTTACCGCATCTTTTACACTTGAGAGGTTTGTCAGATGTGTGAAGTTTTTGGACGTGAATTCGCAAATCTGTTTTACGACCGCAGGTCGTAGGACAGAATTCGCAGTGAAATACGGGTTTATCACCAACTGGAATTTCGAAAGTGATGTAAAAATTTTATTTAAAATTGTCAAACAAGACGACTTACTGTTGTGGGTTAACTTATGGGCTTTCAAACTATTGGACTGGGTGAATTTCGTTTTGCAAATATCGCACTCGTATGGTTTTTCACCAGTATGGATTCGCAAATGACGCTTTAACTTGAAAGTGTCGGGACTTGCGTATGTACAGTGGGGACACTAAAAATCAGTAAATTATATTCCCTAAAGTCAAATAAAAAAATTAAAATAAATCACTAAAAGTGGCACGCGACGTGTTTCAGACCAAAATAATATAAATAAAAGTCATACTATTGGTACAGTTCCAGACACGGAATTTTGGAAGATTTGGTATTCGATTGACACAAAAATGTAAAACTGGCCTTATGTGCAATAAACCATATTTTCGATTTTAGTAATTTTTATCCCGACAGACAGAAAAAATTACAAATCAAAATAATTTATTGAAACACATAGAAAAAAATACACTGATGGCATTATTGGATCAGAAAATCGACGCCAAAAATAAATGTCAACTAAAAAAACTTAAAATTTTAGTTTCAATAAACGTCAATGATAATGACAATAAACTGTGTATTACATTAACATTTTTTGAGTTGACATATATTTGATGTCTAAAATTCCGTGTCCGTAATTTTACCAGTGTTGATTTTATATACCACTAATTTTTTTTTTTACAACACATTAATGCAATTATTTGAAAATAATAATTCAATAATAAATATTTTTTTAATTACATAACAAAACTGAATCTATTAAGTTATTCATTTTTCGTAAAAAAAAGCAAAAACAACCCGGATCACAGTATAATACAAAAGAAAAAACAAGGAGATCATCTTCAATAATTAATTCAATTACAAGTTGCTAAGAAAATAAATAAAAATTATCTCTACCTGGTAGGGCCGTTCCCCGGTATGGCATCGAATGTGCCTCTTCAATTTGGACAATTCCACACTTGCATATTCACATTCGGGGCATTTGTGTGGTTTCTCATGCGTATGTTTGTACCTCACATGTCTAACAAGCTCCCCTAAGTAAACACAAATTCAATTATGCAAACAAAACACACGTTTATTTACCTGAAGTCGTAAAAGCAGAATCACAAAATTTGCAAGAATGCGGTTTAGTACCCGTATGTGTATTAACGTGATTTTGCAGTGATGCTAATGTTTTAAAACCTCGTTCGCAAACGCTGCATTTATGCGGCCGTTCTTCTGAATGAGATTTCATGTGACGCGATAAGAGGTACCGTTTCGGACTGGTATAATTACAATAGTTGCACATATGGGCTTGAGAAACCACCTGCGATTTTCGGGGTAGTATTTTAACAATTTTTGACTTATCATCGTCCGTTTCTGAATCAATGACACCGCCTTCTTCACCCTCGTCGAAGTCGTACACTGTCATGTCTTGCTCCCCATCGGTTTGTTCGCCGTCTTTCAAGTCAGTGGGATCTTGCACAATTAAAACGTAACTCAATTCGCTGGAATTGGTGTCGGCTGGGACGACCGTCACTCGCTGATAAGCGTTTCCAGAATTAATCAGAATCTGGTTTTCGGATTCCTGAACCGTCGAACTCTTTGAAAATAGATGTTATATTTCTATTCGTAGTAGTAAAAAAAACTAGTGAGCATAACCATAGCTCCACTTCCAAAAACTAGTAAAAATAAACAAAATTCAAAAAAAGAAAAAAAATTCAAAAGATTCATTAATTTTTTACATAAAGGTTTTTTAGGAAAAGTTTGAACTGAGTATTTGAATTACAGTTTCTAGTTACAATTGAAGGGTTGTACACCAATGTCATCTTGAGCACAAACAATTAATAACCTCAGACAACGCGCCTTATTCAAGTACAGCTAGTAAAACCAACTACAGGTTGATAGATCTTTTACACTACAATAAGCAGGCGAAATATCATTTTCGTTTAAATGGATATTTATCCTTTAATTTAATTAACATATTATATTCTTTAATTCATATTCACTTTACCAAATTTAAATTGAACAGTTTTGTTATGGTGGGGCAAAACTCTGAAGTTTTCTTTAATTTCTGATAAACGATGTTTTATTTTTATTCAAACGTGTCATAGTTTTTAACTTGTTTGTTACAAAAAAATATACATATTTTTTTGGGAATAGTTTTCTTTTTGTTGGTTCATTATTTTTTATTTCGTACAAACTGAGATTTTTTTAAACAACTTGAGATAATTTTTAGTATTTCGTTAACACGAAAGTAAAAATTTTACCTTTTTTGGCCTAAAAATCGAAAATTTCTTAAGTAAACGGTTTTTTCCTTATGCAATGTTTCTCCATGTAATTATTTTTTCTCTATCCGGTGCTATAGTTATGCACCAATAACTTACTGAAATATAATAAATCAGTTTTTATAATTAGTCTCATTATTGTTCTACAAGTGCATGTTAATGATCCTTAAAATAATCAATAAGTTAACTTAACACTAATTAGTTAAGTTTTATGTAAATGGAGGTGGAGCTATAATTTGAGTTTTGGAATTTTTTTCGATTAAGTAAAGAACGGTAATGAAAATAATTTAGATATACCTCTTCTCCCTCTTCAACTTCCATCTCTTCTTCATTATTTGGGTTAATGATAAATTCCTCACCTTCATCACCCCCTGATTCAGGGAGGCCTGTCATTACTGTCATAACAGGCTGGCTTTCCCCCTTAGCTTGGTAATAGTAAAGACCCGCTTGATCAACAAAGTAAGTTCCCTCTTCCGTTTCCCCCTCATTATCTTCACCTAAAAAAAAAAAAACAAGTAACACAGATAAGCACTACCAGGAAACTCAACAGACCTGACACTTGTTGTATGGGTGCATCATTCCCAATTTCCTTCTGAAAGCCGGCTAAATACGACTGAATCTCAGTAACATTTTCCGACGAATCTACACCTTCCAATTTAATTGGACTATGTGTAAATTGTGCAGTCATGCTGCACGCGTTTTTCGACGCCTAAAAAATAAAACAAAACTTAATTGTTGGAATGGTTTCCAAAACTTGTTGACAACACCTGGTACAATTTGTTTTTGTTGAGAACGTAATGGAATTTTTGCGGTTTGCTGTAAGAAATTTATTTGTCTTAATTTGAGTAGAGCTGCTTTCCCTCCAAATTCCAAATTATTGAAAGGTGGGATTAAAATTGGAAACGGTTCATCAACGAGGCTGCCGCCATTTTCCTATTAAACTGCAGCTGCGTTAAAAATAGGACGCCAAGAAATTTGTAGGGCCGATCATTCCTCGAAGGGTCCCCAAATTTCCAATTTCTTTAATTAATTCCCTGACAATCCATACTTGACGAAGTTGGATGTAGGGGGCATTTCAACAAAAATTTCGAGAAATTAGCACGGTTGGCGCTGTCATCAACGTGGAGAAGATATAAAGGGGAAAGTGTCGCCGTGTATAAAAATACCGATTTTCCGTGTTTTTGTGTCCAACAAGGGCTCAAACAGGTGCCAAATTTGAGGGAAAACAACGCCGACACTGAACCGAGTGTGAATTTGCGGGTGCTTTTGTAGGGCGAGTTGGTATTTGTGGAAATACAACTTACCTTTTAACTCCAAAAATGTCCTGTGAGGGCGTATCGCAATGGCAGCGTCTGTTCGATGTACTCAGAGATGGCGAGGCCAGCGGAGGAAATAGGGCAACGGTCTAAACGATAAGCGCATGCGTCACACGCGTTCCCTCGACCAATCACCATCCGACCTCCGCTGGCGGGATAATTTAAACATGCCTGATATCAATGCATTTTTTAATTACAGAATTGTTTAAAGTATCATGAATTCTACGTTAATCATTTAACTCAAATACAACTCTCTCTCTTTATTTCACTTACCTTTATTGTTGGTTTGTGACTTAATAGGTACGAATTTGGAAGACTGAAGCCAATATGTTCAACTTGATGCTTCCAAATTAAAACTTAATTGTAAGAGCAAAATAAAACTTAAAAATTGTCTTTATTATCGAGTTTCGATCCATAAATAATAGCTTAATAATTAAAATGGAAATATGACGATAATATGATTAATTATTGCAAAATGGTAATGCGCTACATACGGTGAGTCAATTTTTATCTGTTTGGGAGAATGTGTTTAAGGTTCTATTGTAAAAATAAGTATAAGTTTCCTCTCATCAATTTATTCATCACTTCTGAACAAATCAATTCTGTAATTAAAAATTACTACTATAATTATTTTTCTACCCTTTTTCACCTAGGTTCTTCAAAATTTTAGCTTAGGCAACTGTTTTTATATATTTTTTAATATGTCTCACTGTTGGAGCGTAAAAAAATCATTGAATTGGAGATCAGCTGCCTAACTAGGTTTAGGAATCCACGTTTGAGGATTTTTGTTGTACAATTATAAGTATAAGGCAATATTCGTTTAGTTCATGCTTCAACAAGGTGGCAATGATTGTAATTGGTAACTCGTAGCACCTGAATGTTTTTGCTTGATTATTTAAAAAAGTTGCCTAATTATAAATTTTGATTAGTTAATAAATATTATACTAGCTATTAAATAAATATGTGTGGCAGTACATACGTATCCATAAAAAAATAGTTTCAAATAAAATTTAATATCGATAACTACTAAACTCTTATTAAATGTCAAACGTAAACAGAGTGTACGACCTCCAATATAAAAATCACTACACATAGTTGTTTAACTTACACATAGGCAAAATATATACAATTAGCATCTTTTCAGTTCTTTTAATGCGATTGTACATAGCATGAAAGTATCTTAACTAAAAATATAAAATCTAATTTAAGTTAAAGATTTTAACAATATAACCTTTAAAAATATAAACAAAAATATATTCACTAGACAAAAACAGCATGGTGTAAGGTTGGTGGATGTTGCATCAACCAATTCAACTACACACATTTAAACAATATCACTCAAACTGATTTAATATATTAAAATACCCAAAATAAAGCACTTTACTTTTAACAAAAAATAAATTTTATAGGAATGTATATTGTCATGAACTGCAGGCACCGGTTAAAAACTTAAAACCAGTTTAAAAATACAAATCAGGTACAAAATAATGTACAATGAATTTTGCAACAGTTTACGAACCAAATTTATTTCGAACGGGCCTGCGTCTAACAGTTATTGTTATGGGGCACTGCATGAACCGCTATACCCCTCTCGACTCTCGAGGTGTAAGACATAAGATAACATAACCCCCAAAACGATAACCAAGAGAACGATTACCATCTGGAAATACTGAATACGTTTAACAGCCCCGTGTAACTGACTTTGGCACTCCGTTAAGTTATTTATTTTTGTCATAAGCTGACTGGTGTTTGTGTAATCCCCGTCAGAAGAGCCCCCAGGCACGGGAACGGCGTTCCCATTTTTAGAAATGTCGTTCGATTGGGCACACTTCAGCCGGTGTTGATTTAATTTCCTTCCAGACGTATCCTAGAAAAAAATAAAAGTCACATATTTCCACACAATATTGAAACAATGAAAATTTTAATTAACAATTATCAATTTTGCAAAAACTTAATATAGGGCGAGAAAACAAAACTGCGTGTATTTAAAAAACACATTTTTTGCAGAATAATAAACTGATTTTTTTTTGTAGCACTCCATCTGTTTTACATTTGATTAATAATAATCGTATACCTTCCATAACTGGGTTAAATCCTCGTTCATTTCACGGGGTTCAATGACTGTACTCATCACAAGGAATTTATCTCTGGATAGGCCACCTAGCTGGAAACCGGGCAAGAGAGTCACGTGTACCGTAGCGCGTGCCCCAGGTGTCAAGCACCCAACACTGGGTCTAACGCGGAATTTTTCCGGTGAAGTGGTCTTTAACTAAAATTACAAAATAAATACTATTCACCAATCTTCTGTATCTTACCTTGAAGGACAATATGAGAGAGCTATCAATGTTTTGTAATTCCACAGTACTGACCAGCTCTCCACCCTCCTTGACAAAGGTGATGATATTGGATGGTTGCACACTAAGAGTACTTCCATCTGTAACCATATTAAACGTCAGACTGCACGAAATTTTCCCTCAGCTCAAAATATATTTTCAAATTTAGACTAACAAAGAAATTAAACATACCGTGTTCTCTGTCTCCACTCCCTTCTGGTGACTCTGACATCGAAGACCCATCAGCAAAATGAACCTGTCATTACATTTTATTGATTAACATTTTAGCTAGCCTACTTTGCCAATGCTTGCGCAGATATGTATACAGGGAGCGTTCTAAATTTATTAGTGTTGCGAAATCAGTAAATTTGTTGTAAAGTTGATAATGAAACGGGTTTTACCATTGAAAATGACTCCAATTCAACTTTTCGTACAGATACTATTTCTAGGTTCGTAAACAACAGCAAATCGATGTCTAGAAGATAGCAAAATTATGATGACTCCCAGTTTTGCCGGCAAATGCTATCACGTAACGTTACTGAAGGTCAAAAACCAAAATTAGAATCAATATCTTTTGTTTCTGTTTAGAAGATCTAAGGTTAAAGTTTACTTTGTTTTAATTACACTAAAGACTATTAAACCAATAGAATTATTTGCATTATTATTCAATATTATTATCATATTTATTAAGACAAATGCTATTGGCATGCTAATGCTTGTTTATTATTTCTAACTATATAAATCCTGGTATTACATTAGCTCAGTGCAAGCCGAAATGAAAGCTACTAAAACAACCAAATTATAAAAAAACTTAAACAAAAATTAAATAAAGTAAAAATCAGGTTATGTATTCCCTTTGTTAAGAATATTATATGACTGTCTTAGGAATTCGTAAGAAAAATCAATACTCGGACAATATAGATTTCCAGCTAAAATTGAAATAGCGAAAGTTTTTCCGTTTCGATTTCTTACCTTCCTGCTGCTGGCAGTACTGACGTTATTTGGAACTTCCTCTTGGGGTTCTGGCAGGAAGCTGAAGGTGTAATCGTTTTGTCCACCCCAACACGTTAGTGCCTGGTCCAGTGGGACATACTCTTTTATGTCTTTTTTTCCAACAAATTTGATTTTTTGGACCGCTTTTTCGGGTAGCCAAGATTTAATTATTTTGAAGGCGGCTAGAAAAATCAATACTTGCTTTTTAATTCATTCTTTTTACAAACATACAAATATTTTCTACACTATCATTAAATAACGTTGAAAATAAACAAAGGATTCACGTTCATTTTAAATAAAATAAACATGATCATCTTTGCACGTACATTAAATGACGTAGTGCTTTTAAATCAAAATAAATAAAATTGAGTGAAATATACCAAATTTAAAGAATTTATTGATTAGAAATATGTAATAAAATAAAGTGTTTACAATTTTTAATACGACATAAATAAATAGTTTTCTTTCCTCCATATTTGAAAAAATTAAAAAAAAAAAGTAAAAGTATTTGACAAATATTGTATCCATTAAACATTCTAACAATACTGTTGTTAAGTACAATTTTATTACTGAAATTCAGGTAATATTTAATTATTGCAATCTAGGTACAGTGTTATATTTGCTTGTAAATTTCAACGTAACAACATATTTTAATTCCCATTATTTGTAGATAATTAATTACACCTGTAGTTTCATTTCTTTTTCTCTTATCATATTCTGAGAAGATAATCCTTTGAATGATCATAGCAAAATCACTGATAAAAAATCCATGTTCAATGATCTAAGGTGCGATTATTTTGATTGGAATTTTGAAAAATGTTATTATTGCAAAATGTTCTAAAGCTATTCAAGATAAAGCAGTAACATTGAATTCATAGAATATTATTATAACTTAGTATCTAACAATACTTCCAAGTTTTTCTTTTATCGCAATTAAAAGTGATGCTTTTAGGTAGGTGTTTCAGTAGCGCTACACTCTAAAATTAAACCCACTTGACCTTTATGCTTTCTTATCTTTTTTTATGTGAGACATTTGCCCACTATAGGTGTTTGAAAAATAAAATTTTGTATTTATCTAAAAATTATGCTGAAAAACCTTCAAATGATTGTACGGAACAGTTACATAAACATTGTAACGTTTCCAATTACCAATAATTTGTTATCTAATCTGCGGTTTTTCTAATTATAGAGTAACAAATCACTCACCGTTTAAAATCCATGGCATCTCAAAAATCAGAATGTAATTTAAAAAATAAGGGTAATATTGTTTGAATAGGCCTATTAGATATTTAGTAAATTCTAAATCCATATTAGCTAAGCCACAGCCTTCCATATCAAAGAAGAGAGTGATAGGTTTGCCTTTGTCTTGCCTTAAATTTAAATAAATTAAATAAATAAAAGATCAGATTATGAAACTACCTTTCTAATCTTTCAAACCAATACACGACACATCTTTTCAAATCATCCATGTTGTGAGTCCCTTTCACATATTTCTTACACTTGAATACAAACAAACTACAACCATCTTTATCATGCCCATGTGGAAAAAATCCACCCTGAACTATTATATCCATCTTCACATGGTCATTAATCTCTGCAAATTACCATTATGTAATTACTTAAAATAACAATGACCATACCTACCATTGACGTTAAACTCTTTTCTCCAAGTTAACGTCTCCCACATCATATTTAGAGCTTCTGTTTGATTATTATCATGTTGTAGTAAAAATCGGTTCACCCAGTTATCATCCTTCTTCACCCTTTCCAAGTCCTTGGGATGAACGGCTACAAGCATGTGAATAAACCTTTGAACAATCTTTTATTTTTTTGTATTACCATCATTTCCTTTAGACGCAAGCTGTTGCAGAAAAGCATCTCTAAGTTCTTGAATTTGAACAGAAGACATTTTTTATTTTCAGTTTGACCTGAAAGAAAAATGTTTATTTCTTTGATAAAATCGGCCGTCGCGGACGCACTCACAACAAATAATTTACCACTTCAATAAGTTTACGCTGGGATTTAATAACACGTAAATTAAATAAGGCATTGACAATATAATGCTTTAATCTGAACTCTTACATTACCGATCCTTGAACTTAAACTAAATCACAACTATCAACCAACGAAATAAAAAGTGATGTGTGGTGACTGCTGACAAGTAGTGACACTTGTGTTGATAATCCAACAAATAAACCAATAACAATCAGCAGACATGTGCAGTTCAGCCAATTAAATTGATGTGGTTGACATTTGTAATTCAAATTGTGATTTATCACATTTGTAGAAGCTACAAATCAATTATTATTGTCGTATAAAACGACTTACTAATACTATTGTTTAATTTCATAATCTGACCATAAAGTGATTTTAATTTTCTCCAAAATTTTCAATTCAAATTAATTTACTTATTGATTGCTCCTTGTATAAAACTGCGAAAAGTTACTAGAAAAATCTGTTGGCAAAACTTGAAATTCAACAATTTTCAAGTTTGACATTTATAACAGTTTTGCCGCAAAGCCGAAGTAACCTCAAACTTTTAATGTTTCTGAGCGTTTTATTAGTAAAAGTAGACCATAATCATGTCTGACGGTATGTTTTCTATTATTTATGACCACTACATTACAATGAAACACATTTTTTGCAGCATTAAACAAGTCAGAAGATTTGTGGAGTTCCTACAAGGGGCTGAAAAAAATCATTTGGAAAAGTCTAAGTGACGACCCCGATGATGTTTACGCCGTAGAATTTGAAAATACCTTACGTAAACACAAACAAAACTTTTTTTCACTTCTTCAAAATCAGGTATTTATAAAAACTGGCACACATGTGGTGCTTACACTTTTTCCCTAGCCCAAAAATGTCAAAAGTCGCGAGGAACTCAAGAAAGGCATGGTGGACGGTATTGTCATCAAAGGCCTCGGCCACCAAATCCTCTCTAAGGAGTTATACCAAGAAGCCATTATTTTATCAGATATGTACGACATGAACGAATTTGTCGCATTGGACCTCCTCTGCACCGCCCAAATCCAAATGTCTTTCTACCCCGGCCTTCCTCGCGGACTAGTCGCCGTTTTGCTGTACTACGACGGCCGTAAGTCCTTAGTTCAGAGTTTGCGTTACTTGGTCCAGGCCCGAACTGGTGTCCAGTGGAGCGTCAGCATAAAACCTGACGTTGAAAAATTTGTCACCACTTACACAGATCAGTTAATGGAGGGCGGCTTGTTTAACCGAATTTTTGAATTGTTGCGCACTTTGGACTTGAGCAAAGAAATGGATAAATTGCAAGAAAATCTTGCGTTAGGGGGGCCGAGACACCGGCGACAAGTCATGGATTTGTTCCAAGATATCCGGGTTATTCTCGCTGATATTGTTTTCACATGGGCGGCTCAGTCCGGGCTTCCAAAAGCACCAACTTTGGCTTTAATTAATTACTTGCGACAAGCAGAAATTGAAGAAGAGGCATCAGGGAAGTTGGATAATGTTAACTTGTATTTGATTATGGCCTTGTTATCGGCACTGGATCTTAGTGTGTTGCATTCGAGGGAAGATGGGGAAGAGGCCGTTCAAAGTCTGCCAATATTGTCAGATCCTGATTTTGTGAACACGGTTATTAATGAATTACAACCGGGGAAACCGAAATGGAAGTGTGAGGGGCTTCAAGCTGTTGCTACTTTTGGTCTAGCTGTTTGTCTAGCGTCTCTGAGGCTTATTCCCCAAAATCAGCAATTCCAAGATGTTATTAACAAAGAGGAGACTTTTGTGGACGCTGCTATAGAGAACCACGTGTTTGAATTTATGCACAATATCATTCTTGAAAATGATGTTTTATACAAAGAAGCTTTTGTCTACAAACGAATGCATCACCTGATTACAGATTTTATCGTCTATATGTATCCAAAAGTGAAAGAACTGCGAATCAAAGCTGATGAAATTGCCAGAACTGTTCAGATTTATACGCGGGAGGGTCTAGACGCTCCTGTTAACCTCCCGCGGTACTTTGAGTACCTTCTCTTGACTATCGCCAAAGTTTACTCAAAAGATGTCCTCAACACTGAATACGTTTTAAGTTATTGGAGCCCAGTCGAACTCAATTCTACTCAATACAGTTCTCATCGTTCCTCATCTCGTGCTGTCTCCTTGTTCAAATTTGTCCGTCTTGCGGGTGACATGTTACCCTCCACACTTTTCGTTCCTTATTTAACCATGCTAAGTAGTCTATCGTCTTGTCCTCAAGCAGCTCGCCACTGCTTCAACATGTTGAAGCAAGTAGGACCCCAACTCACTGCCACACTCTCCTGGGATCACTTTTTCACTTCTTTCGCTCAATATTACAATAATTTGCGTCAAGAATTACCCCCTGTGACTGACACAGTTTACCGAAATACGTATCTTAAAGGCGTCTCTCCTCAAGAGCTGGAAGGCCTTCATGCTGTTCTGTTGTTAATCCGGACAATCGCCGACCACGATGACTTTTCCAGGTTGGCACTATGCGAACATCCGGGTTGGGCCCCTTTGACGATTCTGTTGGGTTTGGTGGGGTGTTCAGTGCCAATTCCACTAAAATCCGATCTTTTGCTCACTCTGGCTTCGTTGAGTAAATCGACAGAAAATGCTGCACAAATGTGGGATAATTTGGAAACGTCTCAGATTTTAGTGACGGTCCCTACGACCTCAAGTTACACCCCTCGAGGCATCCAAACGGAATTGGACGAGATTGAGGCCCGACTAGAGGAGTATCCGTTGACCAGAGCCATGTTGAAGCTCTTAGATGTTTTGACCGATTTTGGAATCCCGAGGACTTTAGGGGCCGGTCCCAGACCCCCAGGTTTTGACCCGTACCTGTCTTTTATCGTAAATTCAGTATTTCTCAAATTTCATACGAGGTCGTACCGGAATTCGTCTGAGAAATGGGAAATCGCCAAGCTTTGTCTCAAACTGTTTGAGAAATTTTTGACACAGTACGACCCACAGATTGCCGATTTTCCCAAAAAGAATCTCCCGACGGAATTTAATCCGCCCCCGGGGTACCACTTGATGATTCAGTTAAATAACAAATCCGAATTGCTGAGTGTCATTTTGGATATCATCGATGAAGGAAATCGATTGTTTGATACTTATGTTACTTTTCCCAATCAACAGTTGTTGGAAGAATGTACTTTGCTTTGCTTGAACATAATTCATTCGGTTTTGGCCTTGCATGGGAAATTTGTAAATGTTTTAACGGCTTCGTCGGCCCCTATCCTCTTGACGAATTTAACTAAACTTCTATTGACTATCAATAGGAGGACTGGAAAGCCGGACCATTGTGTCAATATAGCGAAATATGTGAGTTATCAGCCCTATTTGCTGAAACATAGCTACGTTGTTGTCAAAATATTAAACCACGTGACCAACACACCACTTTTACATAATCAATTTATTAATATCTTTCTGTCTTCGGATGCGAAAGATGAGATAAAACACGGGTTTGTGCTCAGTTTGGACAGTGATGTTGCCGAGGAAGACACACAATTGACTATTAAAACAAAATTGGAAATTCTGAAGCTGATAAAGCATTGCCTCCCGTATACCGCCCCCAATTTGAGTCACTTTCTTTTAGGATTCGATATTAAAAAAGATATTTCAAAGACTGAATTCCAGTATTCGGGAGTTTTAGATTTTCCGAGATCTTGTCTCCATTCTATAATTTCGTTAATGGAAACAGAAGTTGTGAAAGAAGGCTCTATTACATCATCATTGTTAGAATCAGCATACGAAGTCATATTCTTGTTATCTAGTAATAGCAAAACCTACGGTCCTGTTTTAAGATTCTTACGACTTAATAAGAAGTTTTTCACTTATCATTTGAATCTGTGCCACAGTAGAATAAACGAGGGTTTGCACGTTTTAAACCAGATTTCGTGGTTGATGAAAACCCTCGCAGTTGAATTAAAAGTCTGTGGTCAAAGCAAACAAGTCAGTTATATGAAACAGTTGTCTCACTTTTTGGTCAGTTTGCCACAGATTGAAAACAACACAAATCAGGATCCCTTCAGTGCAACCTACAAAGAAGAAGTCAGAGAGGGTAATTATATGTTTTTGGAACGCATAAGTAACAATTTTTTGGTCAATTTAATCCCGTATTTTGAATTCAAACCTGACACTGTCCTAGCCCCCGAGTGGCAATTTTTCGATGCCAAAGTCCTCAACGTGTTATTAGATCATTGCGTACAAGACGGGAGACAAAAATTAATCGACTTAAAGAAGCTTCATCAGAGACTATACGACGAGGTGAAACTCCTGCAAGGCACAGCTGTGATGGGCCAAATCCAGGCAGTGACTCAAGAAATCCCCAAAGTGCTAAAATACGCCCTCGAGTTAAACAAAAACAAGGAAAAGTACGCGTCAATTGTCCAATTTGTGGACGCTTGGAGGCAAGTTGTGGAAGTCCTCATGGTGTTTATCCCTCACGAGATTTTATCAGTGAAAGAGTCCCAATTGGTTGGGGTTTGTTTCGTTTTGAATCTCTTGAAGCGCGTCACCAAAATCGAGCTATTGCCCGAAGTTGGCCAACTGTTGTCAGGTGCTGTTTTACTAATCATCGAAAATCTTCGAAAATGTCACGTCTACGAGCGCAAGCAACAAAACTTCTCGTCTGAGACGGATATCCCGGCAAGCATGTTGCAAATGCTCCTAGGTTCGCTCAAGGAGGTATTGGAAAATCTGATCGAGTGGATCATGGTCTCCAACGTCACGGATGAAAAACTCAAAATCAACCTATACGCCGCTTTAGTCACATTGTTGGAATTGGCGAGTTTGGAGAAACCACCAGAGAGTGTTCCCCTTTCGAATAGTATGTATGTGAGTCGGCTGGACAACTCAAGGGTCAGTATCGAAAACCACTTGCAAAATTTTAAAATGTCGACCGATAGTTTGGCGAAATTTGGGGAGAGGTTAGTGGAAGTGATGTGTCAGGATTGCATTGGGGGGTACGACGTGTCGCGGATGTTGGCATTGTCAAGTTTCAGTGTTTTGATCACACTGTCAGGGAATATCAACTGGATTGCGTATATGTCGGGGCGAGGGTATTTAAAAGTGATCATCCAGTCGATTTTGGATAGTAATAACGACCTGGAACGGCTCCTCGAACCTGGACAAACTTCCATCAAACCGTTGTATGTCTACATGTCGAAAATCTTGTTTTTGGGACGCTTGGCGGGAACAAGAGTCGGGGCTGAATTGCTCCTCGAACAGAAGATTTTCTCCTGTTTTGGCAACATGAATGTGTTTAGTTACCACCCGGAGATAGCGAAAACGTGGCGTCCCACTGACATTCTTGAAAGTTTCATACCACCACCTGAGGAACTGTATCTTCAGATGTGGTTGCCAACTTTGGAAGTTTGCAATGCGATTTTAACGACTCTCGGAACTGATAACCAGTCGGCTGTGGTGCAGATAATGTATTTCATTTTGAATCATCTCGATGTGGTTGAAACGATTTTACGCTCGGGGAGTCCCACCCTGTCTCGTCAATTTTTGAAAGAGTTATCTTTGCTGACTTCGGTGATTGCCCGAACTGCCAACAACAATCTAGTGAATATTCTCGAAAATCCCGATATTGTGCACGACCAAAGGGCCCATCTGTTCAGGATACAGAAACTAACACTTGCTCTTTTGCCTAAATTTATCCTCACCGACGAAGTGGTGAAAGAACTGGTCAATCGGCAAGTCGAGCGTTCGCACACTTTCCAAACATCGGAGCGGCTCCTCTTTGCCATGCAGGTGATGGCCAACTTGTTGTCCTACTCGCGGAACGTTGTGGCAAATCATGACGTGGAGCATGGGGGAATCGGGGTTATTTTTCAGCCGACTTTGAAAGACCCCGGTTTGAATTCGGTTGATTTGAAGAACGGGTTGAATTTTAATGATCAGACGCCGTCTTTGGGGGTGGTTGTACAACAGTTGATTAATATTGTGAACCACCATCATCAAGAGAAATTCACTTATGAGTTACTGGAGAGGAAGATTAAGGAAATTCCGGTGATGGATAGCACCGATGTTGATGAGTTTATCGACGGGTCGTTGAATCTTCAAGATGTTAATACGAAAAGGGAGCATGTATATGATTTAATTTCAAACAGACTGGAGAAAAAAAGGAAAGAGATGCAGTACTGCTATTATATTATTGAAAATGCGATTTATTTGATTTGGGTACATTTGGATTATTACATGTTGAAGGCGATTCCTAAAGTCAAGAATTTCAGTTCAATGTCGGTAAAGTCACCAGGTAAAATACGTTCTTTTGTCAGAATTGAGTGTAATTTTTATGATTTAGGGACTCTTGCGTCTGCCACGGAAGCCACTTGGAAAGTATCCACAGACGATATCAGCAATCTCAAGCACGGTTTAGTATCAATTTTTAATGATAGCTTCACTAAACAGTTATTGGAAACCCTACAGGTAAGTTTAAAACAAAAATTGTTTTTCTCTAAAAAATAAATGTTGTAGGACCAATCCGACTTAGATAAAGGGTTCGTTGAAACAATGTTGAGAAAAATCATCCGTTTGATACAATTTGTGCCAGTTAAGTAGTTTGTATTTTTGCTCTAGTTTGTTGTAAAAATCAATTTTCTGTAATAAACTATTTTTACAAGCTTTTATGAGGAAAGTGTTTGAAAAACATCTCTACATCAAACATCTGTAAATCAAGTAGAGTAGTTTTATTACAGTATAGACAAAAATATTTAAATACATTAAAAAATACATCAAAACAAATTCAATTTAACACGTGACTGTAATTCTCCATAACAATCATTTCGTTGGAATGAAATGATTGTTACCAAAACTACAAACTTCTTTAACAGTATTCTGAACGAGGATCAGTCATTTCTTTGTGCCTGAAGTTGAAGGCTGGTTCTCGCCGTCCTTGGGAATATTTGGTTTTACCTCCACTGGAGATTCTTCGTCAACCAAAGCTTGCAACCCTCGCATATCCGGTTGCACTAAAGCCAAACTACCGTCCGACGATGTCAACGAGCACGACAAAGGCGACGAACGTTGACTGAGTGCCACAGTCCCACTTACTTTATCGCTCGGCACTTGAACCTCCTGACAACTGCTAGTATCAGGCGACCGAATTGGTTTTCGCGTCGACATTTCCAACTGTTTGTACATTTCAAGAATTTTCTCTTCAAAGGACCGACTTATTGTCAACTGAGTTTGGTACTTGCTTTCCAAAACTTTCAATTTTTCCTCCGTCTCTTCGTTAATACTATTTAAAGTGCGTTTTTGCAGGGAGATAGTTTCCTCGTTTTGACGGATAGTTTGTTCCAAGTCGGAGATTTTGCTCGTGCAAGCCTCGAGTTTGGTCATTTTCTCGCGGTAGCGTTGGTGCAAAGCTAAAAGAGATACGATAGGTTAATTCTCTACAAAACATCATACCTTTTATTTCGCCATTGTATGATTCCTTCAATAATTCCAGTTCATGATCAGATCTTCGAAGCGAAGTCAGGTCATCCAGTCTTTCTTTGTACTTCAACTGAAGTTCCCCTATTAAAACAAGTTGTTTATTTACATTTTCAAGTTCGGCGCGACCTTTCTCGCCCGCTAAAGCTTGTTCTTTGGCAAACTAGAAACTTATATTAAATGAAACGAAACGAAATGGAGCAAAACGCAAACCTTGACTTCTGCAAGAGCATCAATGAGCATTGCCTCAGCTTTTTGTTTGTCAGTAGTCAACGACATGCATTTGGTTTTTAAACATTCTATTGCTTCCAGCCGTTCCGCCTCTACTTCTTGCAGTGCTTTATTTTGTACTTCTAGGGTTTTGCACTAAAGATTTAAATGAGATTTTAGAATACAACAAAAAAACTATTTGTACCTTATCCTCTAAACTTGTAATAGTATTTGTAAACATTTTATTTTCCAAGTCGCGTTCTCTCTGCATCTGTTCCAGCTGATACCTTAAAGTATCAATATCAGCCTGTTGTAATTGCACCTGATCTCTCTAAATAAAAGCAGATTTAAATGAAATCAAACAACAAATATTTTGCTTTACCAAAGCTGAGTTATGTTCTTCCAATACTTGAGTATTCTTAGCATCGGCCAAAAACCTCCGATTTTTAAAAGCATGAATTTCTCTCCTATGCCTTTCAAATAGTAATTGTTGATGAACAAGCTTCAATTGATTTTTAAGCCCTTTAATATTATCCTTTTCATTATCTTGAATAGCCGTCTCTACGTACCTACAAATCGCTCTTGGACCCACCCAACGCTCCTCTTATCAATACTCACTTATCTAATACTTCATAGATGGAAGGCTGAATATACCTCTCTTGCAACCCACCAATCGTCGACACCGTTCCCGGACTAGACTTCACCTCAGTCCCTAACGTCGGAAAAATTCCCAAGAACAAATGTTCATATGGCATGGGCCAAAAATTATCAGTCTGAGTTTCAATAGTGGAAAGTTTATTGCCGCTGCCATCAGACATAGCATCTACGCCGTTTGACATGGCACTTTCGGCTCTTTCCATGTTTGGTTCTTCATCGGTTTCATCCAGAGTCCGACTCACGTTATCTTTAATCGACGAAACTGGACTTTTCTTCATTTCAGGACAGGAATTCGCACGGCGGACTTTCGTACTATCCATTTCGGGACTACTTCCACTCAGAACTTCTGACTCGGCCGTGCATTGGCTGTGGTGCCGCAAACGCTGGACTCGCTTTGCAAAATCCTTCATGGACTTGGAGTTGGGCATGTGGAGTCCTCCAGCAGCACATGGGGAGCTGCGGTCGTCCTCCAAGTTCTCACTCGCAGCTAAAAACGCAAAATTATTATTAGCCCAGTCAAATTAGACAAAAATAGGGCGATCGGTGGAAAAAAATCCTAGAGAGTTGGAATTTTTTTTAAACGCTTTTTTTACACTTGGGTAGACATATATCAAAAGTCCCCGAGGGTGGGGGCCGAGCTCGAGGAGGAGGAGGGGGCTAAAGGTGTCTTTTTTTAGTTTTTTTGCTTATATCTCGGAAACTATCACTCCTATCGGTTTTTGTCTGCTTATCAAAATTAAAGCCTACAAAACTTTGCATTTTTGTTGTAGGACTAACCGTAAGCGAGTTATAGGGCTGAGAAAAAATATTATTTAAAAAAATGTGCTTTATCCGCATTTAAAACAGAATTAATCTTGGGATTTGAAAACAATGACAGTAAATTGAATTTATTGGGCGCAACACTTCATTAGAGAGTCTATAAAGTCTTCCTAGGCGTCCTCATATGCTGCATCTTCGTCTTCAACTTAAACATTGAAAACCGAATTACAGTCTCGTTCAATACAATATTAATAGATAGATGATTTAATATCGATGATTTTAATAAAACTTACAGTAAATTGCTTGTATTGGGTCCAACAGTTTATTAGAGGGTGTCAGCTAGCATTTGCCTGCGACTTCGTCCGCATGTGATTCTAATATAAAATGGAAAAAGGCTTAGGTACTCTGTAAAGCTGGGTAACTACCTATGTTTTGTATGGGATTCAGCTATAGTAGTCTCGTTCTTCGCATGGGCTATAATGTTAAATGTTGATTTTTATAAAATGTCGTCTTAGTGCACTTCTGCACTCTCAAAATTCTAAATTTCATGTTTCTAATTTTGTTTTTAAGCGTTTACACTCTACTTTATTTCGTTAAAATTTAAAAAGTGCACTTCTACACTCTCTAAGGATCATATTTTCCAAATTTTATGTTTCAATATTTCTTTAAATGTGTACACCGTTTCATTCCTTTAAAAACTAATTTTCGAAAAATCTGATTTTAGTGCCTCTTTACACCTCTAAAGAAGTTGATGTTTATGTCTTTGTTTCAACATTTACACCCCATTTAACCTCCTTAGAAATTGATACTCTCTTTCTTTCAAAATTTTTATTTATATCTCCGTTTAAATGTTTACACCCGAGTCACCTTTCAGGCAGACCAGCTTAGTTGGGGAACGCTCTACACATATAAATACTTACCATAAACTAATGAAATGTGTTTCAAAGGATTTTTAATGCAATTTTATGTAGACTCCAAACTTTTGAAGCCTACGGTTAGTTCTACGACAAAAATGAATAAGATCAATTTTGTAGGAAATTTTGATGCAGAAATAGACTTCTACAGAAAATTCTGCATAAATTACATAAACGATGAGTTTGTATTCATAGACCCTCGTGACTCCCCCCTCCTTTAATGAAGTATTGGACCCAGTATATTCAATTTACTCAGTTTTTTTCAAATTACAAGTCTAGGATTTTTTTCCACCGATTTGTTTAATTTGACTGGGCTATATAGTAAAAACAATTTAAGTTCTAAATACGTACAATCTTCGCTTTCGTGCAACACACTGTCGCTTTGTTTAAGTGTAGGTTGATGACTAGTTTCGGTTTTTTTCTCAGTCGGGAACTCTTCGGGGTCTGAAGAGCCGCTACTTTTTGTTGGACTCTTGTCTTTGATTTTCTGAGGACTTGTTGGAGACAAAGACTTGAGTTTAATACTACCAACCTACACAAAAGCTAATAATTTGAGTTATAACAATTTGGGATGAACTCACAGGAGACTTTTCAAATGTCAAGGTTGATAATTGCAAATCGCCTTTCGTGTCTAAACTTGAATGTCTGACATCAATCGAAAAATTAAACGGTGATTTTTCTTTTCGTAGGGGCGATTGGGGTGATGGAGAAGCCAAAGGTTTGACTTGATTCCTGATTTGTGTGTCCTAAAATTGCACGACTGAATAATATTTTGGTTGCTAGAATTAGAATACCAACTTCTTGTAGTATGGGGGTAGTTTCTGGGGTGGCTTCTATTGCAGCCTCTGGAGGCGACGACCCTGCTTGTGGGACAACATTTTCATCATGTGTAAATTCCTGTCATACAAACGACCCTTATTCAAAGAATTTTAACCGATTATAAATTAAATTAAAAATTAAATCAAAAGAAAAAGTAAAAACTATTCAAAATTGACAAAAAAATTAAATGTGTTTGTTATAAAAACTTTACCGGTTGTGGCACATAAGTGGGAATAACTCCTCCGATAGGGGGCGTGTTGGGATTAAAAACCATGCTGGGTGTGAAATATTCGCCTTTATCATTCGACATCGATGCTGCCAAGTTTTTTAACGATTGAAAATAAACCGCATCTGAAAAATATAATTAAATTAAATCACGACACTAAAATGTGAGAAAAAAATACCGATAGATGAGTTGGCAGTGCCAGACCGAGACCGAAACCCTGACGCAAGTTGACAAGAATCATGAGCACAAAAAGTATCAGAGACATCAAGCGAAAATCGTTCGCATTCTACTATAACATCGTGGACGGCCATTTTTCTCCACCTTGAAGAAAATTATTCAATCTAATACAATACAATGATACGAAAAACACCTCTCGCTTGTTGTTTCATTATCTTTGGATGTAGTTACAAGAGAAGGATTCATTTTAACAGTTTCTAGCATCGGCTGGAAAGTTTCAATCAGGGAAATGTGTTTTCCTATGTTTAATTTTACCTTAATTGTGTGAATAAATACTGCTCTGTTTTTGTCTTTGTACTGTGTTCTTAGATATGCGAGAAAATTGCAAGGAAACATGCCGTAAAGTCTCAGAAACAAAGCATATAAAGCGACTTGCATGTGAATCATCTGTTCTTCAACTAATCTTCCAGGGTTGCAGTTCCACGAAGCCAAACGACTATAATGAAAGTGTCACATTTCTCTCAATAAAAATTTTTGCTTACTCTAATATCATTTTGCTAAGACCTACTAAAAATTTTATTACTTTTAAGTTAAATGCGGTATTGTTAAGAGTAAACGAGAGGGTAAACAAATCATAAATTAGTGGAACCCACCCGGACCCAGAAACCAAGGAAACAGGTCAGTTTTTAACAGGGCCGGATTATTTACTTTCTTTTTGTCTAAAATACTTGAAATATTTTAATAGTTTTTGTCAAGTATTTTAAGAAATTTAAAAAAGCCAGGTGGTTATTAACAAGTTATTATTAAATAAAGCAGATTTTTTTTTAATAATAGCTTGGTAAAACTCTACCACTACTTTGGTTTTAAATATGGCCCTGTTTTATTCTGGTGGGTGCAGCAACACTTGCAAAAGAACGTGCCATTTATGGAGGGTTACAAATTCAAGCCATTGTTTGGTTAATCTCTTATAATGTGCCATAAAATTTTTAGTAGGTCTTAGGAAAATGATTTTTCTATACCTGAAAATTTCAAAAACGTGATTTAGGAGCTCGCCCATTGAATAAGGAATCATGGGGATTAAGACAATTAAAACGAGTAATGCACTTATCAGTGGCAAAATTTCCACTTCTTCCTGCAATTACCTCTAATTAGTTTGGCAGTACCAAAACTAGAAAACTCACCTTTAACAATCTCAGCAAGTCTTTTAAAAGATGATGTTCTGATAGTCTGTATAGCCATGTGGGCTGATTGCGAACAATGTGGCCTAAGAGAGTAAGAGCTTGGACTTTGACATCAGTTTTTGAACTTTTTGCAATAGAATCACTAAGCCTATCAAATAAATATTGGTGGTGTGGTTCCTTAATATTGACCAACACGAGAATAGTGTTGGCCGAATTTGTACTTAAATAATAGTCATACAAGCCATTGACAAGCCAGGAGTCTTTTACTGCAACGATTTGATTAGACTAAAATAAAAACAATTGTTAACAAAATTACCACTAAGAAACTGGTCGAGAATTTTCTGTTTAACAGCTTCTACTTCTTCCTTATTATTAGATTCTAATTGTTGAAAAATATCTGACATTTTGTTAGTTTGATCAAAGTGTTAGGTTAACTAAGTGTTGGAAGTAGATGTTAGGCAGTAACAATGTAAAAGTTGAACTTTTTACTGTTGCTAAAGTGCATCTTCAAAAAATATTCAGTACCTGAAAAAGAATTTCACTTGTGAAAAACATTACTGTTGAAACATTTAATGGTAAAATGATAGATTACTTGCGATTTACAGCTAAACTTACCTATGTTTAGCTGTGGAGTGATGGTTAGTTGTGTGGAGCAAATAGATTTCGTCATGTAATTTTGTTTAATTTGGAAAATAGCTAAATACACTAATAAATTTAATTACAAATTTACAGAAATTCACACTGTTCGGACCTATTCTAGTGTCATCAAATGGATTCATTTTTATCACAGAGCATGCGCAGAATAATGTGTTTACAATCTGTGTGGAAAAATAAGTAATTTGTAATTTTTTTCTAAAAAAAAATTTAATCTCCACAACGTGAAGAAATTTGGACACGTTTTTAAGTTGTGACAAGTGAAGTGACAGGACTAACATGACACATGGAGGTGAGGTTAAGTCAATAAAAAATCATTGAGTTAAAAAATAATGGATTCTGCTCGTAAACTACCACCGACCTTTATCCTGAAAGAGATTCTAAACAAATATTCTAGGCGATGTAAGGCGATTTCTGGGAACGAAAGAAATGCTCCTTTTGTTCGAAAAAATGTATGATTTTTTTGGACACTGTCAACATACAGTCTCTAGTTTATAAAAAATATCCTAAATCTTACTTATTACAAAAACGAAAAAAATTGTTACTTTTTAAATTGAAGTTTTTTTCATTTCTTGAGGGAAACTGGGTATTGAAATTGGTTTGGAAACAAGTTTTTGTTTCAATCTCCAGATGCATAAAAAATTGCAGAATATACGAGTACCTACAGATTGGTTAAAACTTATTCATTATCATCACATTTTCAAAAATTAAAAATGGTTCATCGAAATTTATTCCAGGTGATTTGTTTACAGTTTCATTATAGTATAAAATTTTCAAAAATCACGACCGCAGTGACAAGGATCTTGATGATCGGACACCGAATCAGTATCGCCATGTCCTGGAACATTCGTAGTATACGATTCTTTCAGGAAGTTGACATGTCCTTGAAGATTTCTAATCCGCATTTGGGCATCTTCAAAGTTTTCGTGAAGATTATTAATCTGCGCTTGCATTTTCTGTCGAATTTCATCCCTGTCCTTCTGTGCAGCTCTCGCTTGCGCCCTACTTTGGGCCAACTGTCTCTCCAAATCGGATATTTGGTTCTGCATCGACCTCCTAACCGTTTCGCATCTTTCCTTATTTCTGGCAACTTGCCGGGCGGACTCCTCACGAACGGTTTCCAACTGGGCAGCCAGTTGAGCAATTTCGTGCATTTTTGTTTCCTTTTCTCGCTCGGTTTCGTCCAACATTTCCTCGGTTCTTTTCATGTCCTCCTTCAGATTGAAATTCTCTTCCTCCAGTTCGTTTATTTTTGCTTCCATTTCTTCAATTCTTTGCGCCAGTGACTGTTTTTCATTTTCGCCTAATTTGTTGTCACTACGAGCTTTGTCCATTTCGCCGGTTATTTCGGCAATTTTATCCTTGTATAATTGCAAGTCTCGTTGAAGAGCTTCGTTATTACGTTCGGCGAGAAGGTGCATCTGTTGAGCTTCTTGCAATTTCAATTGAGTGGTTTTTAGTAAATCAGGGAGCGGCAAAAGCTCTTGCAATTTCTCTTGAAACTGACTTTTAACTCGTTGAATCTCTAAATTCACTTGCTCGTTGACTCGATTGGCGTCCATTTCCAACATATCTATGTGTCTTTTTTGCTCTTCGACTTCTTGTTGGGCTTCCAGGTACTAAAAATTATGTTAAAACAATAAATCTTTAAATTAAATTCTTACTTTATTTCGATAGTCATCAAGTTGTCCTTGCTGATCCTGAATAAACGATCTCAATTCCTCCAATTCATCCTGAGCTTCTCTGAATCTTTGTTTTGCAACTGCGAGTTGCTGTTCTTGTTCAATTAACTGTTCCTTTGATCCCAAAAACTAAAAAAACCGTTATTTTTGTTTCACAATACTTTACAAAACTCACCTTGTTATTATCAGTCTTGAAACTTTTTAATGTCCTTTCTAACTCTTTCACTCTATCTTCAAGAGTTTTTCTCGCTTCTTCAGCTTCTTTAGCTGTAGCTTTTAATTTTTCGTTATCAGCTCTAAGTCCTCCAACTTCAGTCACTTTGCTCTTGAAATCATCCTGTAGTCTGCAATATTGTTCCCTCAATTCTCTTAACTGCAAATCTGAACAAGGAACAATGCAAGGGCTGCAAGGGGGACACGGAGGAGGAACACAAGGTGGATGGCATATAGGGGGAGGACAAATAATAATTTTCTTGTGTTGTTCTAAATGTTCCCTTTCGGCTTGTACGGCAGTAAGTTCATTTTGCATCGTTTTTACGTCACTTTCCATATCGCAGAGTTGTTTTTCCTGTAAAAATTGTGGTTTTTCTAGAATTAAATTAGTGCAATTTTACCAGAATTTTGGTTGTTTCAGAATATTCATTGAGTCGATGCTCGATGTCAGCAGGACATGGTCCTTTTCCTTTTCCACAAGGCATTCTTCTCGGTTTTTGAATTTCTTGTTTTTGACCACAAATCTACAAACACAGGACACTCGAAATTTTAAAAAATAAATAGATCTGTATCAACCTGTTGCACTTTTTCGTTTAGTTCTGAATTTTCTTTGCAGAGTACTCGCATTTCACACTGAATGGTGCAGAGTTTTCTTTGGAGGTATTCAATCGTTTGGTCTTTATTGAGTAAATCGGACTGTAATTTATACCTGGAATTTCACATGATTATTTTTTATGATGTTTTTTAGTTTTTTTGACACTGAAATTTTGAGTGATTTTTTTTGTGATTGTCAAGTCGTTACTAGGGATGCATAAAATTTACCTCATGCCTTCTAAATCGGCATTTTCAGCGGCTAATTTTTCTTGCATTGTGTAACTATCACTTAACCTTTTGGCAAATTTTGGCACAACAGACTAAAATCCATTATTAAAAAAAAACAATAAAATTAATTATCAAACCTAACCATTGGAATGTTTACATTTTTGTCACAGGACGGAGAACAGGATTTCTTTTTATCATCACACAACAATAATTTTGGAATATTATGTTCGGTCATTCCACAGACGATTACTTTCGGCAACACATCTTCATTGTGGGGCGTCTGAAGAGGAGTTTGTGGGGGTATCATTTTGTCGAATAAATTAGTTTGGGCGATGAGGAATTGAATTCGTTTGGTTTTCTCTTCGAATAGAAGCATTTGAGCTTTCAATTCCTTATTTTTATCTTCCAATTCCTTAGCTTCAGCTTCAGTATTTTTTTCTTTTTTCAGCAATTCGGTTACTCGAGTTTTCAGTTCGTAGATTATTTTTGCCGTAGCTTTGGCCTGTTTTTCTGCTTCTTCTAATTCTCTGAGAACAGCAGCGTCTATTGCTGGATCAAACTTGAAGATCGAGCCATCACCAGCGGCTTTCATTGGGGCCCCTTCCCCTTCTTCCTCTTGTTCCCCTTCTTCTTCCTTTTTTTCAAGAAAAAGTATAATTTTCATTAAAACCATATTTGTATCTACTTACTTCGGTAAATGTTTCTATAAGTTGCTGATTTTCTTCGGTTACTTCAGCTAGTTCTGCCGACGCTTGTTTTATCATCTTTTCAACTTGCTTCATTTCATCCTGTGTGAAATGTGTAAGATAATTTTCTACTTGGAAAAGAGAAACTTACTTCCCCTTCCTCTTCTTCGCCTTCAGTTTCCGTTTCATCTCCCATGATTGGCTGTGGTTCAGCTTGGGCCTCATATTCTTCAGCAAAATCTTCAGCATCTTCAGCCATATTGATTGGAGTTATTTCACCAGATTTCTTTCCTTCCTCTTTTAGTAAGTCTTCACTCTCTTCTATTAAACTGCTGTCTGATTTATTATTTGTTAAAGTATGAGTTGAATCTTTTGAACTTTTTTGACTATCTGGCGAATAAAAAATATCTGCATCAAATTCGTCAGTTTCTTTTTTTATCTCAGGTAATTTTAATTTTAAAATAGGACTTTTCAGTTCTGTAGAAGGTGTTCTGGGCTTTACAGACGAAGAAGATTTTTTCTGCAGAAGCGAATGACAAAATTTGAGTAAAAATGACAATGACTTTACCTTTTTTAAATTTTCACCAGATCTGGCACTTTTGACACCACGGTTACTTTTTTTACTAAAAAATGAGATATCAAAATAATTATAATTTCTTAAGCTTTGTCTAAAATAAGTATCGGCGTCTCCGTAGTTTGGCAGAGGTTTAGGGAATAGGTTACTCTGTTGCCGAAAAAACTCCAAATTCTGATGCAAAGATACGCTGGTAAATATTTGCTTTTTCAGAGGCTTGTCCGAATTGGTTTTGTCGATGTGTGATTCCGAGCGTTTAATAATTGGCTTATTTGGCAGGAGAATTTTCTTTCTATTCTAAAAATTTATACCTAAATGTCAAAAATACTAACTCAATTGTTATTATTTACTTTCATTCTTCAAAAGAAAGTCACGTTCTGAAAGAAATCTGATGTTCCGCTGGATCTGCACCACACGGTATGATAAGCAGAATAGTTGTAGAAATTGTAATAATGTGATATAAAAAGCAATATAAATAGAATATTGACGCAAAATGGAACAAAAAATTAAGAACTTGATGTCAATGACAGTGCTACTGCGATCCATTTTCCAAATTTAATATTCGCAGGAAACATGGGGGCTGGAAATGTAATTTGTTACTTATCGGAAAGTAACTTTTTAATAATGTCTCTTTTATGGGAGACAAATTTGAATTAATTGATCCAAAAAATGAGCAAAACTTAGGTTCAAAAAAATATTCAAGTTTGTTTATATTTTTTTATTAAAACTATCTTACAAAATACATAAAATTAATTTATAATATACATAGTATATATATTTTATGTACATGTATGAAGCAACGAAAAATCAGCAAGATAAAGATGATTTCAGCCACTGAAAATAAGAAAATTAATCAAATTATTTGGTTTCATTGAAATTGCTTACCTCTGCTAGACTTAATTTGATGCTACCATTTTGTAATGGATCTTTCATTTTAAAAATATCTGAAACAAATTACTTAAGCCCTGAAATTAACTAAACATCCAAACTTACTGAAAGCAACAGTCAAATGTAATATGGCAGAAACAAAATCTCCAAAGCGTAAAGTTCCATCTTTCCTCATGTATCTCAATATAAGCGTAGCCAAAACGTCACTGCTTAACTGAAAGCCAACAGCTTGTAAAGCATCCCGAAACCTCTCAGCTTTCAATATGCCCGTCTTTTCCTTCGTGTGGTTTTTGAACGAAGTTTGCCAGAATTTCAAACTACACATCAAATCCTTGAAATCACTGAACTTCAATCTTCCTGTTCCAGACGTCTGAAAAACCCAGATCAACCACATTTCGTGTTATTAATCTCTACTTACATCAAACGTGAGTATGACTTGTCTACAAACTTCAATCGAGGCACAACTTTTGATGTAATCGTTTGGTAAACAAGCATCTAATAATTCCTGAAGCTCGAAGGCATTGACAGTCCTGTGTTCGTCCGCAAGTTGCAGAAAGACAGCTTCGTATTGACTGAAACTTTTGCCATCGAGCAAAGGCGGTGCTTTGACTATTGCCGATTTGAGCAGAAGAGGTACAGTGTCTAGTAGTTTCAGTTTCAAAGGTTTGCTTGAGTAAACCCTTAGAGTAAAACCAGATTCTTGTCCGGGCTCAAATATGGTGGGTATGATCAAATACCCCCCTTGTTCCAAGTAACACCTGTAGCTGACTTGCCGACTGTTGGTGTATTGTGAATTGAACAAAGACTTGTTGGCTTTGAAGAACGATTTCCCGATCGTCTCTGTGTTACTTTTTGGTATTGAATACGCCGTAAAACCTACGACTTTGGGTTCCATTATGCTATGTTGGTTGAGCGATACCACGACTTCTTCCATTTCGCTGAGAAGGAGGTGGAGTTGTGGGTTTATATGGAAGGTTTCAGGGTTGTTCCTGCAGCCCCCAGCTGAGACCCCTTTGAGCCAATTCCCTTGATATAGCCTCATCTGCCATGTGTTTTTGTTGTGTAGACTGGGTTCGTCTCTGCTGGTGTCGCTGTCCAAGTGAATTACTTCCATGTGTGTGAAGGTTTTGATAAAGTCGGCATAAGACATCCAGAATTCGCCTTCGGAAAGCTCGGAATGGAGCCTTTCGAGGGTGTTTGGTGACACTTCCGACCACTCGGGGGAGTCTATCGACCAGGGACCTACATAATCCGACGCGGGGCCTAAGGCGTTGCGCAGTTTTACCAACTGAACGGCTTCACCACTATACGTTTCGGCCTATGACAATTACAATTAAAAATAATCGGGTTAAAAATAACTCAACTAACCCTTTCTACTAGATATACTCGATAATTTGTCCCTAGTTGTATTCCATTTGGTAGTTTCTCAACACTTGATCTCATCTGGAAGTTGGGGGGTTGTACAGTACAGGTGATTATTGATGTCATGTCTAAAAGTTTGTGTAAAAGTCTGGCACATGTGGTGGCATCTTGTCTAATTGGAATGCTTTCGGTGATTCCCCCGGTCAGATCTGCTAAACCATCGAGGAGTGAACCGTACTTTAAGGCTTCGTAAGACCCGTGTAATCTGCACAGAATAGTAATGTTTTAAATACTGTAAGAAACAATGTTATTAGAATAGAATGCTTAATTAAGTTCCGGTTCATGGGAAAATGCTATTAGCAATACCTTGAACAGTACCAATGCTCACGAAAGGTAATGTAAGGCATAGTTTACAATCACATACAATTTACCGTTAAAACATGAAATAATTTTGAGTACTAAATAAAAGGTTAACACTTTGTAATTTTCAGTTTCAGGATTGTATGATGTATTACATACAATTATGTAGAAATTCGCAATGTTCTAGTTTGTAAACCAAGTAGGAAATATAAATAGTGTTATCAGTACAGGAGAATTGGATAATATTGGGCTTGTCTCGTATAACAGGTGATTTAGAAAGTTGCTATGATTTTATACAAGAATCTAAACATTGTGATGTCGCTCTACATTATGTCAAGCGTCATTTTTTAATAATATCTATTGCAATTGTTATTGTCAAATTTGCATTTTTAATGTTTTTATTTTATGTATGTTGGAACTGCTTTAAAAAATGATTAGAATCTAGACGAGAAATTAAATCTTTCAGAAAAGATTTTATCTTTTTCAACATGACTAGAGTTAAAGTTGCAGTCAAAACCATTTGGATAGTTTTGATAATGAGGTACTAATATAAAAAAACAAAAGTGTTAAGTATTAAAAAGACGTATTACCATAACACCTATGGCATTTTTCATAACCATAATACAATGTTGTCAACAATGAAGAAAGTCCTGGAAGGCTTTAGAATTTTTGCTTTTAGTCCAGTTGCGCAGTTTTAATCAACTTCTATCTTTTGTAAATTACATTTACCGTTCGGTCTAATAACAGCAATCTGATTAATAAAAAAGCCAAATTCAGTCTAGCAGTTTAGCGGTTTGGCTGCATTTTAATTAAACCGTTCTCGAACAAAACGGCCAACCTTCAGGTTATGTTTTTTCGATGCATTGCGGTGAGCCACAAACACTTTTTCTTTATAGCAAAAGATTGGTTCAAGTCCACGTTGAATAAACCTCAAGTTACCTAATTTTTGAACGTTGATAAAAACTAAAACTTGAGTTATGTGAAAAGATAAAATAAAAATTTCTGTTACGCATAAACGAGTATTATTAATATACAGCTACGAGAAGTGGTTAAGATAAATGTCTGTGATAAAAAGGGAAACTGTTAAAGTTGCGAGTAATATTTTTATGTTAGCTTGATGGTATCGAACGATTCACTTATTTTTCTTCTTGCTTTCATTAGCATATGCTTTTTTTATTGTCTACACTCACCGTTAGTTAAATATTTGCGGGAGATACGGGATTCTGTATACATAATTTTATTACCGATAAATATGTTGGCAGAGTATCATTAATGCTAAAATAATGTTTGTCTACGAGTATATTTTCGGTGCATTTTTCTTTATATCGTTTTTGCATTGATGATGGGGATGAAATTTGTGACCTACCGTTCAAAATCTAAATCTGTCACTAACGTTTTAAATATACCTAAAACAATAAAGTGACAAAAATCCAAATCTCTAAGTCTGTTCAGAACAGTTTAACAACTTTTATTACTCCACGTTTAAGTAATTTCTTGTTTCATGTTTTATTTATTTTTGATCTTCCCTTTTTTGTTTTCTTGCAAAATCGTTCAATATGAAATAGTGAAGGAGAAATCTTTTCATGGTGGAAAGCTACAAGGTTACTCGAACAACTATTTAAGGAGAACTTTGAACAAAAGCCAATTAGGAATAATTTAGATATCTTCCTGTTTGTTGAAAAATAGACCGCAGGTCGGGTCGGCTTACCGCTGAATCCGTAGGAGGCTTGCGCTTCCGTAGCCTGTAAGGTTTTCTAAAGTACTAAGTTCTAAAGTAAAAAGTTTACCTCATTTTTTCAAATAACATTAGGGATCAAATTGTCAGTTTGTTTTGTGAATTTTTTGACCACCTCCTGTATATTTAGTAATTGATGTTTAAAAGACAAGGCGAGTATGTATACGTTTTGATAGGTTATCTTTTCCAAATTTCAAATCAAATTTGAAAGCTTTTTTTGAAAAATTACAAATAAAAAAAAGGTATTATTCATCGAGATGTGTTCGATGTTAAAATTAACACACGTAATTCTGATACATCCTGTATACAGTGAGCGGCAAAATTAAGAATAATCCTATTGAAATGAGAATATTTTGTTTTGGCAAAAATGCTTGAACAGGTCAATTTTCTTTTTAAAAAATACACAATTGTCAACGTGATTTAAAATTTTACACTTTTGGGTTTTTGAGTAATGACGTCATCGATTTTATTTTAATGGAAACCTCTATTTTTTAAGCCAGTTTGATAGCTCTTTTAATTGTCGAAATGGCAACACCAAAATATTAAAAATTGCATAAAAGTTTTCGAAAAAATACTCGTAATCATTTAAAAAGTGAAATAATATCAACAAAAAACAATTTTGTATTATACCTGCATCATAATGCACATAAGAAATAGTGAAATGTCTGAACCAATTATTCACAAACCTTTGATAATTTTATTGTGTAAATTCACATATTTTCAATGCTGATAAAAGATCGTAAATGGGCAGGTATAATAAAAATAGCGTATAACACTCGTTTATAAGCGCCTTTAAAACACTCACGACCCGTCGTGCGTGGTTTAAAAGCTTGCTTATAAACTAGTATTATAATATACTATTAAATCAAGTTGAGAATTGTGTATTTTTTAAAAAGAAAAATGACCTGTTCGAGCATTTTTGTCAAAACAAAATACTTATTTTCAGATTACTTCATAATTTTGCCGCTCACTATATAGTAATTTGATATTGCCCTCATAGCGTTTATCAAAATACAACGCATATACCATCAATAAAAGAAAAAAAAAACATAAAATAAATTGGTTATTTCAGCCATCATTCAATTTCTCACTTTTTTTATTCAGTTAAACTTATAAATTCAAAATGTTTTTTTCACATATTGTGCTCAAGTTAGGTACACCCATTATTTTTACCAGTCGTTACATTTACTGGCTTTAAAACAAAACATTATTTTATATTTATTTATAAATACATACTATAATAATAATACACTATAATTTTTCAATTGGATTCAGTCAATTACTTCGGTGCTCGTGCACTAAATATTTCCAGTTATTTGTTTGTATGACTTTACAACTCATTGTTTCATTAATTGTGACACAGTGACATAATAATTATAAAAGCAACTACTCAAATAATAATAAATAACGGTTTTACATCATGCGTCATTGTAATACCTGCTGCATCTTCATTTGAGATGCTCTAGTTTTCTCTTATTCAGGATTAGATACAGTTTGAAAGCCCGTTATGTATAAGCAGCACAAGCACATGTGCTGCCAGTAATTAATGTGAGATACTCGAATCTTGTTTTTAATGCATCTTCCTGCAAAAACGTTATTTAAAAATAAATTAAGAACCCTTTGTAACTTTATTAATGATAAGACAAATAAACTGAATAAACACAGGATTGTTTCTCTTTTCACACAAGCAGATGTATTGTAAATAACTTTATTAACTTTTACTTTTACTATATCAACCAGTTCCACAGGAAAATTAAGCCATACCAGCCATATGCATAGAATTATGCAAGCATAATTGATATTAATCGTTTGAAAACAAATTGTTTCCTAGTGAAGTTTTGTATGAATAAGATCGTTGTTGGGTTTATAGCTTCAAAATAATGTCATTCACCTTCGTTAAAACTTTAATCACAAATTTACAGCAGACAGCTGACTCCAAAATTGCTTTTTTCTTTAATTAAACACTTACTTTGCGTAAGCTTTCTCAAGCAGTCCGGGCCAAAAATAGTCCGAATTTTGCGACTGCAGGAAAGCCAGTCGCCCATGGACAGTGGGCAAACGGTCATCCACCAAAACTTCAGTCCATTCGCCGCACCACCAAAGTCGAAATCGAAAAACTCCAGCGTATTGATCTCCATTAAAAGACTGGTCTGCTGGTACGACTCGGTAGAAGAGTCCTTTATTTAAATATAAAACACCCAAACAGGAGACGAGCCATCTGTCACCTGTAAAAAGAAGAAACGAAGCTTATCTTAGTGCTGTTTATGACCGGGTAGGTGTTAAACAGGTAACTTAATGACCAGTTCTATATTTGAAATTGGATTGAAGTAAATAATCGTTTCGTAGGCTTTTACTGTTACCGATTCATCATCTGATCTTATAAAAAAGTGATTCATAAGACTATTGTTCGATTTTCGGAATATAAATATCATGTATTTGCCATCATTAGAGGTGTTAACAATAATAGTTAACTGTAGATACTTATACAGGTTCAACAACTTGAAAAACTTAAACGGACACTAAAATTAATTTCTACAGGGAGATATATCTTAAATCATAGTTATAATGTGTTTAATGTAATTAACATACCTAATATACACTACGACTCAAGTTGTAAAAATTTGTTTTTTTTTGTATTTCAGTGAAATTTGCATTTTACAACACTTCTTACCTATAATTTATAATCTGTTTGTAGTTGTGAGTTATTCGAAAAGATAAATCAATAAATTAATTGGGAAATAATAAATAAATAAACTCTTTTGTCTTACGAAAATTTAAGCTTTGATTTAAAGAAATTCGTAAAATTTAATAATGTAATAGTCATTGTAATCCAGTCAATCCAGCCTTAAAAAGGGGTTGAACTACTATACGTGGTTTGCAACAAGATTTTTCGTTTTAGGGCTATGTTTGGACTAGTTAGGAAGTAAATATAGTAAAAGTCCGCGGTCCTCCGAAGCCACCAAAAAGGTTTTTTGGTTATATCTCGAAAACGGTACTTGTTACGAAAAAAAATGAAATGGTAAAAATTGAAATTATGCTGGTGAATGAATGCAAATCAGTATTAACCAATTTCTCAAGATTTTTCAATCAAATTAAAGTCTAAAGTGAAACCCGCAGCGTTTTTTTTAGATAGCAGGGGAAAATCATAAAACGCCACCTTGGTGTCAAAAGACAAAAATCTTGTCTATAGAATGATCAAAACACATTTTGTCGAGAATGTATGTTTTATTTTGTAAATAAATGATTTACCAAAATACAAATTTAACATTGTACTTAAAGAAAACAAATTTTTAAATATTCTAAATTTAATAGGTAGTGCTTTTTTCACGTTATTTAGTTTTCAAATACAAACTTATTTCGTCGAAATAAACTGTTTAGGTAGATTACCTATAATCAGAAAAATATTAAGTGACCAAATTTTTGCAATTAAAAACTGGTTGACCAGAAAATGTCACAAATTAAGCAGTGAATGTTTTTTTTTCCGCTGTAGAATTTTGAAAGGACAAATATTTTCTTCCAATTAGTTGTTCCTATAATTACATCACTTTAAAATAAATTCCTTTCACCCAAATTAACTTATTATGATGAAGGAAATACGAGTAAGCTTTCGGCAGTATAATCACATTGCATTTTTGTACGTTTAATTTTGAAAGTTACCAATTAGGATCCAAATGTAAAAAGTAGCAACAGTTTTAAATTCAATGAAACGAACTCGTATGTAAGGATGATGAGTTAAAAAAAATTAAAAAATCCAAACCTACATTGCTTCACATTTTGCAATAATGTTTGTGCCATATTTTCCTTTTTTATATGTTACAGTAGCAACTAGAAACAAAGTGGACTACTGCAAAACATCAATCTTCCAACAGCAATCGTAAAAAAATAAGCAGATTTCAAGAGCAATTTTTTATAAAATGTAATATTGCCAATATTGTAGTATTGATTTAGTAATTTTTTATTTCGAAAATTTGCAGTTCTCTCAAAGGAAAGTAAAATAAGTGATATAAATATTAAAAAAAAGAATAAGGTAAGAACAATAATAACAGTAGAGAAAGAAAATTGGTATACCTTTACTGTGGTAGATACCTCCAAACCCTTTTAGGGATTTTACTTGAAACTGAAACAGTCATCCATTTTTCATGATTCCACAATTCTCACGAGATAATCTTTCGTCATTTTCGCTAACAAATAGTTAATTTTTTAGAAGAATTCTATGTATTTATTTGAATTGGATATAATGATAGAAAACAAAAACACTTTCGCTGTATACATGTTCAAGTTCCTTCAAGCGTAATCTCAATTGAATCAAATTACCTTCGTTACGTTCTATAAATTGAAAATAAAACCGACGCCGTCATAATTATACCACAAATATAACACAGTGTCCGTTTTCAATTTCACATTGCTTAATCTAGCCTAACCTGTCCAATAATAAAATTGTTAAAGTGCAAAGAATTTTCTCGTGGAAAAGTGAACCGATTTGATCAAGATGGACGCACCTTGACTCACTTTATTGCACCAACAAAACAATAATTGCCCTGAAGTTAGCAGAATACTGTTTAGTTCTAAGAAACTAGTTTAATTTCATTCCAACGACAAGATAGATGCCCTATGTAATTACTTTTTTTCATCTCCTTGCGCATACGATATAATTATTCATTACTAATATCTTGCTTCGTCTTATTTTCAAGGAGTAGGTTACATATTATGCTGGTAATAATGCTTGATATCCATACAAGGCCAGGCAATCAATATTTTCTCTCTTTGGAGTCGCACGTGCACTGAGAAGAAAATCATCAGCAAATTGGGTCATTCTAATCAACTTGTCGCCAAATGGCCCACATTTTCCGAATTCTTAAAAATTTCAGATGGAAATTGTGAATTCAGTGACTACACCGTAAATCTCCAGCTTTCACAGAAGTGTATAAACGCACCGTTTGTTTTCCACACGTACGCTTGTGTGCATATTCATCTTCAAATAAGCGTGAATAGTTTCACCGAAGGCATATTAAATTAAAAATGTGAAATTTGTTTCCCAAAGCAGCAAAAATCATCTTACTTTCACTGAAAAGATACAAGTTACGTGTGGCTGATGTGTAAACAATTATTATTTATGAATTAGCATTCCATTACTGAAATTACCGGAAATTGTTCGTATTTGACTTGACGGATGTGAAATAGCTGCGACCATAATATGTGAATAGTTTTCTCGCGGAAAGAATACTAATTTTGTCGCATTTGACCGATTTTGCCAAGGCAGGATAAAGGCGGCTGAGATTATGAAACGCTGAAATCTTTATTAATATACCGAGGCAAAATAGAATTGCGCTTAATTCTGTTAAGCAATCTCATTTAATTGCCGCTAATTTATGGGTGGAAATGTCAAAAAAGGTAATAGGAATAATCCGAAGCATTCATTAGGTTGTTAAAATTGTGTAATAAAATCTTAGCTAACTTCTTGATCAGAGCGCTGGAATTCACAGTAACAGGAAATTTAAAACGTAGTTACCGACCAGAAAAAGTAAAACTATCTGTGGAGAAAATTAATTAATGTCATCTTTTCTGGGGAAACTATAATATTATTTATTCACGCATTGTATACAAAGTTTTATTGACAACACCATAAAAATAAACATTAAAAAGGAGTCACAAACGAACTTTAGCCAAATTTTTATTATTCTTGTATTAACGTACTTGTAATTTGTTAATAAATTTATGTATTCTCTTTTAATAGTAGTTATAATAATATTGTGACAGAAGTCAAAACTCTCTTCCGAGGGAGAGAAATGATCTTAACGACGGGAGCAAATATCGAGAGATCATCAAGATAATTTGTAATCGAGTCATCTTTGGATCTGAAAACGTATGTTTTTGTCTATTTTTGAACTAACTGCACATGAAACGTCAAATAAAATGATAAGTTGTAAGGTAAAACGGCAAAATGGGCTGGAATTAGTCGCCAACGTACTCGTATAACAATAGGACCGTTCTTTTTTTAAGGTAAATCATAAATTGAGTTATTAAAATCATCATCTTTTTGATCATGCCATTTTACTTTTCGACTTTCATCGACATACGTTTTCGGATCTATGGATGACTCACTTACAAATTATCTTGATCTCTCGATATTTGCTCCCGTTACTAAGTCATTCCCATTGTCCCATTCATTATAGGCTCATTGTAAACAAACATTTTTATTATTACCATGGTGTAATTTCATAGAATGTAAGCTTTATATTAATTTTTTAATTTCATTAAATAAATACGGCCAATTTCTTTGTTTTTTTTTTAACTCAAGTCGTGTAAAAAATAGTATATACAACACTGGAGAGAAATGCTATTATTCCTTTGATATTTATAGCCCTCGGGCTTTGCCCTTTGGCTATAAATGGCACCTCAGGAATAAACCTGCATTTCTCTCCCTTTATGTATAATGTACTATTATAGTTGTATCTTTTATATAGTATATCTTTTGTACGAGTATATACAAGGTGTCTCATAGGAAGATTTCATCGAAAAATGAAGATTTGATTTGTTATTTTAATGTCAATAATCAGTTTTCAAATAAAATTTCAAAATATGTACCTACTTATAAAAAAAAATTAAATTTCTTTTGCTTTCTTATGAGTGTCATTGTGAAATAACAAATGAATTTTGGAACTACATTGGAAATTTTCCAAAATCATATTTATTTGGACTAGCATTCTTCTCTTTTGAATTTTCTAATATCATTTTCCTTTTTAATTTTTTTGGCACTTTGAAAATGAATTAAAATCATTGAAACTTTTGCTTGAAAATTCGTTATAATTAATAAAAATACCTTGTCCAAAAATAGCTTATAAATTCCTAATAAACTAATCAAGAAATTCAGGAAAAAAAAATGAAAGACATCTGCTGTTCCCATTACCTCGGGGATTATCATAATAAAAACTTGGAAAACTAATAACCAATTTCGAATAGTTTTGCTACATTTTTTATTTTTATGGTATAAAATATGTCAGAAAAATAAACATATGTAGTAGTAAAAAAAAAAAAAATTATGTTGTCACAGCCTAGAGCGTTAAAAACGACTTTCTACACTTTCATTGGTCGCATCGTGTAATTTTATCAATATCACATTTGATTTATTTATTAATTGTTACAGACTTAAAAGTCTTAAAACAGAAAAATACCAATTGACCAAATGAAAACCAAATTTAAAAACATTGGAACAAAGGTTTAAAGACAATAGAAAACGACGAAGAAATGACTTTATTACCTGTATTAAACTTCCAAGTCTACAAGTTTAACGGAACAAATTAAATAAATGAAATGCATAATGGGTTTTAGAGAATAGGTTTTTAATCAATTAAAACCTTAAATATGCTGATTGCTTTATTAGTTTTACAGTTTTATCAGTTTATTATAGCGTAAAGTATGTAGTTTCCCAAAGATATAAACCTTTAAATTTAGATTAAATAGGATATAGCGTCCATCATGATTAAAACTCTCGCACCCATTTTCGTATTTTAATGTATGCCTGACAGCGTAAACAATTTATTCGTCAAAAAACCTTGATGAGGAAAGAACGTGAACATCTGTACAACAACACCTAAGGTAATCTTCTGTAATTTATATGAGTACCATGTTAACTGTCGAAAAATTGGATTTCCGGAAGCTCACTCGAAAGAATGTGGGTGAAGGTAATAATAGTAACATTGCGGATATTCTTACAAATGTTAGATTTCTGCTCATATAACAACTGACAATTGAAAAAACTTTACCTGAAGTAATTTATACGCCATTATCTCACATCCCAATAATTAGCACAGCTCGAAAACAAAATAAAATAAATTCGGCCTTGGTGTGTAATGAGCGGCTCTCTTTCAGTCAATTCCGATAAAGAGATTTAGCTGTTTTTAGATAAATTTTGAATGGATAATAATAGCACCGACTTATAAACAAAGGAAATGTTATCACAATATCGTATTTGTTAAGAAAACAAACCGTTTAACAATAAAAATATGACTAGCATAACATGTAAATTGTATTTCCTGTTCTTGAAAGTTATTATTCATGAAAAGTTTTAACAGTTGTTTGATTTTTTCACGACCGCGATTTCCATATTTAGTCAATAACTGGTGAATAATTTATTTAGTCATGCTTATTTTAATTAGATAAACTTGAATTCCTCGTCAAAAAATAATACGCTGACATTAGTATAAAACTGTAATTAACGATCTCATATTATAATTAGTTGCAAAACTTTCTCCGCGGCATAAACATATCTAGCAATTTAATGAAAGTTATACTGATTGCTGTTCCAAATTTTTTTGGCAGAGCATCATTATGGGATGTGCTGCGAGGAAAGCTAAATTTTTTGCTTCAAAGTGAAAAGCGATTCGTGTCTGTTAAAAATTGGAAAATGAAATTTAATTGTTTGTGGGTGGTTGCACTTTACAAATGTCAAGACCTTTCAAAAGCACTGCTTAAATAGACTCACCTTGCAACAAACTTTATTAAACAATAAAACGATTATTTTTTTATTAAGAGAACTTTCTTTGTTCATGTATAAAATTATCAGTGGTTTGTTTACTTTTATTATAAGTTATAAGAAGTGTAAAGTTTGTCGAAATGATTCTTATCCTCTTCATAAATAATAATAATACACAGCACAAAGACTTTCACTCACAATAGCCAAGGTTGCATCAGAGCCTTTATAATTATGTGTTTATCATCGCGACCTTGCCCTTGATAGGTCTTTCACTTACCCATTTTTCCTGGGATGATATCAAACTGGAGGGGTCCATCCTGGACGAATCCCGGCCTGGCGCAGAGATCCTGAAATCATTCCAGTGTAAATCGTTAGTGGGATGACTAAAATATGTTGCATTAAGGTTGGATAATTGTATTCATAATGTATTGTTTCTCGTTGCACCCACATGCGTTACGTGGGGCATACAGAAAAGCTCGCATTCCGTTTGGCACGTGAGCGTGTTAATAATTTGGGTGTATTTATGGTGATTTCGACGCTGACTGAGGGCAGTAACCTCGCGTTTCACGCTATGGATTTCGCTAGGATGAATTCCGAATTCGTTGATGCGAAGTGGTCAAACGAATCGTATTTCAAACAGTCATTACGTCGTCATTCACAAGAATAATACAATAAAAAGACCTTCTGTAGAGGTAGAAGTTTTTATGATAGTGTTAAAAGTGAACGTCCGTTCTTGCCCACGCTTGAAAACCCACGATACTTGCAGCAGATCTACGACTAAGCTCACAAAATATTATTGGAAATGGGGGTTTGATGTATTTTGCAAAAATATTGCCTGATTTATTAACACTTGATGATCTTGAACTTTCGCAAACTGAAATAAATCTAATTCTTACTCGTGTTTAGCGCTTTGAAATTCAAGAAGGGAATTAAGTTTGATTCTGTTTCATGCTGTGATCGCCAGGATTAAAATAAGATGAGCAAAACTCTCCACTGGTTATTATCTACTGACACTGCAAATAACTTTAAACGAGAACCTACAGGAAAAATAAAACGAATAAATTTACTTCCACTACTTTAACTTGCTCGCTGTTAATAGCCGAGTTATAGGCCGCATTCTCTTGGAGAGCGTTTAGAGTTTATTGTTATTGAAGAGATTGCTTCAAATTTACAACTTTCAGAAAATCAGCATTTTTTTCTGCAATCAACCTTTTGTAGGAGTTCAAAAAAATTGAATTTGTAAACTAGACAATTATGTAACCGAATGGTGACTAAATGTTATTGGAGTGTTATGCTAATAGCGGTTTTACACCTGTTTTGACAATGTAAACTTCAGTCCCACTTGAAACATTTAAATCGGTGGTAAATAATTAATTTTCATTGTCAACCTTAGTACTAAAATGGTGACACCAACTCTAGGAATGTGTTCGATTTTTGTTTACATTTTCAATCGCGGTAAACAAGCGACCTCGCCCTAGGACATATGGAAATGATACTTTATATTTTTCAAAACAAATTTATGGTCGCGTTTGATTGTTTATCATGTACGCAATGTATTATTGTTTGAATTTTTTGAAATGGACAAGAAAGGTCGTTGTGATCTAGATTCCGATAATTACTAGAAACCGCATTCTAGTATCTCTAGTTCTTATCTGTGTAAATTTACATGCGTCAAGTGATAAAATTTGTTTTATGTGTGAACGTTTTTGCAAATTTTATTAGACCGATAACATCGTTACTTTCATAATTTTATTCTTTCTGGTTCTTTATTGGGAATGGTATTGCCTACGAGGAAAAATCGAGAAAGAAAGTTGTCGCTCGGAAAAACAATTTCAGGAATTAGCAAGTGTTTGTTTTCCATCTGACCTAGTTGCCTGATTATAATACATACATGCAATGTGTCTAGTGAATTGTGTGAGTCTAGATAAATACTTTTTAAATGCTTTAAATCCATACTTTAAAAATTGAAAGTACTTTTTGGCAAAATTTCAAACGCAAAACGCTGAGGCATTAATAAGCACAAAATGTTTTATATTTTGACCTTGTCAAGTGTCTTGAATTAACTATTGCTGAAACAATTACCTATCTGATTTAATTAGATTATCATTACCATACTTTATCCTGTTTCTTTAATACCTACCTATGTTGTGAACGTTTAAGAAAGTCGATGCAAAACTCTACTTATCTTTTAAATTCACTCTTAAGCTTTTATAGTTAATCATTAATCGTCTTTAGTAATCTAAAATGTATTTAGTAAATTTCTACGTTATAATAACCCGCATTGTTGGAACTGATTAACACACAGCGCTTCTTTGGAATCTAAAGGCCGAAATGCATATAATCAGAAGCTACTACTATGGAATAAATTATGGTTATAGGGGCTTTATGTGGTAAACGCTGTCGTTGGTTATTCACACGTAAAGCAAAAGCTTTCATCCTTGAAAAAATTCAAGTCGTAGAATTGCTAAAGAGATTTAATGTTATTCAGACAAAACTGACGAAAACAACACTCAGTACATGTTTGTATCACTTCATAAAAAAACATTAGAATGGTACAACATACACAAAAAAGTGCGTGGAAATAGTTTCTGATACACTTTGGTAACCGAAATATATATTATTAAAATTATTGAATTAAACTTTTCAATGCTTTTGCTCAATTTTCTAGTTTCTGCAAACATAATCTTAGACAAAAAAAATTGTAATAATACATAGGTACAGGGATGTTTCATGAAGCAGAATTAGACAATGAAATGAGGACAATTTAAGGCTTAACTTATCATTTGCCAAGATAGGGAATTTCAATGCATTTTTCGAAAAGGTTTTTCTCGGCTATTATAAGGAATTTTTTGGTTTTTATTTTTTTGATGAAACCATTTTAGATATTTCTAGGGACATTGTTATGTAGTTAATTTAAATGCTTATTTTTTATATATTTTTTAACTTATTTTTTATAATAAAATTATAGTATTTATATGGAAACTAACAATGTCCTTCCTACATGTACCAAAGACCTTAAGAAAAAAAAATGAAATCATTCGGATAATTAATAACTGTAAAATCTCTTGTGGAAAATATTATTAACTTTCGTAGTGTGAAAATCGTCTTGTCTCTCTCAACCCTAGTTCTTTTTCACAACAAACTGTGCTTACCGTAAGCAGACCCCCATCACCGGTTTTATCTGATTTATGACCTTACGAGGGATGTTTCGCATCTATAAGGAAACAACTAAAAGTACAAGCTGTAAAATTAGGTCATTTTAAGAATTGATGTAAAAGATGAATAAATTTAATAAGACTATGTATTTACACCAGATAATTCTATTTTTCACCAAAAATTAAGTCTAATTATTATGCGGAAATGTTAGGAATAACTTGAAGCCCTTTTTTCCTACAGGATACCTGCTATGGGTTTTTTATCCGTTGGGGGTAGCTACTGATATGATGAAGTTTACAAAAGTAGTACTTATTGTCTTCATAACAAAATATTGTTTATTGCTTGAAGGTATGTAGGTAGAGAAGAGGCTTATTTTCCTATTTGCTGTTTCTAAATAAATTTAAATTTGAAGTAACAAATGCGGGGGAATGCTACTTTGATTTCATATAATTCTAAAGGTAAATATCTACATTGTTTGAAAAAGACTGTAAATCAAAAAAGTCCGGGATATTATACTACTAAATATGTAAATGCACAACAAAAAATAAAAGCAAATAATTTAAAACGAAAATTAAATAAAAATAATGACAACAATCTAGTAAACAGAAGAAAAATTACTGAAGAAGCGGATGGTGATTATGGTTGTGTTGTGCAAAGATGTTTTGAAAGTAATTAATAAAACGAACTCGTGTCCCTTAGCCCTAGGAATTTGGGTATGGAAATTTCTTTTTTTTACCCCAATTTCAAAACCATTTGACCAAATATTTTAAATTTTGGAATAACAATATTTTCAAATTTGGAAGCGTTTATTAAAAATAATAATGCTTAAAAAATAAAACAGAAAGAATACAACAGTAGACAAACTTCTTGTTTACTTTGCGTTATGTTTGTAGTTAATTTTTAATTTTCTTTCCTTCATGAATTATTGTTATTATTTTTTTATGTACTTTAATCTACTCGCCCAATTCTATTGTCCTCTATAGACTTATAGTCTGGTGAAAATAAATTTATATTATAAAAATTTGGGCATTGACCATTTTCCACGTGGCCAAGGAGGCTGATCATTAGGGATAGTGTTGCTATCAACTAATGATATGTGTCCAGTAATTGCACGTGCAGGCACGACATTTATACTTTGACAGTGAAACATACACTTAATTGATAATTGTCAGATAAATGGCAAATGTTATTATTATTATTATTATTATTATTATTATTATTATTATTATTATTATTATTATTATTATTATTATTATTATTATTATTATTATTATTATTATT